TCCTCATAGCATGCTATAGGGGGCTAAGATTTCAACACATGAATTCAAAGGGACACAAGCATTCCGTCCATAATAGACATGTAGCTCACAGTTTATAGGTAACAGAAATATATAGTACTTTTTATCTTTAGAATCATAGCCAAAGAGAAAAGCCAGCATCTCCCATGAATCCACCATGCTAGGTCTTGGGGGATCAACCAAGAAAACGATCCAGCCTTCCTGGTAAGCAGCACAAGCCTACTGGCACTGAGTCTGAGAATCAATACTCTACCTCTGTTAGCAACTAGATGGTTCCAAGGACAGCCTGAGTTGAGAGCAACTAAGGTACATAAAGCGACTAAATCTTTTATTGTTTGATTATGCTGACCTGTGGCCAGCGGTTTGAGCATCTCTCCAGAGGGTGATAGTATGCAATATAGCAAATATGGGGGATTTCCTTCTATCTTCTGTTTGGAGGCTAGTATTGTTTTCACTTTTTTGTTTTATTCTGATTAATTATTTTGCTTTATTCAATATTCTATTTTTATTGGTTTTATTGTTTTGTTTTTGGTTTGATTTTGCTGTACCTGATGGAATGGACAACTCTTGGCAGGAATAACAAGATATACTACAGTAGCTATTATTGTTTTCCTGGTATCCTGCTCTGAAATTCTGTACCAATTTTGCCACATTGTCTTGATTGGCTTTGTTCTGTCTTGCTTTGTTGTATTTTACTATCTTTAAAATTTTTAAAAATTTAAAAATTTTAAAAAAGAATTATAGCCAAATGATTCTCACGGAAATGTGTTTATTACAATACTTTTACATTCATAGTCAATCTATTGTTGGAATTTAATACTGACTTGATAAATGGAGTTGTGTCCCAATCTACTAATACTTTCCTGTTAAATTTTTTGGGAAATTCAACTGATATGTGGTTTACTATTAAACTATTTCTCATCTTCAGAAAGTGCTTTCATTAAACTGAGGCTTATTTCAGCTCCAGGACTACTAACTGTGATACTGTTCTCCACTTAGCTTTTTGTATGACTTGGAATATTGTTGGACTATTTATTAGCCACAAAATCCTGAAAATCATTCAACTCAATCCATGTTTTAAAGTTAAACTCAAATGAAATTATTCTTAAGGTGAAACTAGTTCTTCACAAAGCCAAGTATTAATCAATTGAAATAATTTAAAATGCTGGAAGACTATTTCCTCAGTTGTGCAAGGCACACTAGAAAGGCTATACTCACACATGCACATATGCTGCACACATACACACACACACACTTTTAACGTTAATCTGCTTTATATTAACATTTTCTCCAACATGTCCACTGCAAATCTAAAGTAGATAACCAACATTTTCCATTTTCAGTAGAAATTGATGTCTCTAGTGTTAATATTCCCATTGTGCCAAATTTAAGGCATTATACGTGCTGTGACTGACGCCAAGGTCTGGAATTAATGAACAGCCGCACACTGTTCCACAGCACAAATGGAGCTTAATCATTGATGCTGGGCATGGGGGCTCACATCTGTAATCCCAGCACTCAGAAGGCTGAGACAGGAGAACTGGATCGGTCCACGTTTGAGACCAGCCTAGGCTACAAAGTGAGATGGGGGCCATTCTGTACTGCACAACGAGACCCTTTCTCAAAAAGACCAGAGAAACAAAACAAAGAAAACCCAGAAACGATGTATTTTGGGCACCTTTTAGAACATTACAATTTTAAACCTATGATTTTAACCTACATATTTACAGTGCGCTGGCAAAACTCCTAAAAACTGACTTTTGGTCACCCACCACTTGTACAATGTACAGTAGGGCAAGTCTTCAGCAGATGCCAGTCACTGTGGAGGGTTGTCAAAGATTGCCTTGCATGTGCATCTAACACTGCTGCTGTTGCATCCTGGCTGCCCTAGGTCATTCTTTCTGGCACTGCAGAAAGCACATTTCTCAACACACCTCTCTGGCACTTCTGGAAAGACAGCCCATACTGCTGTGGGCGGTTCTAGGTGGTTACTGATTGCCAAGGATCCAGAGAGTAATACACTTCATCCCCTGTTAACAGTTTAAATTTCCTGATCCTTCCATTCGACCACACACGAAGAAGACCTGTTCCTCTGCAATCACCTCAAAATGCAGGTAAGTAAAAGATATGCATGCATTTATTAGACAGTTCCATGTGGCTCAAATGTTGTCTAAGTCAAAATACAATTGTCCTTCATGTGCGTGTTTCTAATGACAATTGATTATCAGGCTGAGAAAATCTGTAAGGTGTGCACCACCATACCCGGGAAAATCATTCTCAGCACTGAAACATTCAGCACTGAATAGTGTCATGAATTATTTGCTGAATGCTCTGGGAATTGGCTAAAATTTAGTAGTGTGAATCAAACAATACACGGAAAAGGACATTATTTTAAAATGAAAGAATGTATTTCGAACTTTATGATTTTTATTTATTTATTTATTTTGAGACAGGGTCATGCTATGTCATTCAGGTTGGTATTGAACTCACTTATATAGCCTACGCTGGTCTTGAACTCATAGCTGGCCTCCTGCCTTAGTTTCCCCAATGTTGAGATTACAAGCCTGCACCACCATACTCTGTCAACTTTGATTTCTAAAAGTCCTAGAGAAATGTGACTTGACATCCCAGCTGTGACAAATAGGACAGTAGCTATAAAGCAGCACTGTCTGCCAGGAGAATTAAGTTTTGCCAAATGATTCTCATTTACCAAAACAAAGTCTCATCTGTCTTTCTCTGAGAAAATCAGAGGTAGGTTACAGTTAACCCTCCCCATTTTAGTAAAATGGAAACAGCACAGTTCCTCCATAGAACAGTAATTCCAGCAAATTTAACACAGGCTGTAAGAGCAGAACTCCCTCCCCAGACTTTCCACACCAGTCAGGAAGTCCTCTCGATATTTTAAACACATAGCTCAGGTGCCCTGTGGCCAAGTTTCTTTAAAAGGTTTAGGGTTTGCGGTGGGCATACCTAGGACTTGGAGGTATAGGGAAAAGATTGAGTTTTTATTGCATTGAGATATTTATTAGGCTCAAAATTAAAATGAACACAGGCTACAGCTGATAGTAAAAAAATACATAAACATAATTCTTTATTTTTGTGATCTTGCCCTAGGCAGACACATAAGATTTTTCGAGACGTTTTCTTAGATTTCTTTTTTCTATAGGTTCCCTTTGTCCTAATTCCTCGGGAAGCAACACCATGAGGAAATAAAAACCTGTGAGCTTCCGTTTTGTGTCTTTATAGGTTTTTTTTTTTTTTCAAACGCCTATCCTTTGAATATTCTTCCTATAAAACATTTTCTGCATACTCTGGGATCTGGCTAAAATTTAACAGAGAAAAAGTTTAATCAATAGACATAGTTAAGGAAATTATTTTAAAATGAAAAGATGTGTTCTCAAATCTATGATGTTTAGAAGTCCTACAGAAATGTTACAGGACAGGGTACATAAATCCTTTTCGCGTGTATGCGGGAAGTAAAATGCTGTTTTTGCAAACCACGGTAAGCATCAAGTAGAGGAAGCATTCTGAGTCCCTGGCCCCTGTTTTGAAGTCTTCAGCTCTCATGAGGGCTGAATTCACAATTCAGTATAAATACTTTTAGGACTGAAGTCCGAAGCAATGCATAAAACTCTTGGAAGCAATGAGGAATCGGTTTGATGAATAAGCGACTACGTAGGTATCTTCCTACTTCACCCCCTACCCGCAAAAAAACTGAATTTTAATAGAACGCTGTAATGAAATCCTTACAATTGCTGCTAACACACTGGTAAGCCGCGGCTGAAAAAATATTCTGAAAGTATCTGAAAAACATTGTGGCAACTAATACATATACGTGACTTAATACGCTCCAGACCCACAGTTGAGCTGAGCGTTTTACACACGTGCAGAATCCTTGCGGATCCGGGGAGCCGGGGCCCCCGGCTCGCCCCAGCCGCGCGGATGGGGACTGGAGAACCGCGGCTGCACAGCCAGGCTCCACGCCAGGGGGCAGCAGACGCGGGGTCGGGGCAGTAAAGGTTTCAGGTCTGATCCTCCCTGCCTGCGGCTGCTGTCACGTCCCCAGAGCATCCAGGGTTAGCACAGGAGGGACGTGCGGCTGTGTTCCAATATGCCTTTATTTAGGCACAAAGGTTAGATTTCATACCATTTTTCATGTATCATGAATTTTTCACTTTGTTGTTTTCAGACAACAAATTTCTTGATTTTTTTCCTGACTCCCGGGTGTACAAAAGGGGAGGGGCAGTTTGGCAATCACCCCTGGGAGCCCCCGAGGACGCTGGCTTCGTAGCTGTTCAGTGAAAAGAAAGCTTGGAAGCAAAGCGTTTGCTGAGTGACCAAGGGACGTGCAGTCGCCCCTCTTCCTGGCGTTGACCAGGCCCCTGACCGCTTCCCACTCCGGCGTAGGGCGAGGCCGAGCAGCCGGGGAAAGGCGTCGCGAGGGCAGCTCCCCCGCCTCGTCCCGGGCGATGGCACGGCCGCCCTGGCGGGGTCGCTGTACCGTCCTCCAGGCGCCCGCGCCCGCCTAGCCGCGCCAGTTTCCCCGCGGGTTCGTCCCGGCGTCCGGCTGCCTGATGTGTGAGCCAGGAAACAGGCTGGCGAGGGGACCCGCCCCCGGGCGCCGAGCTAGTGTCCGCTGGCAGCGCCACGCGTTTGGCAAGAAGCGCCCCGCGCGGCGGGTCCCAGGCGCAGCGGAAAAGGTTCAGACCGGGGCTAGAGATTGAGCTCGGCGGCACAGCGCCTGCCTGGCAAGAACAAGGTCCTCAGTTCGACTCCCGATACAAAAAAAAAAAAAAGCTTAGATGGGCAGCCACGACCGACCAGCTGCGGGCACCCAGAAACCTGCTGGAAGGCCGGGACTCAAACCCGGAGCGAGGCCGGCTCGGGAGGGGCGGGACTCAGGCCCGGGCCGGGGGCGGCGCTGGAGACGGGGAGGGGCCGAGGGCGGGGCCGGGCCTGAGGCGGAGCCCGGGGCGGGGCCCGAGGCAGCGCTGGGGCCGGTGGGGCCTTGACCTGGGGCGTGGGCGGGGCCCAGGCCGGGCTGGTCCCAGGCCGGGCGCGACTAGGCAGCGGCGCGCAGTCGGCCCCATGGCGTATCCCGGACACCCCGGCGCGGGCGGCGGCTACTACCCAGGCGGGGTAAGTGCAGCCCGGGGACGGGACCCTTGGGCTCGGGGCTCCGCGCGGCCCGTCCTGTGACGCCGCGCGCCTGGCGGCGCACCCCGGCCCTGTTCCTCAGTTCGGCCGTGCGGGTCGGGGCTGGGGGGCACCGTGTGGCGGCGCGGGGATCCTGGTGAGGATGGGCGGCGGCGCCCGGCTTTCCTCGGAAGCCCTCAGCGATGTGCGGGCTACGCAGCGCGATCGTGACGTGGTGTTTCCTTTGACAGTTCGGAGGGGCGCCCGGAGGCCCGGCCTTTCCCGCGCAGACGCAGGACCCGCAGTATGGCTACTTCGCCGCGGTGGCTGGACAGGTCAGCGTTTCCTTCCTGTTAGGAGAGGTCGGATTCCGTGTTCGTGTTCCCTGTGGGTGCTGGCGATCTAGAAGAGCAGACTTTGCCCTGCAATGAGTCCCTTTTTATGTATGCAAAAAAAAAGAGAAGGAAAGTTCTTTACTTCCTGTTTGTTTTCTTGTAGAATTCGGTCCAGAGTAGCACCTATGCTTGCGTTAGTTCAGTTCCAACCAAACCTATGATTAAACAAGACTGGAAAGGTTGGAGGAGTGTAAATATAGTTTAAAGATCTGTGAGAGAAAAGATGTCTTTATAACTGTATTCTTGGAGTCCAAGGTTCAAGAACTGGGAAACCCATCTGTACAATTTAAAGACATGTATTAGCATTCATGTAGCCAGATTCGAAGGGCACTTTTTTTTATTCAATCAGGAAATTGGTATATAAAGATTTATCAGCTGATAAACAGGTATATAAAGACTTATCAGCTGATAAATAGATATATAAAGATTTATCAGCTTCAAAGTAAGAAAGTCCCTACTCTCAGTATCAGGAACTTAATATTGCGAAGCTTCCTTTCTCTCCCTTGCTATTACTAGGTTAGCTTTCCCTTGACCTTAGGAGTTATGACCTGAGTTATGACATGAATTAAGACCTCGAGACAGAGTTCAGTTCAGCTCCAAAGACCATGCCTGCATTCCTGAGTTATGTGACAGAGGGCGGACTTCCTTGAGGGAGGACCCTTGCATAAACCACAAGGTCACTGTATGCAGTAAATAGCACTGTGTGCTGTGGGCACAGTACGGACCTGTTGAGAAGGCCTGTTTAAGTCCTTATGAACTCAGCATAGTCTTGTTTTGACTCAAAGGTAAAAACTGCAAAACCATAATGTAAACAAGTTCTGTAGAATATTACAGAATAAATACCCAAGACCACCTTTTGAAGTAACACTCTTAAGAAACGCAGCTTTGAGAACATGAGTGGAAAATTGGGTCTAAAACTGGAAGACTTCCCTATAAGTATCTGCTTAACCTGTTACTGATCTGTGTCTTTGAAACCACAGGACATGGCACACCTCAAGACTAGTGTTCTTAGGTGGCCAGTGCCGCTGGTGTAAGTGACCCCACCTGCTTAGCTTTCAGCCTCCTTGACCTGTGTTCTCCTGTTCGACCTGTTTGAAATTATTTGATCCTTTTCCTCACAGTACTCATTGACTGGAGGAGTTAGGGGTTTTATTTTAAAATCTCTAAAAGTGACAAAGTATCTGAGGATCTAACCTGATTCAGCCAATGAGCTGGCTCAGACTGAGCACCTAACCTGTATCTTCCAGAAGTGCTGTGAAAAAAAAAAAAATTCACCAAACAAAAAGGCTATCAAAGAGTGTTTGAACTGAGTTACTTACTGATGACTGCCATGTATCCTGCTCAGTCTTTTTCCCTAAAAATTCTTTTTAATCAACATCATACATAATTTTTGAAAAATACTTAGTTTTAGCAGTTTTCTAGTTTAGACTGAGCAATGTCACCAAAATAGACTCTAAATTAGTCTGTTAAATTAAATTAGCCTATGAGTTAGAATGAGAAAAGTAAATGCCCACTTTTGGAAGAATTCTTTTTTAAAGAAAAAATCTCATGCATGATACTCCTTTTTCATTATTGTTATATTGAAGGTGAACAAAGAACTTGCATGGACAGCACAAATCACTGTTGATTCCTTTTCCTCTTTTTTTCAAAAGGATGGGCAAATAGATGCTGATGAATTACAGAGATGTCTAACACAGTCAGGCATTGCAGGAGGATACAAACGTAAGTACCAGGTTTCTCTGAAAGTGCTCATTCTTCATATTTTAGTTGAGATGATAACCTCCATGGAAATAGAACTTTTCTGATCCAAATTTAGAATTTAAAAAGCTAAATTAGGCTATTATTTCAGAATGCTGATTTGAACTCACTTTTTTTTTGTAAAAGGAGAATGAATATAGTTTTAACATAAAGGTAAATCATAATGGTAATTGTTTTTTAAATAAACCATAGAGTATGGGTTCTATTGGATTTTGTCAAAAATCACATTATATCTGGTAAAACAGATATAAACGTAGGAAATATCTGTTGTGGGAAATAATATTTGAGAAAGTAGTTAATAATATTATAGGGTGCAGTTGAAGCAGCCATGTGAAAAACTGCAGTATGGATGAAATTTTGGCAAATAATCAAGAGGGAAAAAAAGACAATGAAAAAGTAGCAAATGAATAGCTAAGTTTTCTAAGTCCAATTTAATTTTTTAATTTTAAAGAGAAAAAATAATACAGAATTTCAGATCAAGATAACAGAAAATTAACAACAGTTAATACATTGTGTATTGTTATCTTCAAAGTGGTTGCTTAGATTATAAGATATAGGCATACAAAATTGATCTAACAATATAAGCAGAAACTATTCTTTTCAATGAGCTAAAAGAAATTAGTATAATTATCTTAGCTATCTTGTATATATAATATTTATATATATTGTATATATATATTTTTTTCCCCCCTTCCTTCTTTTCTCCTTTCCTTCAGCCCAGTTCTTTCCTTTTGAGCAGTTTCTCTCCCTCACATATCTTTCGTAGCTTTTGGATCTCATTTACTATCTCAGTTTCTTATACTAGGGAGACAATATGATGTTTACACATGCAGGTCTGATTTATTTCACGTATGAGCATCCATTTACCTATAAAAGCCTTGAGTTTATCTTTCTTAAAAATACAGAACACTTCCTAATTTGCATGTCATCCTAGCGCAGGGGCCATGCTAATCTATGCTGCTGAAATGAGCACAAGTCCAGTTTTAAAGTGCTATGGAGAATATGATGAATATGACTGTCTTAGTCATTTTTTAAGAAAATTTTGAATTATTTATGTTTTTAATGTAGTTTAGATTTTTAAAATTTTTATCAGTATATGTTTTCAATACATGATGAGTGCATTCATTGTATGGAATTGGTGCACAGGCATAGCACATCTCAATTCTTTTTTTTCTCTTTCCCCTCTGTCCCTCCTTGTTTGTTTTGGTTGGTTTTTTTTTTTTTTTTTTTTTTTTTTTGGTACTGGGAATTGAACTCAGGACCTTGCACTTGACAGGCAGGTGCTTGTACCACTGAACTAGATTCCCAGCCCTTGGTTTGGTTTTTGACCAAGCATCAGCTTCACTTACTTTTATCTTATAAGTCCTGATAAAGTTAATTATCGTACATACAGATTGAAAGGCAGACTAACATGCTAAAAAACATATAGAACACCTAAAACAGTTATACTGAATCAAAGTATACTGTCTGTTCCAGATTACAATAACTTTTTTCTCTTATTGTCTGTCTTTTATTTTACACTTTATATATTGAGTTTTCCAATACACAAGAAACCATGTGAAATTTAAGCTTGTATCTGATTTATTCAATATTATGGTTTCAAGGTACATCCATTTACCCACAGATGACAGGTTTATCCTTTATGGTTTCTCCATTGTGTATGTCTTGGTTACTTTTCTCTTCTTGCTGGGACAAAATATCCAACATCCAAAATGAAGGAAGGAAAGGTTTATTTAGCTCACAGTTGTGGTGAGTTCAGTCCATAATCAGCTGGCTCCAACACAGGATGGCATGGCACTGGGCACTACTTCAAGGCAGCAGCCAGCAAAAGCAGCCAGAGCAAAAGAAAGAAAGAGGAAGCCTCTTTTCCTCCCTTATACTGTATGCAGGCCACCCCCAGCCCCCAGAGCAGACGTAGCAGTCACAAAATCTCTGCCCAAGTCTTGTATAAAATGAGGATATTTACACAAAGATCCTAGCTTCCTGCTGAGTCTCTTAGTTAAACTTCTAAACTTCCCAAGTTGACACAATGTATCAACCATAACAGTGTATAAATAACATTTTCCTTATCCATTCATCTGTTGATGGACATATAGGCTACTTTCAGGACTCTTCTGTTCTGAGTTGTGCTGCTGTAAACATGGATGTTGTGGTATGATGACTTTAACTGTTTGGAGAAGGTACTTAGAAGAGGAACAGCTAGGTCAGCTGGTATGTTTAGAATTAGATCATTTCAGTCCATCTGCTAAATTAGTGAATTTCTTAGATTTGGGTTCCAGATGTTTGGAACCATGCAGACAACCCATTTATGTGGCCTCCTTTACAGAGCACCAGTTAATGAGAGAAAGGAAGCCTGCTAGGTCAGGTGTCCTGAATGACAGGGGCTGGCATTTACTGATGACTTTTTCCAAAGCTTCCTCAGTCTTCAGCCCCGTAGCACTTACGGTTATGGTGTTTGGGAGTGGTCAGTCCTGTATTCTAGGCCCCCAGGGATTAAACGTGCTACTGGCAGCATGAATACATCCATCACCTACCAGGTCTCTCTCCTCCCTCCGCTTCAGATAACATGTTCAAATACAACAAGAAATTCCACTTTCTGAACTCCACTGCTGGTTCTGTCCTCCACAGCTCCTCGCTGGCTGGGTCTTCTGCCCTAAAATTAGTGCTTACCCTCACTTACCCACCTTTGCTGCAGGTGACAGAAATATTGCAAAGATGCTGTAACCCTGCCAGGAGCTTGCCAGGTCATCACCTGCCAGGTCTTCTCTCTCCTCCCTCCGCCTCAGATAACATGTTCAGATACGAGAGGTTCCACTTTCTGAACTACTCACACTGCTGGTTCTGTCCTCAACAGCTCCTCGATGGCTGGGACTTCTGCCCTATAATTAATGCTTGCCCTCACTTACCCTCCTTTCCTACCAATGACAGACAGAAATATTGCAAAGATGCTGTAGCCCTGCCAGGAGCTTCTCATTCCACACACACACTGCATACATAGTTTTCAAATCATCTTGAGATGACAGATCTCTAGGTTAGATAGCAGTGTCTTAATGCAAATGTATTATCTACCTACCAACTTTAACAGTTTGTATTCTATCCAGCCTTCTATCCAGACAGAACATCAACTCCCTCCCTCCTTTTTGGTGAGCTGTGAGTTACAGTGCTCAAATGTAGATTCACAGCTGAGGGTGTGCAGCAGCATTTTTTGGTTGACATGACATATTTGAACAACTCACATTTCTTTTGTTATCGTGCTTTATTTTATGTGACTTTGAGTATCCTATTACTATTTCCTGGTTGGGAGAATAGAAAAGAACTTTTTGAATTTTAGTCATTTAATCTGGTCCTAAACAAAAGAAGCACTTTGTAGCTTAAGGTAAACTATGGTAGGTGGTAGGGTTTACATTGTTAGTCATATTTGCCTTCAGCAGTTGAGCCTGTGCAGCAGGGAGGTCTGATAGCAGGGTTTATCGAGAAATACAACGGCATTACACATAAACTGTTGGAGGTGCAGCAGGTTTTTAAGTCTACTAAAGACAGTTGCACAGTCTTGGCAGTCCTTTTAAGGGTTTTATTTGGGAGAGCCATGTTTACTGATGGCTTTGGATCAATTCTTAAAATATAAGAACTTTGTGATTTCATTGATCTGTTTAGTTCTTCTGTTGGCTGTCACAAACCATCTTGCTTTTTGGCATGTCAGAGTTCTGTAATAAAGAAATTGTACAATCAGTGGTCCTTTCTATCCAGCTTCAAAACAAGAAGCTCAAACCCAAAGTGGGTGGGCCACAGGACACAGCTTCTTCTAAGCCAGCTTCAAAGAAGCAGTGGTAGCTCTGGGCGGAGCTGATGATCATAGCTCAGGTTTGCAAGGTGGTGACTCAGCTCCTGTCTTTCCCTAAGGTTCAGCTATTCCTCTGTGGCACAGCTGGGAGAAACCACTGGCGGGAGAACTTCCCTGCCAGCTTTCTTTCTTTCTGATAGAAGAAAACATGTTCGAAGCACTTTAGTAATAAGAGCAGAAAAAGAACGTAAAGGTTATTTCAAAAAGAATTAGCATTAATAAAAGCTATTTCTGGGAAGAAAATACAATTAAAATTGACAAAGGGTTATTTTTCTCACCCAAACTTACTGAATATCAGTGTTGTAGTTTAGTTCGCTTTTGTTATCTCCAGAATTCCTGTTACCCAGACCCCTGTATGTAGTAAGTGTTTACAGGATGGCTGTTGAGTAGGTGTATTTGGAAACTTTTAGCCTATAAGTTTACCAGTATTTGAAGTAGTGATAGATTTCTTTCAGGTATCATAAAAACATAAGATCTCATTTAAAAGCCATATTTCTCCTTACATTCTCTGTAAGGGGTGTACATATAAAATACAGGGGTGTGTAGCATCCTGCTTAGGGGTGAGAATCAGGCCTTCTCCGTGCATTCATTTACTCAGCCATTGCATTTCCAGTGAACACCTACAGTGTGCTGCATGTGTCCGCACCACAGTGTCAGGAGGACACTAGCGGGTACAATCTAGAAGCTGTGGGACAGCATAGGACAGGAAGGAGGCAGGAGGCAGGAAAGTTTTCCTTGCAGAAGTATTGTCTAAATTGATGAAAAGTGAAAGTTCAGCAGAAATGAGGTCAGCCAGATGGTAAGTGGGGAGAGGTGTGTAGGGGGGGTGTTGTGTGGCACATACGTACATACACAAAAAACTTCTTAGGAGGATAGCAACCGGGGCTCAGGTTGCTGTGCTGTCTTGGGGTATTTCCTAAATCTTAGTGGTGTCAGGGTCACCTGGAAGAACTGCAGACCAAATAATTGGGCCCAGCCACAGACTTCTTCATTCAGGAGAGAGAGACCTGAGAATTTTGACCTCTACTTTCCGTGCATTGCTGTTCTAGGTTGACCCAGCTGCTTTTATGGGAATATACATCTCACCTCTGGATCTTGTTAAAATTTACAGTCTGATTTTATTGGCCTGGGTTAAGGGCCAAGATTTTGCATTTCTCACACACTCCCGAATGCACTGATAGGCTTGGTCCACTTATTTCACACATGGCTGCTCTCTGAAGTCATCTGAGAGCCTTTGAACCTGTGGTACAGCCCAGGTATCAGGAGCCTTTCAAATCTCCAGGTGATTTCTGGTACATGCTGGGGTTGAAAACACACTAGTTGAGAGTTTATGGGCTTTATACCTCCATACAATTGAAAAGTCAGAGTGAGGAACCGACTGGCTCTTTCCAAGACATGTAGAGGAGTGTGGTCACTTTCTCTTACCTCAGAGAACTGTTTGTGTGGATCACATGGAGCTTGAAGTGCGAGGTGGAAATTGCTGCCAGTCTTGGCTTTTGGGAAAGGACATGCCAAGTACAGTACTTGTTTAATGTACAAAACCTATTGTTTGTACTGTTTGGAGACAGTATATTAATAACAGTGTAGTTGCGGTCTGATCTCAGGTTGGTTAGACAAAAGAGCTAGAAAGAGCTGTAAAATGTTAATTCTCTATGTGTCTTACACTTGCAGAATTTTTATAGCTTTCCCCACTTGACACTTTTCACTCCTGCCGTCTAGACCTATAGCTTCTTTGTACCCGTGAATGTAGTGCATCTTCAGAGGAACCGAGTTCCAGTAATGTAACATGAGACGCCAGCGGTTCTGACTTTAGTTTCCTAATACTTAGATGTCTACCCACTGGCTGTCCTCACAGTGCCCGACTGTAGGTAAACTAAGCAGGCTTCAGACCCGGAGCCACCACTGCACCTGTTGTCACGTTTTCCTCCACAAGCATATTTAGCTGGTCAAACAAACTTACTGCATATAAAATGCCATCATAGATTGCTTGTAGTAGAAGGTTATTATTCAGTACCTGACACCAAAGTTAAAAGACAAAAGTAAACAATTAGAGAAAGCCTAGCAAAAGCAGCAATTCCTTGTCACTCGGGAGCAGGAACAAAACAGCCCCACCTTCCCACATACCCGGTGGGTGGAAGGCACTATGGTTCTTTGTGGTGAATTGAATGCACTATATTATCGGTATATTGTAACCTTAAAGACAAAAAGTTATTAAGAAGACTATGCAACACTTTAAAAAATATTTCTCTTAAAGTCCAATATGAGTTCTGGAAAAAATCCTTTTATTTGAAAAAGTTGTACTTCACAGCTCCAATATAATTTAGACTCACATAAATTGAGTAGCATATTAAAAGTAAATAAATCACATTCCTAATTCACTGAATTAATTCAATGTAAAGTGAATTTTCAAAATTGTATTTATATGTATGTACTTTTCTTACAGCTTTTAATCTGGAAACTTGTCGGCTTATGGTTTCAATGCTGGATGTATCCTTTTATCTTGGTTGTGTCTAGCGTATTTTTTCATGCCAATAAATTTCCTTCCTAAAGGAATTCATCTCAGAATTAATACCCAGTAAAACAAAGTGACAGCCCACTAAAAATATTTGTGAAGTAATGAGATGTTAGGATGTAATTTAGTGTGAAAATAGGAAAGAAGGCTAGTCAAGAGAGGGTTAATTGTTCAAGAACTGAAGTGAGTAGCCAAGCATAGCGGTTCACGCCTGTAATCCCAGCACTCCCGGAGGTTGAGGTACGAGGATTCCAAGTTCCAGCCTCGTCTGAGCAATGTAGCAGCTGAGTGAGACCCTGTCTTTAAGGTAAGGCATGGGGAGGGTGCCCTCAGTGCTAAGGCCTCAGGTTCAGTCCTCAGGATTGAGCAATAAAAACACGAAAAACAAGAAAGCATCGAAGTAGAACAAGTGTAGAGGAAAGCACAGCAGGGCCGCTTTTTTTCTGCAGTGTGGACACTCTGTACTCCACGCTTGACTCTGGGGGTGGAGCTCCATGTCCCTGCCCCTGGCCTCCATGGCTCTGGCACAACCCTGCAGTGCCTTCCATCCTGACACATCTTCCAGAAGTCTGGAAGAGCTTCCCCAAAAAATGTGAGACCACAGATGATCCATGCTGAGGGGAAACCATGGGGCCTGCAGCACCGAAAGTGCAACTCGGTCCCAGGAACAACTCTTATTTGTGGCTTTTGTTTGGTAGCTCACAATTCGATGTCATTTGCTTGTAATCAGACCACTTGGGTTCTCTTTTCCCACAGAATGCCACAGGTATGCATAGCTTTTCTTCCACTCTTTCTTTCTGTGATATCATTGACCATTTTATCAAACCAAGAAGGAACAATGAACTCTTTTACTCATTTAGCAGAAAGGACATTGAAGTCCTCTTATCCCAGTCCCAACTTGAGAATTTAAAAAATATTGTCAAGTAGCACAGCCGTGATCCTTGACCCCAGCTCAGAAAGATATGTCTGGTACCATGGGCTTCACGGAGTTCAAGGAGCTCTGGTCTGTGCTGAACGGCTGGAAGCAGCACTTCACCAGCTTCGACAGTGACCGCAGCGGGACTGTGGACCCTCAGGAGCTGCACAAGGCACTGACCACCATGGGTGCGTGCGACCCTGGGTGTGCATGGCTCCAGTGCTCGCCCTGGCAGCAGCAGGGCTCCCCCTGTCATCAGTGTCCCTGAAGATAGTTTCTCTTTTCCTAGAAATTGTGTCTGTTCCTCATTAAGAGGAGTTGACAGTCTTAAACAATTGTGCTTGTTTTATAATAGCTATATTTGAGTCTTTAACTTGCTGTTTTTCTGGATGATATTTCTGGCTTTCAGGGTTTAGGTTAAATCCACAGACTGTGAATTTGATCGCGAGACGCTACAGCACCAATAGGAGGATCACTTTTGACGACTACATCGCGTGCTGTGTGAAGCTGCGGGCGCTCACAGGTACAGTCTGCCTAGTGCCGGCTGGGCCTCTTACCTGTTGTTTCTTGGTAGTTGTTTCACTGAGTGCACTTCTAACAGGGTTGTGAAGCATTGCTAATGTAATCATTTTTCTTATTAGAATTTTTTTTTTTAGTGAGTAATCTTAACTAGCCAGGCACTGAGACACAAGCCTGTCACCTCTGCTGCTGCTCAGGCGGCTGAGCAGGAAGGTCGCAAGTTTAAGAGCAGCCTGGCCACTTAGCAAGATCCTGTCTTGTAAAAGTCTGGGTATGTAACTCAGGGATAGAGTACCCCTGGGTTCAGTCCCTGGTACTGAGAAAAATAAACAAAACAGAAAACTAAATTGTACTGAAATGTTCCAAAATGTAACCAGTAAATTTGTGCTATTCTTTTCATTTTTCTTCTTTTTTGGAAGTGGTGGAGATTGAAAACAGGGCCTCAGGGCCTCAGTGTGTGAGGCTGGTGCTCCACTACTGTGTTAACCCAGCCTTAACTTGTGCCATTTTGGGCAAAATGTGATTGAGTGATTTCTCTATAGAATGTGAAATATCTGAAGAGTGAATTGTAAATACTTTTCAAGTGAATGTTTTTCAATAGATTGGGGCTTAAATAGCTGGATTCACAAGCTGTTAATGGTCTTGGAAGTTGCACAATTTTTACTGACTTTGGGATAAGGTATTTTCTCCATGATGGAAAAAAAACAGTTGGCCAACTTCTGTCTGCTATATCACTTTACATAGTAAGTCTTTATATAATTGGCTTGTTTGCTTTGGTCTTTTATGTTGACTCTTGTAGAATTTAACATTACTACAATTTGAACCTAATACTATAATAATTAACTTGTGGCTTTTTCTTAAAGAAAACACAAATTTTCTGTGTTGTTTTTCAGATAGCTTTCGAAGACGGGATTCTGGTCAGCAGGGTGTTGTGAATTTCTCATATGATGATGTAAGTCTCAGTAAATTGAGAGCTGTGTTACTGTGTCTGCCTTTACTTTCAGTAACAGGCCATCTGAGTCATTGAGAAGTCATTAACAACTCAGAGCTATACCGACATAATCTGTATTTTCTGAGTGTTCTAATGTTTCTCCCCTACAAAATACAGAGATGTACATACTTTCGATTTAGGGGCCCAGGGAATGGAAAAGGTGTGGGTTTGGCCTCAGACCAGTCCATCTAAGAAATTTCTAGACGCCCTGGTCTTCAGGTTTATTCTGTAACATAGGGACAAGCAGCATGGCTTTGTGGAAGAGCTGCAGGCTTAGCAGCACACAGGGCCTTGATGCTTTCAGACGGCAAAAAAGAAATTTAACAGCGCACTGCCTATTGCTGTGTGCTTAGCCAGCATTTCATAGCCAGTACTGATGCTCAGAATTCACATTTCTGAATGTCAAAAGGTCAACTGTTTTTTAATAAAGCAGATTTTAAAGGAATAGAGTATTTAAAGGTGTGCCATTAGAGTTGAGGAATAAAACTGCAGTGTGGAATTCCCTGCCTAATTCAGCTGTATGAGTTCTGGTTTTTCTATTTGTGGATAATGATTTTGACTATGACTGTTTCTATAGTGTTAAATATTGGTTGGGATTTAAATAGGTCTTTATTGATTGAAGTAATGCCTCCTTCCTGTCAGATATGAGGAACCAATTGGATTTTATATTAGACTGTTTCCCTACATCATTCATGTATATTTTAGACAGTCATGGGGTAGGGGTTAAACCCACAATTCTAACTAAAGTGTAAACTACGTGACCATAGACTGCAGTATAATGTAACACTGTCTTTTCTCTCTTGTAGTTCATTCAGTGTGTCATGACTGTTTAAGTCAAAAAGAAGCTGCTGAACATTACATTCCGGCTGGATTTCACGTTTGCTTCCTCTTTGCCTCAAGTAGTCTGCTTAAACCTATGTCGCCACTTTCTCCAGCATCTGCTGGAAGGTTTATTACTTCACACAATTGAAGCTGTTAGTTTTGATAATGCATTCTTTGAATTTTGTTAATATAAAGTCAGGTCTATTGTACTGATGAGAACTTCCCTAACTCATTATCAATCAATGCCTTATTTTCCTGCTAAACCTCTTTTATATCAGTATGCAGAATGTTTAAGGTGCACTATGATATGAAAAACTTTTAATTAAACTAAAGCTATATACTTTTCCTCCCCTAGAGAAATGTGGTTGAAAATATGTGGAGCACTCCCTATATAAATGATGTAGACCCTCTTAGACACAAAAAAACAAACATGGTCATCTATGTCAAGGTTCATCTTAGTAGAAATTTGGCACAGGTTTTATTTAAACTTACACATATTTTGATGACCTTATCAATGAACAGGGAACACTGATTATTTGCTGCCTCTTTAATTTGAATGTCAAATACTGTTATCAAGTGCTTTGTCATCATCTATTCAAACCTTTATTCTTAAAAATTCAGTATACATTTAGCTGTGGAAAAAAATGATAGAAAAAGACTAAGAGAATGTACCAAACTATTAACTATGGTCAGTTTTGACTATACAATTCCAAGTGACTTCAACTTCATTTACACATTTCAGCATTTTCCGAATTTTCTACATGGATTCTTCCATTTTAAAATCAGAAGATACACTAATTTTTAAAGTATGGATACATCCATTTTGATACATTACATATTTATACTTTTAAGAATACACAGCAAGAAGACTAGACTAGGTATCCCACCATGTTTATCTGGAAACTACAGGGGGGTGGGGGGGGTCAGAGTAATGGGTTTCCTTCCTTCTCCTGCCAGTTTTCCAACTACTCTCTAAGAAGCAAGTATTATATATAGTAGAAGACATTTGGGTAAGGCCTAGATTCTAATGCAGTTGTGCCTCTTGCTTGTGGCTTGACCATTCTTAGTACCCTCAGCAGTCTGTTTTCCTATCTTTGACAAAAAAAATAGTACTCGCCTCTTGGGGTAGCTTGAGGTTTGAAAAAGTATGTGGTGTAATGAGTATCAACAGGGTTTGTTTCTTAAATTGGACTGCTGTGCCTTTTTTTCCTCTGATTTTACAGATATAAAGTGATCCTACTCTACTTCCTCCTTGCCAGCAGTGTATTTGTCTTATTTTAGGGGATAATGTGAGCATTACTGTTGTTCAAAAATAAAAATTTGTCTATATTTTTTAGTCTCATTTCACTAATACATTTTCAGGTGTTGCATATGTGTAGTAAATATTTTCTGACCTGATTTACGTTTCCATGTCAAGTAGATAACTAGCCAGATTACTGGACAGCGTGAAGCAGCTTGCTGTCTTACATGGTGCCTGCAGGTTCCAGCCTAGGCCTGCAGCTGTGCAGCCATGACACCTTGCTTGGGTCTGGGCTGTCCAGAAATGGTTCAGAAGGTACCCAGAGGACTAAGAGGCAGGGACGGTTCTTCATCATTCCAGTATCTGCTGTTTCTTTTAAACTCACCAGGGTCTTCTAATAAATCATAGTTTAAGGGAATAATTTCCATGGTAAGTGTGACAGTAAGAAAGAAGGCTATTGCTGGAGTTTGACCATCCTCGCCCTTTGATAAATCCCAGCTGTGCTGCCTTGATCTCGGCTCTGAATTTGCCTGGGGTAAAAGCCGGAGTATTATAAGGCTGCTTCTCAAGTCTCTCCATTCATTCAGCATTAATTATTGATACTTTGAAACAAGTCTCCCTGTCTTCTCTCCTGTTCCATTTCTTTTCAAGAGCATGGAGCTTAGAAAACCTCCCTCTCTTTGACATATGTGACACAGCATTCATTATGAATCTCACATTGCCCTTCTGTGACTTTTTTTTTTTTTTGTCTTTTTCCTTTTTATCGGTACCAGGGATCGAACTCACGACTGTCTGCTTGCAAGGCAGGCGCTTATGCCACTGAGCTAAATCTCCAGCCTCCCTTCTGTGACTTTCTAATGCCATGTACTTCCAGCGCAGCCTCACCCACTTCTTTAAAATGGTCTCTTGGTCCATTGATTGGTCTCTTGGTCCATTGATTTATTTTTTATTAAACCATAAGGTTGGAGCATGGTAAAGCTGTGCACTTAAAACTTGAACATTTCAGTTACTAGGAGGATTAAGTTTCTCAGAGCACTGCAGCTCAGCATTTTATTTTGGAGATGTGTCCTTTGGCTTTGCTTCAAGAGGTTCACACTAAGGGATCTGCCTGGGCCGCCAGAGGCCCAAGCTCCTCAGAGACAGAGACAGCTCGTGGCACCTCATGGTCACAGGCACAGGCTGAAGCGTGGTTCAGCACTTCCTCTGGGCAGTGTCTAAGAGGCCTGTGAGCTAACATGCAAGCCACCCCCAGCCTGGACTTTGTTTCAACTGATTACTATTTCAGTGCTTACTTAAATAGATTATATACCTGAGAATGCTATCAGTGTAAGAAGTGGGACTATATGTAACCACTTTTAAATCTTACAATAAACGTACAAGCCCTTCATCAATAACTTTCTTCTGTTTTTCTCACACTGTAACAGTACCCTGATCACATTTTTTCCTAAGCAGTCTGGGAGTTGAAGCCAAGGAAATTGCAAACACCAGAATAACGACTGGTAATGAAAATGGTTACTTGGGAGACAAAAGCCAGGATGGAGTCTTCGTTAGGCAGCAATAATCATGAATCTAAACTGAACCCATCCAAGACTAGATGTGGCCTCATTAAATATGTGCCCTACGATGACGGGGCATCTAGGACAGGGTATAGGAAATGATTCATTAAAGGCAAGGGGAGTGTTTTTCAGGCAGGGCAGATGGCTAAGGACAAGGTGCTTCGTGTACCACCTCCACGGAACCTGGACAGGCTGAGTGTTGGGGCCATCCTAAAGGATCACTGCATTTCTCACGCTAATCATCTGCGATGATCTGGTCAGAGAAGAGATGGCTCCCTGTGAAATACTTTCATAGAGCTTCTGAAAGAGAAGCTAGTAGGGAAAAAAAAATTGAAGTTGTACATCAAAATAAATCTTTTATTGAAAGTCACTTTATTGATGTTACAATGAGAGTAACATAGAAAACTGTAGTATTGTATTAGCTTTGGAAATGAATACTAATAAAATTGTGCCAGAAATTTAAACCTCAAGTTACAGTGACCTTTAAAAACAGCAAGAGTTTGTTTACTTACAATGTGAGAATAATTTTATAACAGCCATAAAACAAATCACGCTTGCTCAGGAAAGCAGTCGCCACATACATTTCCATTGGTTTTGCCAAAACCTGAAAGTTTTTAAAAGTTTAAGAACCCGAAGTGCAGAGAGAATGTTAAAATGATGCACATCTAAGTATATACACCTGATGGCCTGGTTATCAAAAGTGTGAATCCGCGCTGTGCACACTGCCCAGGTGGCTGTCCTCATCTGCAGATGGTGTCATACCTGCCACACAGTGATGTGGGAAATGAGCACAGGCCTGTGCTAATACCATACTGTGAGCACAGAGACTGCTAATTAGGGAGGACACTCAGTTTCTAAAGTTGTCTTTTGGGGATGCTGTCTGGGGGCATGGGCAACTCTTCCAACAAGTTAGGAAAAAAGTACATGCTTATTCTGAATCAACATTTTTGTTAAGCACTTTTGCAAGTAGTGTTTTAAAAAAAGTTTTCCATACAAAAAAAAGGTGTTGGGTCATTTTTACCCATTGAGAAGACTGATTGTAAAATCACTGATTCTGTGCTTGATTAGAAAAGTAGGGCTTCTAATCAGGCAGTGATACACATGTACAATTTAGCAGGAACTCGTTAGTAGTGCATTAATTCATGTCAGCACTTTCTGTACTGTGTTATCTAATATAACTTAGCACCTCTATATTTAAAGATTTGGGGCTATTTGCATTTTTAGAGCTTAATTATCAAAACAAAAATCACAGCTTGAAATTTACAAAAGGCTGACCCTAAAGTGGATGTTTAGGTGTGTATAGCTTTTTTTAGAAACTGAAACTTGACGGTTTTGTGCACATTATCTTAATAAGATTGCTTAGTCTCACTGTATGCCTCTTTATAAATGAAGCCAAACAACATAATTTGCCTACTTTTGGTTCCAAAAATTCTTAGGAATATGAAATGACCAAGCCCTTGACCAAAACTCTGCCACCCTGGAAGCACCCACAGTATGACACAGGTTCTGTGAACGGAGCAACAAGGACATGCCACTGGGCCACAGTACTAACAGCCAACACAGTAAACATGCAAAGCACATAGATCTGCCTCAGACACCCAGTACCTCTTTCTGCAATCTGTCTGGTAGCCACCTGAGCTCTCCCACATGCTAGGCTTTAGAGTTCTGCATATGGGTGTTCACTCTGCCTTTATGCCAGGGCTAGATGCCTCCTATCTCCCAGAGCTTGCTTTTTATTTCCTCCCTATTCTGCAAGTCACACCCTAGAAAAGATCTCTCAGTGACTTTCCAAGGTTCATGGCCCATGCCAATGTGGAGAAAGCCAACTACAGCCACCTTCCACCCCTAACTTTCTACCGCTAGGGGTCTCCAAATTTCCTCTGCAGCCAAAGGAGGCCCCATCTACCATGACCGATAAAAGTTCCTAATCATGAAGAAACTGCTCCACTGCTACTGAAGGCAGGGCTACTGCAGAAGTCAGCTGGTCCTCCAAGTGTCCCTTGAGCCCAGAGTGGGGTGGATGCACAATTTGTCAGGCCATGGATAGAAAATGGCAGAAATTCTCTTGATAGGTTTTTGTTTTTCAGTGATTGTCTGCAAACTGAACATGCTTCCTGTTTTGGACCATTACGGAGCATGAAAACGGTGTGAGCAGAAACACCACCCTGGGCCTGTTAAAGGTTGCTGCGCTGCCTATGCAGGGGTGGCAGAATGACTCCTGAGTAACAGTCCTTAGTCACCCAGTGTCAGGAGAAAAGCTGCTGCATAAAGCATCCAAGTCTCAGCCATTCATAAAACATCTCAAAGGAGGAAAATAAATGGAAGTCCCCAGTGAAGCCCCATGCCACAGAAATGTTTGCTTTTGTATACATTTTAACCTGGCAGAACAAGAATGAAAAAGCAATTCATGTAGCTTAAAAGAGGAAAAGTGTTTAGGTGGCAACTGTAGAGGAAAACAATTGAAAGGAATATAAGAGAATAAAAATTAGAAAACAGACTGCAAATGGGAGTATGGGTATTTCTTGGAAAACTAACACTGACTGCGAAGCCATGGGGGTACTCATAGTACATCCCCAAGGGCACCCCGCACCTACCACACTGCACAGACAGCTGTCTTGCCTTGGAAGCTATCAGTTCCAAACTGGACTCCTCCCTCCTCGTATACTGCAAGCTGTTCTTTAAGATAAAGCAAAATGGTCTGATCTAAACAAGGGCTAATTACCATGTTTAATAACAAGTATTTAAAATATTGGGTATTTGTGTAAAGCTAAAATATGACAGTAGGAAACGAATGAACTTGATTATAAAACACTGAAAAAAGTGACTCGAAATACTGTATTTCCTCTGGCTGAAAGATAGTTGTAAAAAGCATAAAATCTGAAAAAAAGGTAGCAGGTAAATTATAGAAAAAAGATGTAGAAATTTGGACAGGATTAAATTATGCTAATTGGCAAGGGGATCAACAAAAAAGAATGAAGAATGTAAGCTGATTAAAGAATTTGAAATGTCCTTCACTGGAAGTAACAAAGTCTTTTTATTTCAAAACAAGTTCTTTTAGAAACCTGATCAATCTTACATTAAATTCTATGCCAGGCTGGTATGGTGGTGCATGCCTTTAATCCCAGCACTTGGAAGGCTGAGGCAGGAGGACTGCTGCAATTTCAAGGTCAGCCTGAAACCCTGTGTCACAAAGAAAAAAAAAAAAATTCTATGCGGGACTGACCCTACATAACAAACACAATTTTAAAACAAGAAGAAAGAAGAGAAACTACTGTCACTTAAGCACTAACATCAAACTGAGACAGAAGTTTGTTATTTTAAGCCCATATTTGCTATATTCATCACTTTTCTTCCCAAGAAACAACTCTGACAATAGGTTCTTTCTGAGGCACCAAGTTTCTTTAAAAACCCAACTATGGCCAACGAGCTCTCACTGTGCTGTGGCTGGTTGAGAAGCACTGACCAGTTCCTTTCTGCACACTAAAGTGACTGCAGGTCATCATTTAGCTTGCTGAATCCCAGGGATTCCCAGACACAGAGAACACTGGCCAGTCCACCCCTTCAGGACTCCCTGTCACATCATATTGTCCTGCTGACGCTCCATGGAGGAGTTCACATGTTCCTTTGCACAAGAAACAGTAATAACTGGAAAAATTAAACATCTCAGGCAGCACAACTGTGACCAGAACTTTTGAGGGAAAAAGGCATTCACCAAACCATAGAGCCAAACAGCTAACTACTGTGCTGAGCAGTATCCATAGCAAGTGGGAATATCAATGTTAGAAGCAGGAAACAAACTGCCACATTGCCTGGAAGTTTCTCTCCAAAATGTGTATTTTAAAAGTAACAATTGCTGTGCTTCTAGTTCATGCTATGAGTCCATTCTATCTACCTCAGTGAATGAAAAGTCAAAATGTTTCAATGCAGCACTTTAGATCAGCCATGAGTGTACATACAGATACTTCTCAAAACTACCCCTCACAACTAAAATTTGTCAAAGAATTCCACAAATGCCTTCTAACAATGTTTAAACATGGGAGATAGAGTAGATGCTCAGAATAGCACATGAAAGCTACTGTATTTAGAATCACACTCTCTACAAATAAAACGAAACACCTTTCATTTCCATGTGAAAATCGTTACCAAGGAGTATTACAAATCATACTTATTGAACAACTGTATCTCCCAAAAGGCACATTATAATGATTTTCATTTGAAATACTAGTTTTAGATAAAAATAACTGAGCAAGTAAGAAAAATAAATAGTTTAGCTAGGTAGGTAGATGATCAGTTGACTAGCTAGCCATTTGTGGATTCCTTCAACCAAGGGCTTGTGTAACTATAACTAGGAAGCACATTTACATGAGGCACCTTATATATTCAAATCTATAATCTCTTTTATAGTCAAAATAAATCTTAGCCTTTTATACACTCAATACCAGAAAACATTCAGTGCACATTTAAAGTGATCCTGGTCAAAAGTCGCTTTATTTGCTACGTCTTTCAACCTGTGTGCCCTTCTATCCTTGGCTGGAGCTAGCAATAACACTGCTCAGCCAGCTGGGTCTGACATAGCTTTACTGAGGCTTCAACAATTGCACGCCTTCCTATCACCAACAGTGCTGTTTCCCACTGTATAATTTTGGATGGTTAAATTGCTTTCCCAAAATTTTCAAAGACTTTCAGAAGAGGGCCCCCTTACAAAAGACATGATCACAGAGTATCTAACTTGGCCCTTCAGTTTGGGCACCTGTAATGCTTACACATGGAGATGACATGGATTTTGTCCACGGAAATCACTGGAAGAAATAAATGTCAAAGACATTTCTGAAATCTCATTACTCTCAAAAAAGAGAGGCAAGCAGAAGACAACCTCGTGGCAGACCACGTGACTACCTGGACCACCAATTTCTGATCTTGTTAGGTGGAGTACTCTTTCTCTTGAAGTAACAGAGCTGCATGTGACAGCATAAAACTTTGGTTTTTTTTTTTTTTTTTTTTTTTTTTTTTTTTTTTTGATGGGGCTTTAAACATAAGTGCTCATTTTTCTAGGGATTACAAATTATAGGGCTCGAAACATCAGATTCTTGCCCCCACCAGTTGTTTATGTGACTTCACAGCTGCTGCATTATTATGGCTTTAAATCTTATTTAACCCTTGATGCCCTGTTGAGGCTTCTGAGCACAGTGGAACTGTCCATCACCTTGCTTCAAAGTTAGTGCAAAACGACTTGCTGGGCCTCAGTCCCAGGAATGACAAGTATCCTTAAGGAACAGCATGAAGTCTGTTTCTGTTGCACAAGTCGTTCTTTCCCTAGATGAGAGTGACCACAACGTTTCTCAGGAGCCAGAACTTCAGGCTAGAAAGCGCTGGAGGACTGGCAAGATGGAAGCTACTGGGTCTCAAGGGTCTTTGGTGCCTCTGTCTAATCACAGCAGCACACACCACCGGGGGCTCACCAGCCTTTAGGAGAGACTAGCAGATATGCTCTGGTACCAAAAGAGAAAGCCACTGAAACAGACACTGTGTATGCCCAGGAGAGTAAACTGGCTAGCTATTTCCCAGGGAGCAGCCAGCTGGCCACGGAGGGTCCCAAGGCAGCTGTGCTACTGGCCTTCTGCTTTGACGAACTACAGTCTCAGTGGGCATTTTATTGTCTCACTTGGCCACTCCACAAGACTGCCTCCTGTAACACAGTTTAGGGGATTCCACCTTTTAGACACATACCAGCTACACAGAGACAGCTACAGCACTGACCACTCTACATCACCTGCCTGTATGCACTAAAGACCACAGGACGAGGATGGATCATGACAGACTGTTTTTAGACATTTGGCAAAATACACTTGTGTGTAACAGCTGCTTTTTTGAATTTTAAAAATGTTTACATATGTACAACTGTTCTTGTATGCTCATATAAATATGAAAGGTAAAAACAAAACAAAAATAAAAATACATGTTTAAAGTTAGCATATGGGATATTGGCCTTTCAAGGCTTTAAGGTTCTGCAGAAAAATCCTATATGCTTTTAGCCCTGCATGCTAGTTTCTATTATGGGATGTTGTTTTCTTAATTATGGAAAACAATGAATAGAGGCTTCATGCATAGAGCATTACTGTTTACAATGAGGGTGTGCTTCAGAAGGTCAGGTTCTGAATCCACTACTGTCCTTTAGGAAACTTGCTACATTTGGGTCATGTGAGTTAATTTTATTGATATTTCTATGTATATTATATATATGTATTTGTCATGTGACTTGTCCATTAACCTACCAGTACCAGTTCCATGTTAGAGCACAACACTACAGTAGTTTGTTTCATGGTTCAATTAAATCCTAAGCCAATGACAAAAAGAAAATGATATCCAGATGTGAGAGCTGACTTCCTCTTCTCTGTGGCATCTCTGAGGGTCTTCGAAGTGTCTGCAGAGTGGAAAGATTTGCAGTGATTCCGGAGACTGGGTTTCTATAAAAGTTGAAGTAAACAGTTTTCGATGTGTCACATGTAAACAGTGGATCTTAAATGGATGTCTCCCAGAGCTGCAAAACAGAGAAAAGCAGAGTTGCACACTGTGAAAGCAGAAAAGCAGACAACAGCTCTGAGCTACGAGGGGAGAGAGTCACCGACTGTACCCTTCTCACAGCACTGTGATGCACATGCTTGCAAAGGCCACTGTTGACCTCTTTCTTCTCCACCTGCATCTCAGCCTTTTTAACAACTTCCACCCTTTGACACACTCAAAAACTTCACACCTTCATTTAATGTTCTTTGATGCTTTGAATAAAGTAAATATTCACATGAAATAAGAAAAATCTTAAATGTCATGTTGGGCCTGGTGTGGCGGCACACGCCTGTAATCTCAGCTACGTGGGAGGCAGAGGTGAGAACAGCACAAGTTCCAGGCCTGCTTGGCCTGGAGAGAGCCTGGCAACACAGTGAATCCTCATCACCAAGTGCAATGAAAATATTTCTTAAACTACACACACCCTCCATCCCCCTGCCTCCTGATAGAACCAGCCAGCGCGGTGGCTCTCAGCGGATGGACGCTGTCTGCCTCAGGCTGGTGTGCTCTGTGTTTATTAAAAGGACATCCATCCCATCCTTTAAGGCCCAAGATCACTCCGCTGGGAGGGTTCTCTGAGCTCCCACTGCCTACTGGCGAGAGGAGTTAAGTGGGGGCTGCGGGGTGTCCAAGGGAAAGATTTGGTCTGATGCTCAAACAATGGACTGCAGTGGGGAAGAAACAAGGGCCTCAGAGAGCCTTAGTTGCTTTGCATATGCATATGAATGCTGAGTAATAAGTGACATCTGGCAGGGAAGAGGAATAAATGAATGGCACCAAGGAGAGCTGAGTGTTTTGGGGAGGAAACACAAGCAGCAGGGCTACTGATCAGATCTGCTTCTCCACCGCCCAGAGAGGCAGCCCAAAGTCCGGCCACCAATGCTTCAGGACTCTGCCCCATGCTTCTGCAGCTGTCCTGCAGTGGTGAGACTAGACCAGACCTTCTATGTTACTCTCCTGGCAGCAGAAGGGGGCGAGGACCAGTCTTTTCTTCTAGAGAGCTGTCATATCCACGGGCTCTCAGGTGGTAAGGTCTCCAGCAACCCACACCCCAGCAAGACAGCGGTGGAGGAAATATCTCCAACCTGATGAAGCAAAACAGTGATCTAGACAATTTAGCAGGGAAAAAGTGGGGTCCTACCCTTAGCCGACTCTCTGAGGTAGGGGGAAAGGGCAGCAAACCTAAATTTCACCATCACACATCATATCCTGAAGGGGTCATCTATCAAAATGTCTTTTAGGACCAAGAAACTGCATGCTGGGAAACTGAGCTATTTTGTTATCTTCTATTTTTTACCATTAACCTACTATTAACCTACAGAGGTAAGTTTAATAAAACACCAATCCTTTGTAAAAGATTTTCTAATTGCAGTGATTGAATCATCTTTTAATGATGTCTGAATGATCTAACTATTTTAATGATTCTTTTTTTTTTTTTGCGTTTTTTGAGACAGGGTAGTTCAGAGTAGCGTGGAACTCAGTGATCCTCCTGCCTCAGCTTTGAGAATGCTGAGACTGCAGGTGTGCACCACCACACCCAGCTCAAGCCCTTTAGTACTGGTGGGTTTTCTTACAGACTTTGGTTTGACTGAGATAAAATTTGAGTGATCCAGAATTACCTTAGACCCCATCACATCAAAGAGGCGCTCAGATACCTAACAAGACCAAAAAGTTGAGGGACTGAGGGCCCACTAGTAGATAAATAAGTCAAGTTTTTAAAATTAGTTTTGTATATTTTACAAAAAATAAAATATCTAACAAAATAAGTAACTAACAATAGTTAATATAATATATATCATCATTATCTTTAAAATAGTTACTCAGAGTACAAGACACAGACAAAAAAAGATTCTCTGTTACAAAGAAAAAACAAACAGCTCAAAACTTTGTTTTCACTGGACTAATAGAAACTAACAGTATACGTGAAACAAATTAGCATATATATTAAAATATTTTTGAAACTACAAAATAGGTAATTTGGAGAATTACTTAAACTATATATATATATATATAAGTTTCTCACATAAAGCAAGCTATTTGATATTTAAGCTTGTGTGTGCCTTATTTCACTTAACACTACGTTCTCAAGTTGTATCCATTTACCTAAAAATGTCTCACATTTATCTTTAGGGCAGAGTAGTATCCTATTGTATCTAAATACATTTTCCTTATCCACTCATCTGCTGACAGGCCTGTATATGCTGTTTCTAAAATTTAGCTATTATAAACTGTGCTGCTATCAACATGGATATGCATGTATCCCTGTCATACGATGATTTTAACTCTTTTGGGAAGATACCTAGAAGGGAGTTATCTGGGTCAAAAGAAATTTCAATTTTGTTGTTGTTGTTTTTGAGGAATCTCCAAATTGGTTTCCATAGTGATTGTACTACTTTACATTCTCGCTAACAATGCAGAAAGGTTCCTTTTCCCCCACATCCTTGCCAGCATTTATTATTAGAGTTTTTGGTGATAGCCATTGTTCCTATCTCAAAATAGTTTCAATCTGCATTTCTCTAGCGGTCAGAGATGTTGAACATTTTTTCATATATTTATTCTGTCAGGGTTTTTAAAGCTTGTTCTTCCTTTGACATTATTTCTATCAAGATCAACACAGAGTAACTGGCCACAGCAGAGTCTGGGAATCTGAGGGAACGGCCTCTCTCACTTAAACTTCTGAGGTGCATCTGCCTCTCTAAGCCCCATCTTACCTCAGGCTGCACATCAGGGAGGTGCTCCAGGAATCTTGTGAGATGGTGATATTGTATTTAAACTTTTCTTTTATATCAGTACCAGGGATCGAACTCACAACTGCCTGCTTGCAAGATAGGTGCTTATGCCACTGAGCTAAATCCCCAGCCCCTTTGATTTAAACTTAAAGACCTTGCACAGGTTAGGCAAGTGCTTTACCACTGAGCTACACACCTCCAGCCCTGATCAAGATTTAGTCACAGATTCCCATTTTTAAAATCCTACTGATGTGTTATGAGCAGGTAAAAAGCCTGTGCAAGTGAACTAAACATGGAAATGAGGCTAATTTACCTAAGTCTCCAGCCTTTCTTGGGATACTAAATAACTGATAAAGCAAAATACATGCTTGGTTTTGTGAATTCCTGGTTTTAATATATTAATTAAAATGAATAACAGAAGATGTTAGTATATAGTAATAAATAATATACCCAGAGTATCACTAGATACATCAATGCACATTAAACTAACTTGCAATTATAAATCTGCCCCCCAAACCCCAAGAATCTTCTAATTTTCAATTTTAATTTTTCTGATTTTCTTATGAACAAATTTTAGGAAACATGGCTACTCAAAGATCAAATGGGAATGATTGCGTCCATAAATACAGGGCAGCGTCACCACCTACCCTTGCGCTGTGTCGGTTCACTGCCTTCTCTTCATCAGGAAGCGGGGGCATTGGGTAAGGGTATTTTCTGCTGGACGCAATAGACCCAGTTGACGAAGAAGGAGACTTGGCAGGAGATAAAGTCCTGAGACGTCGAGAACACAGAAATGGGTATCACACAGTTGCCAAAAACCCTTTCCAAATACCTGAAAAGTGGGTTTACAAGAACCCTCTGACGTCTATGTTCATAAGCTCCAACTGCAAAGCATTCACTACCAGGAAAGTATCTCCTTCACCCCCAAAACTGGACTGCTGGAATTTTAGCTTCCTAAATCCATGAATGCAACAGATTGTTTACATGTTACTATTTGGAATCACACTTTTCAACTAGAAAACCAGCAATGAAGTCGCCTCTAAAATAGATTTAAAAAACTAACATAGAAAAAAATAAAACTATTTAAGAGTTCGTACTGGTAAATTAAGTGCACAGCATATTAATATTCTGCTTTATTTTTACCATTTAATATGAAGTGTGTCAAAGTACAATACTTCTAATTAAGATCTTAAAATATATTACCACTGATATATTCACTAGTTGCTAAATCACATACTAGTTTACACAAAACTCATGCATTTGGAGGCCAGTGTGTTAGTTGTGAGAGAACAAAGGCAAATACAAGGACTATAATAATAAATTAGTAAACATGCAAGCAGTAAGGAGTGCAGTTTCAGCCAAACAAAGTCTGATGAGAACATACAAAAATGGCCTGACACAAGTGTACAATCAGCATTGCTGAGAAGCAGAGGTGTGTTATGTGGGCCTTGCCTGGTGCTTGTATCTGTAATGGTCATGTATGCAACTACACTAGGTGTGCCAGGAGAGCCAGGCCTGCTAACTTGTCTTTAAGAGTGGGAAAAACAAAGCTGAGTGAAAACATCCCATTCAGAGCACATCAATGGAAAACAGTCATGATTTCTCTGCTATCTCCTTCCCAAATACCGTTCTATGCACCCTTGACTTCTTAATTCCTGGTACGAGGTGGCAAAGACTTGTATCAAGAACTGGCCCACTGCCACATTCTAGAGCATGTATTTATTCCAGCAGGATGTAGTTCTATACTATGACTGAGCAGGGAAGGAGGTGCGGAGGGGAATTGGCACTGGATAGGGCATGATCTACTGCCTACCCTGCCTTGGGTTCCCACCTCGATCACATCCTTGGCTCTGCTTTTGCAGAGCTACCTTCATTTTCACTTTACAGACACTGAATTCAAACTGAAGTTTGAAGATCACTTTTCCTATCAACTCTGAGAACCAGGTGAACATTCTTCATCAATTATAGGAATCAATGGTAGTTCTGTAAGAATATTAAGTACTTCAAATGCGCTGAAGTTCTATCAAAACAATACACAATGAATATTTTTCTATTTCAGAAATTAATCTACTTTAGTAACACATTTTAAAAGGACTAAGATATTTTATGCATAAAATGAGGACAAGTTTATGCATTTAAGTACTGAATGCATCTTTCTAAAATGAAGGCTATTACCAGGGTTTCAGCTTTTTAGCCTAAACATTATTGGTAAGAAATCCAAGTTCAGGAAAGCTAGTTAGGTATGCAAACACATAACCAAATCTTATTTACTTTAGGGACCATGCAAAACAAGCCTTTGTATTTATTTTTCTTTTTTGTTTTGTCTTTTTGAGACAAGGTTTCACTATGCATTCAGGCTGGCCTCAAACTCACAGTGATCCTCTGCCTCAGCCTCCCAAGGGCTGGGATTATAGGCCTGCACCACCACACCTAGCTAAGCCCTCTTTTTAATTTGCTGTAATGAGTGTGTTCAGAGCAGGAGTTCTTAGCTCTCAGCTTCATAGCCACGCCAGCTTCAGCCTGATCATAAATCAGCCACGTCCATTTACAAAGCCATTTCAGTGAGGAGTGCTGGAAGCACAGTCTTCCCTTGCAAATCTTTCCTGAAGCAAAGCCACTAATGGTTGAAAATAAAAACTGGAAGTAATCTCTAGAACCCCAAAGAAACCACACTCGATTGCCTCTTACACTATATACTCATTAACAGACACTCCTAGTGCTAAGAGGGAGAAGGAACTGGGGTGAGGGAGCAGGTCCTGGGGGGGGGGGTGGAGAAAGCTACAGTAGGACTGAAAAATAAAACCAGAGAACAGGGCAGATTAGTTTAAGGAAAATAAGCTCACTATTTTCCATCAATGTCCGAGGATTCTCAGTTACAGCATGGTTTTCACTTAAAAGCCGGGCAGGAGCCCAGCCCAATCACTCATGAAGTAAAGTGAACCTCTGCATAAATGCCAGCCATTATCATTACTTGATTAAAAAAATAATCATCACAACTGTTGTAGCCATAATTAGAATTACAGTGAAAGTGTGCTTTTGTGCCAGTGGGTTGTGGTATGTGTTGAGATACTTCAGACTTTCTAGGCTTTTTATTTTTGCAGCTATAAGGTAATTTTAGTTCCACTCTGCTACTCAAGACGCCTAAAGCAAACCAGTCACATGAAGAAGACACAGTCACTCTTCATTCATTTTTAGAATAGCCAGAACCAGGACTAAAGTGCCTCAGACAGGGCTTAAGTATCAATACTCGCTCCACTGTTTTTCAGAAAGTGTAGGAAAGAGAAACCCACAGAGGTCACACAGAGCCACCTGCAATTCTGGATCTAACACACACTAACTCTGCTCTAACACAACTAACCCTGTGCCTCAGCTTCGTCCAAGCACAGCAATGGAATAGTGATGCCTATAACTCATGATGCAAGACATGAAGCTCACAGTGGGCACTTGATATATGACAGTTACAATTATTAATCTATTTTCAGAGTCATGTGAAAATAGAAATGTCAGACAATGCAAAATTAAAAAACACTGATGAAGTGAGTGATCCCCTAGGTAACACTCAGGGTGAAGGACATCTTCCAAGCCTAGGTAAAGCAGTGTCACCAACAGAACTTGTTCCAGGCTCTGGGAGTGGTGATGATATGCTCTCACCCTTATTTCACCTGCTCCTTCCTGGTGGCCCTAATACATGCTGAGGACAACTTGACCACTGTCACACGGGAGCTGGGGAGGGTGTCTGCTCACTCAGGTCCTACAGGTGCTGGCCTCACGTTTTACAGTGGCACAGCACTAGGTTGTAAGTGCTATACCATATTTGGGACTACTTTACTGTGGTCACAGAAGTCCCCAATGCATTTAGATAAAATACCACAAATCCAGTACCATGTGGTTGATTAACATGACCTTTGACTTCACTGACGGTTTGGGTGGGGTAGGTCCCCTGAATGACCTGCTGGCAGATGAAGCCAATGTGAGTGTAAGCAGAGGGTTGGCAGAGCATAAACCAAAGTACAGATGTACTGAGACCTTGCTGGTAAGACCCAGCTTAGATGGAGAGTGGATGAAATTCTCTGTCACATTAGAATCATGGTGTTAAAAGCTCCGGGTCACCTCAATTATTCATCACTGTCGCAGAAATTCGGAGTCAATTTTCAAGTCTTACTAGCATAACCCTTACCATTCCCCCAAAGGACATATGCATTATTAACTGTCCAGTTACCTTAGAGGACATTTGCCTCTAAGCAAAAATATGAATTTTAAACAATTCTTAATGGGAGTCTCTAGTATAGGAACCAACATCTCATACTCAAAGAAGAGACACAGGAACCCTCTAAAATTTCTCAGGCAGCTTTGCACGTGCAACCAGGGGTGCAGAAGCATTTTCCCATCCACACTGCTTTCAGTCATGCAGCTTCTGGGCAGACCTGGGGGCTGCTTTTAAGAAACATGAACCCTTCTCTGGAAGCTACTCAGCTCACCCAAGGTGGGTGAATTGACTCTTTCGGGGGACCATCTCACCGATTATTGCTGCAAACACGCAAAGTCCATTTAGAACAAAATCTACAACCCACACAGGACCAAAGTTGTTCTGTTTTGGTTCCATGGCTAGTACAAATTACAATCTGCCCACAAGCCTCAGTAAAATGCAGGTGAGCCACAATTCCACGGAGCATTCAAAATCAGCTTACCTGTCTTCCTGACGCTGGCCATCTTGGGAGCTACAGGTGAGGGTGGGATGTTTGAACGTGAGAGTATGTGCATGAGTGTGGGGAAGTGTGGGAAGCAGGACGGGGCAGGAGTGAAGGGCTGGGTATAAAAGCAGGACGTACTTTTGTGAGCAGGCAGGAGTTATGCTTTCCTTGGGGTATATGCAAATGTTATGGATCAAATTAAAATGCAGGTAAGTCTAATCATTTTCTCAAACTGTAATGACTAAACTAAATGGTACACTGGAAGAGAAAGTCACCTTATATGGGTGCTGAGAGTTAACACACACACTTATTTTGGTATCTGTTCAGTGCTAATCCAAGTCATAGTGATACTATAAAAGCTCATTGTTAAATGATGTTCAACATCAGTGTCCACAAAGTAATCAGATATAAAGTGGACATTTGCCTCTATGAAACCTCTCTGGTATTATAAAGAGTGATTTTAAAAAGCCATTAGGAGTTCTTAAGAGATTCTCTCTGACCTCTAATGTTACACAGAGTTGCAATGAATTGAATAAATGTGACAGTTTATATTATATAGGGATGTTCTTCTCTGTGTCAAATACATGCTTCTTTGCTGCTTCCTATTCTAGTAGCAGTGCTAAACATTCCTTACTAGCATTAAGAAAATTTTTTGTGGCAATGCCATGAAGCGCTCTTCGTGGCATTAGTCCTTCCCTGGTAGCAAATGTTATATTACACAAAGAGAACCTACACTCCCTGGTTTTTTCAGTGAGGGCAAATACTTGTTTTTACTGAACATAAAATTTCACTTCTTTTCTTGTTTTCTTCCTTGAGTTTTCATATGTACTATGCATTCTCAGGCAGTAAGTAGGAAAAATGCATTATGAAACTGCTGGATCTAGAAATTAAACTGCTGAGGTTAATAGTGCTCCTTTATTAGTGAAGGTATGTGTCATGCCCATAGAACGTTACATAGCATCAAATGAAGAGGAAGCTACTAAAAAGCTTAAGGTGGCGACAGGGACATGCACTAAATGGCAACCCCTCAAATGGCAGCAAAGAAACAGGACCCTCTTCCATCTATACAAACTTGTATGAGGAGATACAAGATAGAGAGCCAGTCACAGTACAAGATTCGTATGTGCTGGAAGAGTTTGAAAAGGATAAAAATTAATTTATAAAATACCTAAAGTATGGTCCTTCAGTGTTTTTATTCACATCTTCTACCCACTTAGCTACATTATAGTCTCTTTTGAACCATGGATTTAAATACCTGCAGAAAGCAATGGAAGGAACAAAGAAAGCAGAACAAGATAGAAAAATCTGAAAAAACACAGCACAAGCTTAGCAAGGATGTCTTCACCCTCCATATGCAAGTGACTATGGCAAATAAACCAGGATGGGCACTGGGTGATTATGAGGTAGCTTATATATAAATACATATATATATATATATATACATACACAATGGCCTGGGAATAATTCAGCTATAGCAAGGCTCAAGGCATCCTCAAATGTATCCAGCAGCTCTGGGAAGGCCTTTGCCAGTGGCTTCCAAAGCAAATCAGAGCTCCCTTCCAATCGCAGTCCTGTCAGCTCTCCCGCTCGCCCACCTCCACGTGCCTTTTCCCAGGCCACTGCGGATTTGGTTCCTCATTTTTCAAATGGCAATTGTGCTTTTTGAAAACATTCAGGAGGCCACAATTCCAATCTGTCATTGGAGTATATAAAACCCCAAGAACAACTGCAAAGAGCAAATTTTCTTTTCAATACAAGAAGGCAGCTTTTCATGGCCACTGTCTCATTCCCTATTATTTTGCACTCAAGCTGGGATGCACAGAAAGTACTTCCGGTCAGCTGGGGAAGAAGCAGAGGAGGTCCACTGGGGCTAGTGGGTCCCAAAGCACAGGAAGTACAGTCTACACAGGGCTCCACAACCTTGGGGATGGGGCTAGTGATTCAGCGGCAGGCAGCGGCAATGCTCCTCTGAGCCCTCCAGACCGAGGCCTCCTGGTACTGTCAGGAAATGGCCCTCAGGATTGCCTTCCAGGAATCTGATTTTGAATTGAGTGAAGGACTTGCACAGTGACAGCGACCTCAGCTAGCATTTCCCTGGTGCATCTGGCAACGTCTCCATCAGCATGACTGTGCAGATGTTAAAGGCAATAAATCTGGAGATGTGGTCATTATTCACCCCAGAATCTCCTTTGATTTTTACATTGAGGGAACAACTAAGAACGCATCCCCTTAGAATTTGGCCTTGTAGAACAATACAGATTTAATAAATTTAGTAGTACAAGAATTTGGAGGTTTGACTGGGCTTTTTCATTTTAAAAACAGTAACTTCTAAAAAGAGTATAGGCAATGGAGATTCAAGCTCTACAACATTTAAATATTATAAAATACATTATTTGTTTCTAAAGTTTGCATTTACTCTTCATATCCTTGAGCTGTTTGTAAATATGTTTAAAACCAAAACTACATTTCCACAGTAACAATTTTAAAGACAGGTTATTTTTCATGGCCTGTCCTTCAAGTGTGACTCATAAACAAGGAACTCTACAAAATAACTTGATGATTTTCTCTTTTTAAAAAGGTGTTATTTCTTGTTATACTTTTTAAATTACTTTTAATTTACATTTATTTCTAGGAAACAGGGGCTGACTGTGTGTTCCAGGCTTCCAAGCTGACCTAAAGTCGCAATGATCCTCCTACCAGCTTCCCAGGCATTGTGATTACAGGTGTGCGCCACCCCGCCTGACCTTTTTATACTTAATGGCCATCTTTGCTAAGATAACTGTCTTGACTTAGGGGCGACTCGCAATGACTGCCAACTAGTCACAATCACTGCCAACTTGCACTTTTCACAGACATCCCCAAAGCCTGCATAAAGAGCTCCACTGAGACTGAACAAAAAGAAAAAATCAAGAAGCAAGTGCAGCAGCTGATAAAGGCTAGTGAATGCTTTGGCCCGGGGCAAACTGTATTAAAAGCCCATGCAGCTGTCATCAGGTGAAACAGAGCCACACTGCAGTCACCTACAGGGAGATGGCCACTTCGTGGAACAGATGTTTACTTTTCTCACTGAGTATCTCAGCAAATCAAAAGACAGGTGCCATGGCTATTCCATGAAAGCTACAGTTACCTGGCTGGACTTGCACTTGATGGGCTTTTTCCTGTGTTTCAGGAGTAACTCAGAGGATGGGTCACTTCACAGAGCCACTGAAGAGAACTCTGAATTATTGCCCCACCTGGAATCTTACTCAGAAAAGGGTCTTCAGAGGGGACTTCCTGACATCTCTGCGTCACAGCGGCCTGAGTGGTGGCATTCTGTCAAATGTCAATCACCCTGTATGGCTTGACTTGGCTTGTAGCGCAACATGCAAAAAATGCGTCAGACGGGATAGGAGAGCTCTTATGTTCTCCAGGATGGAAAGGCAGAGGAAAATCAGCTGGTGCTGGCTGGACCAGGAGCACCTCTGAGCAGACAGAGGCTCAGTCAAAGATCAAATGACCCTGTTCTCAGCCAAGGAAGGGACTGGAGGGAGATTACGTGGCAGCCCAGAATGAAGGGGCAGGTGGAGACTGACCTGTGATCCAGACTGCCTGTCTGGGGGCTGTCAGAGCCCCCTGGGCTTATGCCTTGGGATGGGACTGTCTGGGCGAGGGAGTGCCCAGGCTCGGGTGCTTGGGGCTCCCTCCTGTAAAAAGACAATATATAATACAAAGTCTAAGCCAAAAAGCTCTTTCACATCATGTACAACAGTGAGGAAGATTCATAAGCTTCGAGTGGGAAAACAATACAACAAATAAGGACATTTTATTTTGTCAGTCTGCGAAGCATGTATTTGTGGTACATGTTGTCATTCATGTCCCAGTTTTCATCACCCTTGGGGATGATGGGGTATTAAAGGCAACACTGAAAGAATGGACCTGAAATACCCCGTTGCTAAAAAGCAAAAACAAAAACAAAGATATCTTTTCCTGTGATCATTTTGCTCCTTTTATAGTCACACAAATGGTATTATTACATCAGAAGCAAATGAGATTACTTAAAAATGTGCCAACATAATTCTTGACATTATATATCAGGAATCATTATATCATTGCAGTGCTATGGATCAAACTCAGGGCCTCGGGCATGCTAGGCAAGTGCACTGCCACTCAGCAACATTCCAGCCCAGGAATCATTTTTAAGAAGTATAAAAATGCATGAATATACAGAGAAATAGTCCCAGTATCAGAAGGTATATGAGAATAGTGCTCTACTTACTTACATAAGTCATGTACTAGAATCAGAAAAGTCTGAAAAATCTGAAGGAATTAATTCAACTCCTTTCTAAGATGACTCTTTTGGGATATCTTATTAAATATTTATCTTATTAAAAATTATAACTTAACTATCTCAAAGCTAGATTTCTCAAAGGCTTCCATAGTAGTATAATTTTCAATTTTATGTGAGTGGAAATTACTCACAGAATTTTAAGAGGTCAGTGAATGCCCTAGAAAATAACTTATGAATATTGCTAAACACTAAATGTTCTTTGGAGCTTAAACTAGCAACTGTAACATACTTCTGGAGTTCTTTTTTTCTACTTAGCAACTGTCAAAGTTTTGCTACAGGGGCCACAGTATTAGAATACTCAATGGTACACGACAGAAGTTCTGTAGAACAGTTTATGGTTTTCATCTGTTTTCTTACGTGCAGTTGAGATAAGCTAAGGAGCTCTTACCAGGTGACCTCATGCAAAACAAACCAAATAACATTCCACGAAAGAGTTTATCAACAACCCCCAAAAGCATCCAAGCGCTTTGGGAATGCATAAGATAAACTCTAACCGATTAGTTATTTATGATGAAGTTCTATGATGCCATTCTGGACCATGCAGTGCTATCACTTGAAATTGTTTATTATTTCTAAGGTAAAGTATCCTCTAATAAACTTTGACAAACCACTTACAAGACAAAACCATTCAGGTGGAAGGTCCAAATTTCAGGGCAATGTTATTATTCCTGGACTGAAAAAGGCAGGGTACATGATGGTAAAGCTAATTTAATTTTCTGACAAGCAGTTAACAAATACCTGCTATTCAGACTTTTTAAGTGTTAGGGCATGAAGAAGCAATAAAGATCCTGGAAATGATAAATACTACTAGACTAAGAAACAAGCAGGAAATCTTAGGTGCCTTAAAAAAGTATGGTTCTTTAAAACCAGGTGGTAACTTCAGTTCAAAAAGATACGGAAAATTAAAGGTTTAAGGAGGCTTTAACTTGTGCTTTCTTATGCTGGAAAAACATTCAAAAAACAAAAAGCAAAGGGTGTTTACTTCATTATTAAAGACATTAAATGAAATTTCCAGCCCACTTCCACTTAAAAAAAAAGTGGCTATCATTTAAAATGAGTAGTGTTGTATTTAGTGACAATAACTCTGCTGAAGAGCAAGTTTAGGTCAAGGCCCTTTTAAAGGTCCTTGGAAGGATCCTTTAAAAGGGGAGCTTATTCCCTAGTCTGAGAGAATGCTTAGATCGCAGCCATGAAGACCTCAGAGCGGTGGTTTCAGGTCCCGAGCACCATCATGCTCCAAGGCACGGGGAGGGTCCCTGATGTTTCCAATCTGCATGTGCAGTGGGAGGAGGAAGGGTGGCCCCTGAAAATGGCTGAACCCCAGGTGATGAGAAGAAAGGGGTGTTATCAAAATTCCCTTTGGAGGGAACCAAGACACCACAATGGCAGGTGACTGGCAGGAGAGCCTGCAGCGAGGGTGAGACCCCCACTGTCAGTGAATATTGGTTTGGGCACAGTTGCGGAGATGCCTATGTAAAAGAGAAAAGCCACGGTTAATTTTTAAAGGGCAAAAAGCATTAAAGAGACAAAACCAAGACCAGAAGCATGGTTTACCAGTTCTTTTGGCTATTTGCTTAATTAATGTTTGACACTAATTACATGGACCTTGGAGTGCCTTTTACCATTAGGAGGTTCAGACTTACTCAGTTGAATTAGATCGAGGTCTAAATCTTTTGCCTCTGATTTTCTTTCTGTTGCCGCCCAGGTTACCTGGAAAAGATGGTTTATAGCCAGATTTCCATACACATAGGTAACTGCTCCATGTCTACCTACATGGCACTTCACCACCCTCAATGAAGCAGGTTGTCACAATGAGCTGTATCCTTAGCCCCTTTCTGTTATTTAGAGACAGGTTCTCTTCAAATCACTAGAAGTTTTCCAGGCTGGGATCCTCCTACCTAGGATCTGCCTGCCTCAGTCTCCCAGAGTGCTGGGATTACGAGCATGTACCACTATACTCAGCTGGACTTACTTCTTTTAAATATAAAAGCTACTTTTTAAACTTCTTCCTCCTAAGGGCATTAACAGCTAGCCCCTCATCTTCTCAGATGAATGGACCAAGAAGTAACACTGTTGTCTGAAAGTGAGGAGGTCTAGTAGGTTTCCTTCTCCACAAACAGAGCAAAGGAGGACAGATGCCATGAATGGCAGGGGAGATAAAACTACTCAAGAATTTCCTTGTCTGTTACCTTACTGTATTTCACCTCTCTCTTTCTTCTGATAAAAGCTCCTTATGCACCTAAGCAAGGGGAGATGGCGATGTGAGGCACTAAGAGGCCCTTGCATCTCCTTTGGAGCTAGCTTTAAATTCATTCTTTTCTGTTTGTCTTAACCAAAGATGACTGTCCTCTATGTTCTTGGGAAGCAGTGGTGGTACAAACCTCAGCAAACTAACATACTGGTGCTACTAAACCCCATCATTTCCCATCCAAGAGGAGAAAAAATAAAATGAAACAAAGCGAACACTGGACTGTCATTCTAAATAGCCTCCTCTGTACTGAGAGAAGAGCCAGGGAGCTTATGGGAATGAATAATCGTGTCTTTCTGCGCAGAGACTACGGAACACAGAATCTGGGGTATGCCTGCAAGCAGTCACAGTGCTGCCCTGTACCTTGCCAAGAGTTACTTCGAGGCCGCCCATTTTCACAGATGTCTGAAATGTGCTTTGTGTCTGGAATCCTTTCACTCCAAGAATGCGAGAGGCCATTTGACCTGAAATTGAAAATATTTTTATATTGTGCAAGATGGAATCAGATGAATGCTTTGAAATCAGTCAGCAAAACTTAGCATCACTGTGTACTAAACAAAATAAATCAAGAAGAAATCTGAAATGAAAGAATGAAAAGAACATGAACATCTTTATGACGAAGGCAGAATTACACAACATTCAATTTAAGAAAAGTCAAATACAATGGAACCCCATTACAGTCGTCCATAAATGAAAAGTACCAGGACTCGATGCAAGCCAAATTCTATTCCCCAGAACACAGCAAGCACGTGCTGCAAAGGCACTGAGTGTTTCAGTGACACAAGCCCAGCTGCAGAGTTGTAATGGGGTCCCACCATAGATGTTTCTTAATTGTAAAGCAATGGCTTCCATTCAAATATCATGAGAACATGGACTTCTAAGAGACTGTATTAAGATTTGCTCAACCAAACCAGGTCCATATTTATAGTTTCTTAAATAATAAAATTATTTTCCAAAAAATTTGGCATTTTTCTTCTCTATAAATTCAAAGAACTAGAATACATGTTGGTTAATTGGCCAATAGCTGAACTGAACAACATGGAGGTCTGTTACAGAAACAGCTCTCACAAAGCCCATGTACCATTGGCCCTTGGCCCTGTCCTGCCAGCTTAAGTCAATCATCTGTAAGAAGCAAAATCTACACACCTACCTTATCCCATTACAAAAGTCTGACAAACTGTACATACTTTAATGTCTAATAATTTGATAGATTTTTAACTGTCTGAAGTAATAAGCGAGTAATATTTTTTAATTATTCATAGGAATATGTTAAACTCTTAAGTGCTTTAAATATTAGCACCATATTTAAAATTGTTTTCATATAACATTCTGTCATTATTTGTTGCTAATAATATCTATGTTTAAAAGAATTTACCACATGGAACTCAGCACAGTTGTTACATGTTAAAGCCCGAGGTTGGAACTTTTCAACATCACTTGCTACTTACAGAATAACTTCTGTTTTGTAAGAAAGGATAACAGAAATTCTGCTGGAACTCATTTATTTCTCTTTACTGTTATACAATTAAAGTTTTTATATTGGACCAAGGAAATATTTATATAAGCAAAATCAAGTAGATCCCTAATCGTCTTCTCCTAACCAATAAACCCTCAATAAATTCAAACATTTAAAAAAAATCTTTCTATAGGCCCCAAACTAGTACTTCTGCCTCTGCTTTAACTTCTAACTTCTATTATCAAAGTGAAAGCTGTCCTTTATGTTTAACAAAATTCCACAGAAAGCAGAGCTCCCAAATCTCACCAGTCCCTTCTACTCTCCTTCTATAAAGACTGAGCATCACTGCAGACTTTTGACAGATAGTTCTGTCTAGGCCACCAGGAAAGCTCATGTTCCCACTTAATAACCTAGCTCTGTGCAAAAGAGTGGATATGCCTACACTCATCTGTGGGGCTACCAAGATTTTTTTCCTATCCATTACACCCCTACTGGCAACTTTAAAGAAATTTCCCATAAGAATATTTTAGCTTCCTTCAATGTAAATATACATCTCACTCCTTAAAATATTTCAATTATTTATTTCTTCTATCCATTTACCATAAAGTAGTCATAAAGCATGCAGAATTTTAAGTGGTGCCAAATACCTTCCGATGCTAGAACCAGAATATATATCATAAATATTTAAGATGTATAAATACTATATTAACCTCACCTTACTGTTATAAAACTCAGGCAAATATTAAGCATATTTAAATTAATTTATCAACTAAGGTATACATCACATATCCAAACAGTCATTCCAGAAAGAAAAGGCAAAATCAGAATATTCAAATACATGATTCACAGAGAAGCAATCTGTTTCACAGCAAGCTTAGCTTGTATATACATGAAATTTTTAAAAATTCAAGACAGCACTTATATTACCAATCTATGTTAACTGCTTTTATTGAAGCATGACAGTAACCTTTTTCTTTGACTACCAAATATGACATAAAGCTCACCATTTAAAAAATATTATTAAAATACTATGTCAGTTTCTATAGCAACTTGGTTTCTTAAGCCTTGTAAAAGCAAGACTAAAATACCCTGGGGCTTCTATGCAGATTTAAATTGTTTTGTTTTGTTTCAATTTTGTGGCCTGATTTGTATACTGAGTGGTTCTGAGCATATGGCATTTTGAAATAGAGTAATCAAAGAACAAAGGATACTATTTTTTAACATTCAAGAAAGAAGGAAGAAGTAATCAAACCTGCTGCAAAATAATGAAATGTTCTGACTAATGGAATAATGTGGGATGGAACAGGTAGAAATCTGAAAATGCGACAGAAAGGCAGACCTCTTCTTAGAACTAGATGCGGAGTTTGTGCTGACTCCTGGAGGGATGTCGCTATAAAAAGAGTCGCCATCTCCGGGCTTTTTTACATAATCTCCCTGGGGTAACTGTCTAAGGCATAATAAACATTTCAGAGTCAGAAAACAAGACACACACATGAACACAGACATATACAAATATTATTTCAGGAAAAAAAGAGGTAGGGATAATGATCTACATGAATCAAATCTATAACAACACATAAGATTATTAATAAATGTGATAAGTTAAAGTCATTCTAACTGTAGAGATCAGAAATACAATTACTGATGTCTTTATAGATTAGAAGAAAGCTTAACTGGGAGGGAAATGTGGAAAGATGAGATTCTTAAAATTGTAATTTCACTGAAATTGGCGATGTTAGCTGCAGTTTTGCCTTTTAAAAAAATTGATGTGGATGATATGGTAGGACAGTCCTTCCCTAGATAAAGCAGTTTTCTTCCTACTATAGTGAATAAAATCCATAATTTCTGAACATTATGTAATGAATGTAACCTTGACTTTTTTTAACTGACTAGTTTCTAAGGTATTCCATAATTTAATCCAAAAAAATTATTAGTGTGGTATTCATTGTGGCATTTTATTATTTATTTAAAAGAAATATGAAAAAAGTGAAAAAAGACTCCACGTTGAGTCAAAACAGTAATCTTATAATTAAATTGCATTTTGCAAAGGGAGAGAATGTACCAAAGGGAAGAAAAGGTCGCACTTGCAGGTGGATGGGGCGACTTCCAGTGCCTCTCCACTGTCCTGAGAGGATAGTCCACTCTATGTGGGTGCCGACCCCACCATGAACAAGGCTGGCACAAACTTCTCTTACTTCTCCTCAAGGAACCAGGTAGGACCTTTACATGGTGACCCCCAGTCAGCTAAAGCACAGAAGCTAATGTGGTCACCTGTCAACACATGGCCCTCACGTAGCCAAACTACCTTCATTCAACACTGGATTCATCTGCTCAGTGCTAGCGTGCAAGGCGTCTCTCACTAGTGCAGAGCTACAGGTGTTAAACGCAACTGTACTGAAGTAAGTCTCCAAGGAAAGCAAACACGTGGGAATTACTTCTATCTGGTCTCTCTCGAGTTACCGTGATAATCTTGGCTACTTGCAAATGCTAATTTTTTTCCCCCAAAATGCCACTTTCAGGTGTCTGCTTATTTATGTTGATTCTCAGATTGCTGTAAATGCTTAATCATCGTTCTTTTGAATAACTGACTCTCTCATATCACTTCAGTACTATTTGACTCTCCCATTTCAATGCTATTTATTCACACTACTGTAAATCTGAAAAAACATTTTTCAATAGATATAAAGCATGCATTTGTGTTATTTAATCTACTTCCCTATTTTAATGAAAGAAAGAATTTACCACTAAACTAACCTGTAAGACTAATTCTACCCACAAATCTTTGACATAGGCTCCTTCAAAATATGTACTTTTAAATTCTGAGATGAATTAAACTCATGATTATCCTTTTTTTTTACCAGTTGTTATGATATACTGATTTTGTATGAAAAATAAGCTTCTATATTTGTAGTATTAATAATATATGATGAATAACTTATCTTCTTACGCAAGAGATCTTTGATCTCTGGAATCATAATTTGTTTTATCTTGTATCAGTAAAACACTCCTTCAATACTTTAAAAAAATGGCCTCAATGAAATCAAAGTTCTGTATCTTGTCTCAGGGAGGAAACATGTCTTTTGTATTATATTTATTAAAAATAACAGTATATAGTCCTATCAACGTCAAAGTTTCAATAATAATGGTTAATAAATTCTTTTGGTCATTATTATCTTTAATATCCTAATCAGGTATGAGGTATATCTTAATCAGCTATGATGCATATTTTAATCAGGTAAGAGGTATGGCTCAACAATTAATGCCTTAATCAGGTATGAGGTATGTCTCAACAAATTTAAATGAAGTAAAGACAAGCTACCACATAAGAGATCAGAATCATACTTTACTTTCCAAGAAGACCTTGTCTCACATGGTCCAGGTGTTCAGGCATCTATCCTGGCACCTATCAACGCCTTCGTCAGCAGGGACTGTTTTTTTTTTTTTTTTTTTTTTAATGGAACATGATTTACCAGTTTTTTACTGTAACTTCTCTGAAGCCCACAGTCATTTCTGACACAGTGCACAAACACCCTCAATGCCCAACATATCACAATCTGTGGATTTCAGCCCAGGGCCTGGGAAGTTCAGTTGAGTGTGCTTTTGGGGCAACTTCTGATTCACCTGGTCAGACTGGACACTCTTACCTAGATTATCTATCTTCACTGGAAAGTGTCCAAAATATAGAAACTACTTCTGTCTGCATCCTCCTGGAAATACAAGGAATGGATGCACCTTTTTACATAGTAAGTACTTGTGATAGATTATTAATTTGTTAAGAACATTTAGTATCTTTCATTCTCCACTTTTGTAATATGCATTACATGTTTAACAAATGTTTCTGGCTTTAGTGAAGATAAAGATGCTAGTGGTCCATTATCAATAAAATAGTATTTTATTATCTTTTATGAAATATCATAGAAGACCAACCAAATTATGTCCTTAAAATGCTTAACTGAACTTCTTTTTCCAATCCTTTTTAGGTGTCCCTCCTAAATTTTGAGTGTTTTTCATATTTCCTTAAATTTGGAGTCTTTAACACATTAACTGACCTAACCAGTGCTAAAGTATATAATGGGAAAATTAACTCATGTTTCTCATATTATATGCAAATATTTTAGACATGTGCATATTTTTATAAAGAATAACTGAAAAGGAAAAAATACTGTGACTATTTTTCTTCAAAACTATTCCTTCTACATTAATTATAGGTTTTTTTCTTTTCTATACAATTTTAATTGATTTTGTTTTTTTTTTTTTTTTTTTTGTCTTTTTCCTTTTTATCGGTACCGGGGATCGAACTCACGACTGCCTGCTAGCAAGGCAGGCGCTTATGCCGCTGAGCTAAATCCCCAGCCCAATTGATTTTGTTTTGAATTGATGTGTCTCATTTAACATGCTTTTGAAAGCATTCTACTTAAGTCAAGGACAAACTGTTAAAACTTAAAGACTTTGGAGGACATAATTGATACTAAGTATAATTATCACTTGTCTGAAGGTTTATATTCACTTTTTGTTTGTTCTTATTCTACCTTAGATTAAACTAGTCCAACTGTGTTCATAATTGTAAATTATCTAGTTGCTGCAAAAAAGCATTATAAATTTCAACACTAAGGAAGACTATTTCTTAAACACCCCAAAAGTTTTTGGGCAAATGGTTGACCTTATTATGAAAGAAGTCTGATCTTTTCTAAAAGTATCCCTTAAACTGTTACATTTATTTGCATAACCCCTAAGCATATGCATAATGAAAAAAAAAAAAACAAATTAACCAAGTCTTAGCCCTAGTGCTAAAGAAAATAATTATCCAGTGCTTCACTGGGGTCTGGGCAGACCCTTATCAGAATTGTTACTGTACTGTTTTAAGACATATTCCATAAGGGATTCTGAGTCACACTGGCAGATGCATGAATATGACTGGAATAATGGTAATATAAAAAGAAAACAAGAAAGGCTTGCAAAAAAGTGGGAAATCCATAAGAAGAAAATATTGTGGCTAAAACAGGTGAGACAGAAAAGAAATGAAGGGGAGAGGATTCTGCTTAAGGTAAAACCACAGATCAGAAAGACATGACCTAAAATATTCTATTTCTGCTTAGTCGTAGTGATGTGTGTTCCTTTCAGACAAAAAAAATTTCAATTCAATAGGGATACTTCATAAATCAAAGTTCAGCTAATGTTTCTTACTCTGTTTGCCCGAAAACTAAAACCTATTTCTAATTCTTGTTACAGCTGCTAAGTCTTTGGGGTTTTTTTGCTTGCTTTTTTTTTTTTTTTTTTTTTTTTTTTTTTGTCTTTTTCGTTTTTTATTGGTACCAGGGATCAAACTCACGACCGCACACTTGCATGGCAGGCGCTTATGCTGCTGAGCTAAATCCCCAGCCCCACAGCCGCTAAGTCTTAAAGCACTTATGCTGTGACATAAATGATAGTCAACTTTTAAAAATGAGGATATTTTCTTTCCTGGAAATTTGAAAGAAAATGACAGAGCTGCCTTTGTAATTAGCTAACATCTCAGGCTTTGGCATGGGTCTAGGGCTCCACGGATCTACCCCTTACCCAATAGCACGGGTGGATTTAAAGTGACGTGTGGACTTCAGCCCCAAAACAAGACTTTCACTATTTTTTAATAAGCAGTCTATGCACAAAAAGGAAAAAAGCAGGGCTCGTCTGTCCTATTTTTGTCAGCCTTGTAAGTAAACATACATGACACTCCTTCAACACACAGAAAACTTTGAGGATACATTCTTTGGAGGAAACGCTGACCAGTTATCAGATTCATTTACAGAATTACTGCTTGTGTTCTCTAGTACTTTGAAAGTTATGCCACACTGGGCTGTCTGAGCCTTCGCAACATGAACAGAAGTCTGATATGAGGCTATTTAACACATCTTGCACTTAGTGGCAAAACTATGTTCACCAACACTTTCACCGGTGTAAAGTCCACCTGTGTGCCTGCTTCACGTTGAGGAACGCTGCCTGCCTTTTTGAAAATATTCTCCTCTTTCATGTATCCATCAGAGAAATACAGCCTGCAGAGGTCACATACTATACTGCATCCCTTCATTGTGACACTGTGGATTATACAGAACTTTGACTTCTGAGTTGAGGAAAACTGAAGTGATTTTCCAACACCACATATTAGTATATTTCCAATTTCTTAACAACTGATTCCCCTCCCATAAAACCTCAAAGGAAAAACTAATTGAAAGGCTATGTTAATTCAAAGTTACACATTCTACTTCCTAGCACCCTTTGGAATGGATCAGGTCTCTGTATCCAAATAATTTTACGAGACTCAAAACTTCTTCATGCATGCTTTAGTCTGTGGATCTTAGTACTTTCTCTGTATCAGTAACATATTCTCTAAAAGAGAAGCCCTTTAGAAGACACTTACACATTCACAATTTCCTGATCTAGAGGTGGTAGGTTGTACAATCCTAATATTGATTAGCTATGGACAAGAAGGAAACAAACTTTTGCTGACAAATAGCCAGTGAAGATGTAACAATTTTCAAAATGTGGACTCGATTGCAAAAGCATAGCCAGACTCATGAAATGATGACTTGGTAATAGCAGGAGATACGGAATTATAGCAGGCAAATGAAGGCAACTCTGCACGTGAAATGTCTTAACTCCATTTAAATACCCAGTTACAATAAGAAATGAATGTGTACTTTAAAATATTATTTGTGTATAGTGTGGGCAATTTCCCTATTCCGGATAGCATCCCTAGTGAGTTTTAGGAATTATTATGTTACATATTTGAGACATTTTAGTTTTCTTTGTTATATATTCTGCAGTACTGTATTACATTATAATGGAAATAGGGCTGAATCATCAACTTTTTATCTTATACCTTAAGTTAGAAGGTAAGAATGTGCGTAGGTGCCTTGGGCACAGAACTAAACACTGTGCAAGACCTACCCTGGATAATTAACATCTGGGATTATATCTTAATTTTTATAGCAACAGGTAAAAGCATTAGTGACTGTTTAAATGTCAAAAGCGAAGCTTATAAACTGGGTACAACAGTGCATGCCTGTAACTCCAGCACTCTGTGAGTTGGGACAAGACGATGGCAAGTTGAAGTTTAGCCTGTACAACACAGTGAGACCTGGTCACGCAAAAAAAAGGTGGGGGAGCAGAGATTGGGGGGGGCTGGAGATGTCGCTCCATGTGAAGGCCCTGAGTTCAGTCTGCAGTGCCAGCAAAAAAATACAATAAACAAATAAATGGGAAGGGCACACCCCAATACTGTAGTATGTGGCAATTTAAATTTAGACAAAATAGGCAATTCTTATAGAACAACACGAATACAAAATATCTCTTTTTACACTGGTGGCTAAAACATAAATTATAAGGTTATGCTGAATAGAGTGTTTGACTTTGTCTACTGGCATTTTCATTTGAAAAAAATATAAGAGAGATTCCAATTACTTCTTTACCTAACTGATTTACTGATTAGTAAAAAAGTATTTTCTTACACAGATAACTAGTTAACTAAGTGCCAGAACTTTCCCAACAGCAACACTGTAGCCAGATAAACACATTATTTATGAATGAAAGTTACTACTATAACAGTAACAAAAAAAACCACTAAATTCCTTTGGATGAAACCAGGCAATCAGGGTGTTATAAACATGGAGAAAAGCCAATAAACTAATGTAAACAAACACAACTTCACATACAGGAAGTTTATTTCAGGTGGAAAAAATTAAATTTTATATGCTATTTATTACTATAAGTAATAAAATTTGAAGTTATCTCAAAATCCTAAAAAAATCAAGATCATTCTTGCATAAAAAACAAAGTAAACTTGATAAATGATTGCATATTATGAATTTCAGCAATGTTAAAAAGAGTTAAACCTTTTAGTTATATATTCAGATTATTCTCATTACATACCTCTGTTCTCGATAGTTTCTTTTCATGAACAAGAAGAGAGGAAGAAAAATGTAAAAATTAGTTGTCTATGGAAGCACATTAGTAGAACGCTAAACATAAATTCATTGAACGGTCTCTACAATAGGATTTTGAGTTGCAGAATTAAAATGGGAAACACGCTCAAATGATTCATGTGATCATTAGAATAAGTAACATTAAAAGATTAGTAACAATATTGTCAAATAATCACTTTTTAAAAGCATAAATAAACTATACTTATTAAAGGATAACTTCTAAAATCAATTTTGTTACAGTAAACATTTCATCATGATCTAAATTTAAGCCTATTTTAAATACAGGTTTTCAGATCTATAGATGGATTTTAATAATAAAATTTATGAATCAGTTTATGTACATAAATTAACTGCATTTCACAGAAATAAAGTCATGATTTATTCCTTTTGGGAATACAATTCCCCAGCCATAACCAATCCTAAGAATTTCAAATACAAGAATATAAATAAACACTTGGATATTTTATTTCATCACATATAATAAAAGTTAATTCATGGCTGTCATGGATCTCCTTAGCCATTACTATTTATTCACTCAAGCTTCTCACAAGAAATATCTGCCCAATGTTTAATTTTTTTTATTTGACCATAAACTAAAATAAACTTACATGAGTTTCAAAATAAACTGACCTTACACAAAAATTTGTTCTTAAGAGTATGGCAGTACATTGCCAGGGAATTTTTTTTCAAAAGAGTTGTTAACTTTCTATCTCAACATATGTCTGAACATTCTGAAGATATGTTACGTCAGAGAACTGAGTATTTGGAGCTCCTTACTACAGAAGATCAAGAATATAGGTAGGCTTGGTGATGCATGCCTGTAATCCCAGCACTCTTGGAGGCTGAGGCAAGATGATCATAAATTCAAGTTCAGACTGGGCAATTTAGTAGCAAGACCTTGTCTCAAATAAAAAAAAAAAAAGTATTAAGGGCTGGGGATTTAGATTAGTGCAAAGACCCTGAAGTCAATCACCAGCACTAATACAAATAAAATACCAAAGATACTTCCATATGGATTTCATTTGCAGCATCTTCATCTGGCAACCCATTCTATCCATTTTGTAAGAATAATAATGGGAAAAAGAGGGTTAAAAATGCCAATTTGTCATCATTTTTCATTTTGGGAACTATCGGATGGGGAAAGTTCTCTGTTTACTTGAGACATATGGTTTCAAATAAGTAATCTGTATTTTCTTTTCTACAAGACTTAGAGAAAGTATAACTGGGAAATTATTAACAAAAAAATTAGTTCTTAGCACTTAAATCTGGTTTTGGATTTCAAAGAGAAAGTGTGAAATACCACCTTCATTAGTTTATTTTCTTTATCAAAATTTCTAAGTCTTCATTTTACTTCTAAACATATTCTGAATAGTTTTAGTCATTACAACTTTAATCATTTAAGTTCAAATTATTTGAAGGTACTCTAATTTGAACAATGTTTGCCTTTTTTCTTAATCAACTACCAAAACATATGTATTCAGAAATATTTTTTCAAAAGGAACAAATGGAAAACAGGAGGTGTCAACAGATACCAGTAATTTCAGAAGCCAGAGGAAAGGTTCAGCTGTCCTGAACGGAAGTTATTCTGGGTTTCTAAGAATGAAATGTCTATCTGCATCTATAGGTGACAGAAAGTCACACATGGCAGCGTCAGTGACTGTTCTACTTCCACCTGATCAAATGAAACCATGGAACTACTTCAAAACAGCGATGCCTGTGATAACGATTGCTATATGAGTTCCACATCAATCTCTGACCCACAGGTGGCATTAACCTGCCTGGCAGGCAAGGAGAGATCAAATGATCAACACACAGTAAAGTGCTCCTCTCGGCATGTGACTTCGTAACTCCAAACGTTACTCAAAGGAGGACCGTGCAATACAATGTGCCATGTGCCACACGATCTGCAAATGGTGTGGCCCTGGGGGACCAGCACAGGGAGAGGAGTAGGTGCAGGGAGGGCGGTGCTTTCTTAGGCTGTGTGCCTTCCCTGTCATCGGTGCCATGCTGCACTGTACTATGCTGTCTGGGCCACTCAGGCGCACAATTTTTCATATTTGTCTTTCTACATTTCAATGTTTGCAACACCCAAAGTTTATCCTGGCAGTAAACCAACTGGTCAGTCAAAGTTACTCCTTCAGGGCTCTGGCAACACAGGAAATGGCTGCACACATTTTAAAGGGTCTCCACTGACTGCATTAGCATAAGACCACGTGAGATGACCCTAACCGTAGCAAGCATGTGTGGTGCTGTCTGTGGGCCTGGTACCACCCCAAGTGTTTGACACACATTAACTTGTGGAGCAAAAGTGAGTTCTTAAAAAGAAGAAATAGGATGATTTATCCATGAAGAAAAATATGCTGTGAAATGAAGAAACGTCCAGAATGCCTAACAGAAGTGGCAGATCTTCCAAATGGGATAAAACCCAAGGCTGGTGGGCTAACATATCATCATCAGCAAACTATGATTTTAAGTTGCAACATTCAAGAGAACCAAGAGTTCACTGTAGTTAAGTTTTGACTTCTTAAATTCACTATCCTAACTACTTAGAAAGGAAACTGACCCCCCCCCACACACACACAGTTAAATGTATACAGACATTTACTTAGCAAATGCCTAAGTGTCCGAATTGTTCAAAGGTAATGACTTTTAACTTCTTAAAATTTATATGTAAAACCAAAAACATAAGTTGAACTACTGAGTTGTGAGAAAAAATTAGGCTTTCAAAAACTTTGTAACATGACACTGAACTATAATTTTAACAGACTGTATTGTCATAATCCTTTCTTCACAGAAAAACACTAATCTACTGAACAAATAATTTTGCCTCCCCCCAAAAAGCTACATAGTAAAGGGGTTGTACCTGTGTGGGTCACATGATCCTAGCAAGCACTCACAGACAGATCCACCACTGCTGCTCTAGTGAACAATCATCTGTCACTGCTGTGGTTGCTATGCAAGCCCTGAGCTTTCTGCATGTCTTCCAGCCTAGAAGCTCTGTCACTAACAAGCAGAGCAATCCAGCCTTGGCACAAGACACAATTTAGATGGTGTTTAATTTCCTGTGATGATCTTAAAATGATAGTCAGTGCTTTCAGAATACAAGAGTCATGTCAAAATCCAAAAAATGATAGCTTTTAATTGTAACTATGCTAAAGGCAGTCACTGTCTCCTAGGGCAAACTGATTTTCAATGCATAGATATTCATCTAGTGTTATAAAACTTTCTAGATATTGTCATTTAATCACAGTATTTGAACACATTTTTACAGTAATACTGAGACATTTCACTTACTTATAACCCCAGGCTGTGATTCCTAATATGAGGGCCAGCACTAAAATGGTGCCAGCAATAATGCCTATGATGATATTGGTACCAGCAACACCTAAGAGACAAGAAAAGGAAGGGGGTTAGTGACACAAATTCTCTCAGGAATGTATTCTGCAGACTTATCATCACACTAACCACCATTTGCTTTTTATTTATTTACTTATTTATTTTGGTACCAGGAATCGAACTCAGGATCTTGCACTTGCCAGGCAGACATATATGTCACTGAGCTATAACCCTGGCCTTTGTTTGCTTTTTTAAGATAGGTATTTTTTCAAAAGAAAGAGAAGCCACATCAATTTTTTTAATTAAATTTTTGTGCATCTTTTTAAATTCTTGCCCAAGTGCTTACTGCACAGTTGTGTTTTCCATGTGGTTTTCTGGAAAGTATAAAGTCAGTGAACCAAAAGATAGAGTTAGGTTTCTTTAAAACCACAGCACCATTCAGGGAGAAAGTTTGAAAAAAAACTCCTCCTTCAGGGCTCTGGCAACACAGGAAATGGCTGCACACATTTTAAAGGGTCTCCACTGACTGCATTAGCATAAGACCACGTGAGATGACCCTAACGTAGCAAGCATGTGTGGTGCTGTCTGTGGGCCTGGTACCACCCTAAGTGACAGGGAAGGCACACAGCCTAAGAAAGCACCGCCCTCCCTGCACCTACTCCTCTCCCTGTGCTGGTCCCCCTGGGCCACACCATTTGCAGATCGTGTGGCACACGTGTGCTCCTCTTGATTACTTTCTCAATCTCAGAAATTCTAAAATGCTACCTTGCTATCACTGCACTTAACAACTAAAGCAAGGTTCTTACCATCCTCAGTTGTGTGTCTATTTTGTCTCTCAAAGTGAACATAAGGTTTTTCAAGTGAAAAAAGCATCTCTAGGTTTCTATGCAAAGAGCTCAAGGGTACAGATAAGAAAAGCCACCCGAGCTTTTAGAACTAACCCTCCTCACTGTTTTCCATCTCTGTCCTCAAACCCTGCCAGGTTCGGAGGCCAAGGTTCTTACTTCTAATTCAGGCTAACAAAGTAGAGCTAAACACTGATGAGACTTCAGAACAAAACATTAAAATAAAATAAGTTATTTGATTCCTTTTCTTATATAATCTCTAAGCATTAAACTCTCTCTTTAAATTGTGAGCACTTTCTTGGTTCTAAAGAAATGCAAGGGTTTAATGACAGCCTGAGATGAGCAAGTATGAGACTTGAAAGCTGTCTGAAGTAAGACACAATAAAGCTAAATCCGTACACTAACTTATACTAGATAGGAAAAATGGTTACAATTTAATGAAAATGATCAGCTTCATAAGTAGATCTCAGCAGTGCAATTCATTTTTTTTTGCTTTTTTTGCTTTTTCATTTTTATCGGTATCAGGGATCGACCTCACAACTGTGTGCTTGCAAGGCAGGCACGCAATTCATTATTATGTGGATATAATTTAGTTTTGAATTATTGAAAAAATAAAAATATAGAAGGGTAGTTTTCTCTTTCCTGGTATGTGAAGATGATGCAGTGATAGCAAACTAAGAACCTACCATTGCCAGACAAAGTGATACCCGTCTTTGCATCCTCATTATAAGGGAAGTAAATGCTGCAATCCGCACCTGTCCAGTGCCTGTTACACACACACGTCAGCTCGTTACTGCAAAACTGAAACCCAAGATTCAAGTGAACATCAGTTCTCTGGTACGAGAAATAAATATCAACTAATTGCTCAGTGCTTGAAAGTTGATGATATGGGAAAATACTGGTGGTTTTTTTCCCTAATACTAATTATTTTATCCCTCATTTTATTACCTGAAAAAACATATATCCTTAAACTGGAATCTTGTACTCTTTCTGCATACCTCTCTCTGCACACTGCAAAGATGCCATCCTTCCTCCTACACAGCCCAGCTCACTGAATTCTCATAGCCCCTACCATTCTCACAGTCACTTAAGCCCAAGCTACGCCACTCTCCACCAATTATTAAAACCCAGTTTGGCCCTGGGTCCAGGCCTTTGTTCTGGTCTGACTGGATATAAGACTCTGGCTCCCCACAACTGAAGATACGTCTCTGCTCTTTTTCTCACTGTGGATTGCACTGGAAGTGGTAGACTGCAATTTACTTGTGAGAATTACAGTAACTTTCCTCTGGGATTACAGTATATGAATTCCGGACCTCAAGAGGTTCAGGCATTTATAAACCTGGATGATCAAAAATAATTCCATTAATCTTTTCTCCTATCCCTCCCCAAAAAAGTTTGCCCTAAAATTCTCTTAATGATTAAGGAAAGAAGATTGCGCAGATTCCTTTATAATAGAAGGAGAGCTACTTATTCTGTCTTTTCTTTTTTATTTGTCCCATAAGAACTCTTAGGCTTTGCCAAGGAGTGAGGTTACTTCTTTAATAATAAATTCTCGGCATATCTCTCAGGCACATTACATTAAGTGGCCAGAATCCTTTACCTCAACTGGATAATACAACCAGTAGGAATATAGATAAGGATAAAAAAGAAAATTGCAAAGAGACGCTAAAAGATAAACAGCCAAGATCTCTTTGTCAGCACAGTAATACTACCTGAAAGTGAAAAAATGACCTTTAAACTAATTTACATATGAATCCCATCTGATATATACCTGAAAGAGCATAATGGAAAAGTTTTCAAATGTCATTCTTTCTATTCAACTGTAAGAATCTTTTTCCTAAATTATTCTGCTCTTATTTGTAAGGTTCATTCTCAACTGGAAGGCTGGTAAGGCCACAGCTGTTACTATGATCTGTTCTAACTGGGCAGTGCCCAGACCATACCAATAATCAAATATTGTGGCCATCATCCCTCCTTTTTACCTCCTTTTAAAAAATCTCATTACAGTTTGTTAAAATGTTTCTCCTAGTTCACTTTTGGAAAACTGACATTGTAGTATATGAAACCACATTAACATAAGAAAGGAAGAAAATAACTTGGTTAAAAAGATTATCCTTTTTCTTAGTCCCTATCATTCTCAAAATAAAAAAATCTGAATAGCTATGATCCATTTAGTGTTCACATATCAACCAGAAACATGGATGAACATGTTTTTCGTAATTAAGGAAATAAGCATTTTAGGATCATATTTATTTCCGCGTTATAAAAGAAATGAACAAGTACATTCCTCATGGCAAGGTACTGAATGAATACTCACTCCATTTCCTGAACAAACAATGCCTTCTTTATTGCTTAAGCAAGTGCTAAAGTTGAAGGAAGCCACCGGAAGACATCTGTGTTCTAAGCACATCATTTTGGGGCCACAAGGCGTCCCATCTTCTACATAGCCAAGATCCACGTCTTCCTCAAGCTTAACATGCCCGCCACTAAACACAGATAGAGCGCAAAAAAGAAAATAACTGCCCGTTAGTTTGCACTCATCTTGACAATACATCTAAAAACTAGAAAGCAGGCAGTTACTTCTACTTGCACTTACAACTTAACAAAAGCCAGGATCATTAAGCATGTTTAACACTTAAATGGAGATAACAATCGAATCTTTTAGTCAAACTTTTTAGAGAAATCAGTACAGTTTAGGATTTAAACACAAGGGCCTGAATTCAGTGACTATTATTTTGTCACTGCTAGTAAGTCCAATAAGCTACTATTACTAGATTTGATTTAAAAAGTAGATTTCAGGACTTCAAATGTATTTCAGAAAGGATGAAAAATGGTTTGGGTTTACATATTCCAAAAACATTAAATATGTACAAATTCTATTTGAGAATGACTAAACTATTACAGCTCATTATTCAATTTAATAAGCTTGAAAGGGAATTAAATTTTAGACAAAGGCCTGCTAAGAAATCCCACTAAGAATGCCCATCAAATTCTATGGACCGCTCCCCTGCGAGTCTGTAACAGAACATTCCTCCTGTAACCCCTATTTTTAATGTCCTTGTGTAACTGATGGCCTTACAATGTAACTTGAGATGTTCAGACTCCTTCAGCAACCCATGATGTCACCCAATCCTACAATCCGCCAAATCTGCATAGGGACCTCCCTGCTTGCTTTCCCTTTAAAATTCCGAAATCCCCGCTATGCGGGGATCCAACTCTGTGTAGGAGAACTCAGCCCCCAGTGGCAGTACACTGCCTGTTACACTTCCTCGGTGCGGTTTCTTCCCGTGTCTGGTCTGATTTCTGTAACAAACTCATGTGTTACACAAAAATAACCAAAAAGTAGATAAGAATTAAAAATGTACAGTCAGTCATAATCAATTTTTCATTTGTTGCCGTGCAAATGTTAGTGTAAAAATCCTCATTCTTTTAATTTGTATCGAAATTATACATGCTCATAATAATTTGAAGAGTCAAGCAAACAAACTGGTTTTACAAAAAGGCAGTCATCTTCCTCAAAATAGTTCTCTTAGCAGAAAATCACTTTCTATTCTCAGCTATTCTTTTGCTATGTATGTATCCTATTTATGTTTTTTTAAATGAGTTTTACTACTATATTGTATTCCTCAATTTTAGGTATTATCATTTAACCTCCCTGTATGGAAATTGAGAATCTATTTTTTTCTTTCCTCTACTGATCATAAATTTGATCAATAGTTAAATCAGTAACAAATATGTACATTATTATAACTATATGAACATTGCTCAGTCCTTAATATAAACTTTTCTCTGTACTACTCTTTTTTTTTTTTTTTTTTTTTTTTTTTTTTGCTTTTTTTAAAATATAAGTCTTTTGGTTGTTGTTCTTTTTATCTACTTTTCTAAAAACATATCATCATTAACTCCAAGCTAATCCAAGCTCCCTGCTGCAGGCCAGAGTCTCTGCTGAAGACATGTCTAAGGCTCAGTCTGTCTTGCTGTGAAAATGTTTCCGACCTGCTCCCATCTGTTCAGGTGGTCCCCGTGTACTGAACCTGTAAACCTTAAGATTCCCCTGACTGCATTTTAAGGCTGTACTTCCTCCGTGGTGGGCATCTTACTTTCTGCTTCCTTTGCCTTGATTTTGGTGGAACACAATTTCTAGTAGCTTCCTAAGAAAGGATACAGGTGAGTGAATTTTGGAGAAACCTGTAGAGTGAAAAAATTCTTCTTTTTTTTTAATTTAACAGCTATAAAATAACTTTTTATTTTTAGCAATGGAACTTTCTCCAAAATCAATCATATTTTAAGTCATAAAGTAAATGTTAAAACTTTAAAATTCAAAATAATTTCTTGCATCTTTATGAAACCATAATGGAATGAGTAGAAAACAAAGCAGGAGAAACTAGAAAATATACAAATACATAGAGAATGAACAAAGGCACTTTTTAAAAATTAATACATATTTGCAATACATAATGAATATTCATTGCAGGGAGCTGGCACATTACAAATATGGCATCTTAATCCTTTTTCCTTCCCCTCTGCAAAAGATCTGTCTGTTTCATATAATGTACCTTTTATTTCACTCATTTTGTGCTACCTAACCACTTCTTGAACAGACTTTTATCTATCTTCTTTATTTCAGGCCCTACCCATAAATCCCTTGCTCCCCTTCCAAAAGTGTATGATGTTGCCAATTTCTGGATATTTACCATATCCCTTGGATTGCATCTCAGTGTTCTCCAATACCAACTGAGGAGCAAGTTTCCCTTAGTTCTCAGAAGTTATGTGCCACACAAGCATTTGCTTTATGTTCCAAAACTGCACTGCTCTTATCTCCTCTCCTCAATATCTGAATTCTTTAAAAGATCCATTTAATCATCATTAAAGTGGGAATTGAGAAGGGAGAAAAGATAGATCCATATATTTAAATCACTGGAAGTAACCATTTATTTTCCTTAGGATTAAGGAAATGCAAACTAAACCCCGCAGGATTTTACCAACCAACTAAATATAACCCTACAACAATATAATACTCCACATTCAACTGAATCTCACCTTTTATAATTTTCTGTTGAGACTGACTCAGTCACCTGTATGGACGGACTCACTTCCCTTTTGCCTTACTAATGGGCACATGAACTGAAAACAGCTGTCCTATGCTGCATTCTTGGTAAGTAAAATGACTGACGCTTTCATGGAATGGTTAGACAGTTACCTGCAGTTTAACGTTCTTCCCTGCTGCACAACTAAAGTGGATGTGATTTCACCATCGAGCTCTCCAAGCCTTGGGATGTTGCCAATGTTGGTGCATAAAAGGTAACCACAAAGCACATCCCTGCATTGAAAGAATACCAATTATTTACTACTTCTTTTTGCAAAGATGTAACAAACCATGCACCATTGTAATCTTGACAATCTTATCAAATTTTAGCATGTTTGATCAACTATATTATTTACTTATATGCCATGCAAAACAAAGTAAGCCCAAATTATACTGCCTTCTGCTCTGACAAGTGCCTTATCAGTGGACCAAAATTTTGATTGTTTTCAGTCTTCCTTTTACTGTCTAATAGTTCAAGTATGATCTAAAAAAATTACCAAATAGAATTTTTTATGTCAGAATCTTTTTCCATAAAACATACCATCACATATTATACAATAAACTATTTTTTAGTATTTGATAAGTGAATGAATGGCCTTTGGATGAACATTCTTTTATAATACAGATGTTTCTGTAAGATGTCTTCCCAGAATCAAATATTTTATATTACACAAATTTTATAGATTTACAACCATAAAAGCTCACTATGCCTTTTTAAAATTTTGTTACTTCACCTACTATCCCATAGGATTCTAATTCAATTCAAAGATTTTTTTTCACTAATTTAAGTACTTATATATCCGTTATATCTAACATATTATAAACATACTTTATTAAATACCTTGCAAACACTGACTGGAGGGCCAGAAAGATTATATTTCAAATTAGTGCAAGAGAAAGCTTAAGGTCTGTATTTATCAACAATTTAGAAAACAATATTTATTAATGCATGCCTTTTTGTTGGTACCAGGGATCAAACTCATGACCTCATACTTGCCAGGCAGGCACTTATGCCACTGAGCTAAATTCCTGGCTACTAATGCATTCTTTAAAAATAATTTTTAAAATTTTATTTTACCACATCTATTAAAAAATAAAAGTTCTTAAAGAAATTCACTCAAACTTTTTTTAAAGATTTTACATATGCATATTAACTTTTTTGAGTAATTTAGTTATATAAAGAAAACTGAACACGATCTTCATCCTCAAGGATATTAAGCTCTCTATGAAAAGATAAATCACATAGAAACTACAAAACATGCAGCTAGGGGGAAAGGACCAGGAACAGCAACAAAGGATTATGGGAGTTCAGGGAGAGGGGGATGACTTATTTAAAGAGGAAATCAGGAAACAATATAGAAAAAAACATTTTCCAAATGGGCTTTGAAGGACAGGTAAGTTTTTCACCAATGATGATATGCATGTAAAAGCTTCTTGAGGAAGAAACAGAACAAAAAGGCATGAAGGTCACGGAGTGATGTGTATATTAGGAACAGAAAGGTTTTCAGACATTGGGGGCACAGAGAAGATCAAAACCATAGGTTGGTTGGGGCAAATCATGGACTAGGTACAGTGCCAAGGTACAATTCTATTTTGCTATGTAAGACGGTACTTTTTTTCTTTTTTTTCAATTGTGGTCCTGCAGATTGAATACAGGGCTGCTCACACTAAGCTATATCCTCAGTCTCCTTTCTTTTTCTCTCTCTCCATCTCCCTGCCCTCCTCTCTCTCTCTCTCTCTCCCTCCCTTTCTCCCTTCTCTCTCTCTCTCCCTCCCTCTCCCTCTCTCCCTCTCTCCCTCTCTTTCTCTCTCTCTCTCTCTCTCTGTGTCTCTTATTTTTGCGGCAGGGTCTCACTAAGTTACTCAAGCTGGGTTTGAACCTGTTATTCCCCCTCCCTCAAGTCTCTCAATGCGTGGGATTACAAGTACGCAACACTCAGCTCTGCTCTGTCCTAATACATCCTATCAACAGAATCGTAGACCTATCATCCTGCCCCCGTGATTACGCCTCACTTTCCAGAAGAATGGGAGCACTGCCATAAAGAATAAGCAGTGCCTATTGTGCCAAATGAGATAGAGTTCTTAGCACACAGTGTGCACATGGAAAAGGTTGACTATTATTCTCACTAGTAATTAGCTAGGTGGAAGTAATGAAATTTGAACAAAGAATTGACATGCAAGAAGTCAGAAGGAAATTATTGTGATGTTAGTATACTAGAAACTGCTAGTACAGGAAACTTTAACAGAATGTTGTAACAATAGCTGTAGAGCTCATACAGTCTTAGTTGGGATAATGCCAATAAAGATGGAAATGAAGAAGTAAATTAAAAGTAAGTGGTAGGAAAGCAAAGGGGAAAATGGCCATCATTTGGTGACTGGACAACACACAGAAGAAAGGAAGAGTTAAATTTCACTGCTAGGCCTTGATACAAGGCAGTGAGACCTTTGGCAAACATGGAGGTGATCAGAGCAGTTAACTCATTCAACAGCACCGAGTACATGCTCTGGGGGCTTAAATGTTTCTTCATTTCAGGTGGTGGGAGGTATCCTCTACAGGAGAAATTTCCTTTGCTACCTGGATGACAGGCACAGGCTTTGGGAGGGAAGTCGGGGCACAGGTTAAGGTTTGGGAACCCTTGTGGTGCCGGAACCTTGGGGAGAATGAAGTGAGGAGGCAGAAGCATGCTCTGAGGTGCAGAGAACAGGAGCATCCAGCAGTCGCCTGAGGACGGACTCGGGCCAACAGCTCCACCTCACCGTTTGTTGCACTGTATCCAAGTGTCTTTGTCTTTCCCACAGTTACCCTTCTCGGTCCCCTCGATGTTCAGCTTCTCATAGCAGTATTTGTCTGACGCCGTCACCTCTAAAGCAGAAGAGAATTTTCTATGAGTGAAGGAGGGAATATATGATCTATTCAAAATGCCCACAGTACAGGAAAGCTACAATTCAAGGACTCTTCCCATCACAGCGCTATCAAAATCCCAAATAAAAACTGTACCTCCTGTATCACAGGTGTCTTGGGCTGGGGTATAACTGTTCATGATTCATTTGAAATTTGGAAACAATTTTTAGATCTCTGATGGAACTCAGGCTACAGACTGTAAGAACACTGCTCAGAAGTTGGCTAACAAGGAAGGAGAGGTGAAATAAAACAGCTTCTAGAGTAAAAACCGGCTTCAAGCACAATGCCAGCTAGAATGTGTGAATTTCCTAAGCAGCAAAATTAATTGAAAAGGCAATTTTATTAAGCACTTTCAATACATTTAAGAAATTGTGGTACAAATTCTATCTTGTTTATTAATTCTTAACAGTTATCAGAAACAATTTTATTATGTTTTAAATGAGATTCATGCTAAATTCTGAGACAAGTATCATTTGAAAACACACCAGCTCCTTTGTCAGGTTTTATCTTTTCTAAAGTTAACGTCAGTTGATAGAGTTATTCAACAAGTAGAACAAAAGGACTTTTGCAAACTGTCACGCAACTGTTGGTACAGGCTGAGCATCCTTAACAAAAATGTGAACTCCCCAATGCTGCAAAGTTGGCAGCTTTTTGAGTTCCAAGATAACACAAGTGGAAAATTCTGGCTGATCTCACATAATAAGGCACAGTCAAAACTCAGGCACAAGGCTAGAGTGGAGTACTTGCCTAGCATGCATGAGGCCCTGGGTTTGATTTCTAAAATTGCAAAACAAAAATAAAAACAAATACAAACTCAGCTTTATCTGAAATATTACATAAAAGTATCTTCAGGTTTTGTGTATTTATGACAAATAAATGAATTTTGTGTTTATACTTGGATCTCATAAGCAAGACAGCTTATTATCTAGCTGTAAATATTAATAAATCAGAAAAAATCCAAAATCGAAAACACTCCTGGGTACCAAGCATTTCAGATAATGGATATTCAACCTTTATACATAAAACAATAACAACAACAATAATAATGTTGGTAGTTATAAAGCGCTAAAAGATTTACTTCCCATCCACCTGTGCTTATAAAGTGCGCCTGATGCCCTATTTCTGAAATTACTTACTTTGTCCCCAGATGTATTTGCATTGTCTGTCCCTGGTTTTACATCTTCCTCCAAAGCAGATTCCCTACAACAAAACAGCAAATTCCCGTCAGTGGTGTAATACCTGTTCATGTCAGATAGATAATAAAGAAAATGTAATTGGGGAAAATGATAAGCACACATTATATATATTTTTTCCTTTTTGATACCAAAAATTGAACTCACAATTTCATGCTTGCCAGACAGGCTCTTGTGCCACGGAGCTAAATTCCCTACCCTACGTGCATATATAAAGGCAATTTATCTTCCACACTAATTGCCCAACATTTAAATTGCTCTTCCTGTTTGGGTCAGATGCTGGTAGCATATGTGAAGCAGTGCGACCTACCTGCACGCCGTCGCACTGGTACCCATCCATTTTATGAACATTAGGGGCACACTACGAGAAAAGAAGGAAGGCGCAGTATCAGGATGAGGCTCTTGCATTTTATGTTTTCATTTTTAAAATTATATCTGATAATACATCTTATCTCTTAAGTCATGTACAAATAAAAACAGTTCAAGAGAGAACAAGGGCCAGGTATGGTGGTGCACCCCTCTAATCCCAGCACCTAGGAGGCAGGGACAAGAGGATTGCTGTGAGTTTGAGGCCACACCGTGCTCCCAAGTGAGACCCTGCCTCAAAAAAAAAGGTAGCAGGAAATGCAGCCTTTTGCAGTCCTAAAATCTGGACCTAGCAGAGGCAAACACAGTGGATTACACAGAGCAAATGAACAGAACTGCTTCAGGGCCCAGTAAGCAATCTATTTAGGAGCAGTCGCTTTGCACGATTTCCCTGTGCCTCAGATTGAGGACCAAAAGGAGACAGACGACAAAGCTAGAAGAGTTTTCGCTCCTTAACCCAGAGAAGCAGCACAGTCTCACAACAATGACTGTCAAACAGCAGTCTGCTGTGAGAGCTTTTCCTTTTTATTTTATTGGTACATTTTATTTTATTTTTGTCTAAGACAGGGTCTCACTACCGAGTTCAGGCTGGCCTTGAACTCACTTCGTAGCCCATGCTGGCCTCAAACTTGCAGCAATCCTCCTGCTTCAGCCTCCCAAGTACTAAGATTATAGGCGAGTGCCAGCACACCTAGCTTGGTACATGTTAGATACATATAATGATCAATATTCATCACAGGGAATTTGTGCCTGTACATGTACATCTTGCTTCTTTTATTCCCATTCTTTCCCTCTCTCTCTAATGCTTCTTCCCCTCTTTATCTACAAAAGCTTTGTTTCCATTTTTTCCTTGTCCCTTCTTTCCCTCCTCTCCTTTCCCTATTTCCCCTTCCCATTTAAACATTTTCTTCCCATTTCTCAATATCTGTTATATAGGTCCTTATTTTTATGTTGGTTTCTCACACTAGAGAAATAGTGTAATATCTGAACATGTATGCCCACTTTCTTTCACTTAAGAGTCTGGTCTGGAGGTGCACTCATTTACCAAGAAATGTCTCAAGCCTATCCTTTTTATAGCTAAGTAGTACTCTACTGTATAAAAAACGCATCTTTATCCATTGGTTGAAGGGCATCTGGGCTGTTTCTAAGATATGGCTATTACAAACTGTGCCACTATACACATGGGTGTGCATATATCACTGTGGGATGATGCTTTTAATTCTTTTGGAAAGATACCAAGAGGAGGACTAGCTGAGTGAAATGGGACCTGTACTTCTAGGTTTCTGAGGACCCACAGTGCTTGTACCAGTCTGCACTCCCATCAACAGCATTTGTTTTTGATTTCTTTATAATAGCTATTCTTTCTAGTGAGGTAGAATCTCAGAATTATTTTAATTTGCATATCTCCAATGACCAGTGATACTGAACACTTTTTCATATATTTATTTGCTATCTCCATTTCTTCATCTAAGAAGTGTCTATTCATTTCAGATGGTCATTTTTGGATTGAGTCCTTAAATTTAAGGGTCTAATTTTTTTAGTTCTTTATATAGTTTAGATATTTGTCTTTTGTTTGAGGTACAGGTGGCAAAAAATTTTTCCCACATGTGGGTTGTCTCTTCACTTTGTTGATTTCTCTTGTTGCAAAAGCGTTTTAGTGAGATCCCAGTTGTTGATTGTGGTATGTCCTGTGCAATCAGCGTTTTGTTCATAAAGGCTGCCTACAACAATGTCATCAAAAGTTATAGCTATTCTATCTTGCAGCAGATTTAGTTTCTGTTTTAATATTTCAATCTTTGACCCATTTTGATTTTAGTCTATTGTATAGTGAAAGATATGGGTCTAGTTTTAATCTTTAGCATGTAGAAGGGCAGTTTTTCCAGCAGTATTTATTAAAGAGGCTATCTTTCTACTAGTGAAGGTGTTTGGCTCCTTTGTCAAAGATAAGGTGGCTGAGTTTGTTTGGAGATCATCAGTAACTACTTCAAAAAACAATATTTCAATAAAATGGAAAACACAGAAGAAATGTCCTAGAGACATATGAATTATCAAAACTGCATCAAGAGGATATAAATATTCTAAATAAATCAATCAATAAAATTAAAGATGTAATTAAAAACCTACCCAAAAAAAGCACCAAAGCCCTGACAGAGTCACTGCTGAATTCTTTTTATCGGTACTGGGGATCAAACTCATAACCATGCACTTGCAAGGCAGGAGCTTATGCCACTGAGCTAAATCCCCAGCCCCCTCACTGCAGAATTCTACAAGAAATTTAGAGAAGATCTAATGCTGCTACTTCTCAAATTCTTTAATGAAATTGAAATGGAAGCAATACTCTCAAATTCATTCCAGGGAGCAAGCATTACCCTGATAACAAAACCAAACCAAACAAGAGGCCAGCCAAAAAAGAGAAATACAGGCCAATCCCTCTAATGAACACAGATGGAAAAATCCTGGCAAACAGAATGCAGCAAATCATCAAGAAGGATTATACACATGATCAAGGAGGACTCATCCCAGGGATGCAGGGATGGTTCAACATATGCAAATCAATAAATGTAAGATACATATTAATAAAGCCCAGGACAAAAATCATATGATCACCTCAATAGATGCAGAAAAAGCATCTGACAAAGTGCAACACCCATTCATGAAGAATACCCTACAGAAAATTGGAATAGATGGTCTTTATCTCAATCTCACCAAAGCCATCTATAACAAACCAACAGCCCACATGATACTAAATGGACAAAAACTGAAAGCTTTCACTCTAAAATCAAGAATAAGACCAGGATGTTCACTGTCACCACTCTTACTCAACACAGTTCCAGAAACATTAGCCAGAGCAATGAGACAAGAGAAAGAAAGAAAAGGAATGAGGACAGGAAAAGAAAGTGTTACATTATCACTATCTGCAGCTGACATGTGACTCTGCACAGAAAACCCAAAAATTCCACAAAGACTTCTAGATTTAATAATCAAATTCAGTCATGCAGCTGGATACAAAGTCAACACTCAAAAATCAGTAGCCTTTCTGTGTATGATTAACAGATGCACTGAGAGAGAAATTAGAGAAACAACACCTTTCATAACAGCATCTAAAACAATGAAATAACCTAGGAATCAATCTAACCAAAGATGTAAAAGACTTGTGCATTGAAAACTACAGTACTCTGAAAAAGGAGATTGAAGAGGGTATCAAAAAATGGAAAGAAAGCCCTTGCTCTTGGGTAGAAAGAACCAATACAATGAAAACGTCCATAGTCATAAAATTGTTAAACAGATTTCATGCAATCCAAATCAAAATTCCAACAGCATATCTCACAGAATTAGAGAAAACAATCCTAAAATTCACATGAAACCAGAAGAGACCTAGAATAGGAAAAGCAATTCTGGTCAACAAAATAAGGCAGGAGGTGTCAAAATTCCTGACTTGAAATTATAATACAAAGCTACTGTGATAAAATCAGCATGGTACTGGTAAAAACAAAAACAAAACAAATGCATTCAAGGATCAGTGGACTACATTAGAAGATGCTTTGAGAATTAAACCTTAGAATACGACAGGTTTTACAATCTTTTTATTTTTCCTTAAAGTAACTATAAAAATTATAAAGCTATCTTGTGGGGATGTAAAAGAAATGGCAATTTTAACATTTATTTATAGAAGGACAGAAAATGTACAGCTGTACAGTCAGATGGGAAAAGCTGGGAGACATGGTGAGTAGGTTCTATGGTGTTGTTCGGTAACACCAGTCCCCCCACAAAGCACAGCTGTGGTTGGTGTCACCACAGTCCTGTACGTTCACTGTGAGCAGGTTAGGTGCAAAGCTTCTCACTAGCTCTGCAGTCAACTAACCGCAAGGGTGACAACCGGCTCCCATAATGGTTACTGAGTCCTTCTGCTCCTATGCCTATGTCTGCTGGTGCCCAGTCACTGTCCTCTGGATTCAGGTCACTCACAGACCGCACAGTGTGCAGGGCAGGTGCCTCCGTCTCCTGGGAATATCACACAGCAGTTCACAGAAACTGACAGCCGAGGAAGGCACCGGCCAACACAGACAAGAATGCAGTATAGAAATGAAGGCGCTGACCTCTGGGGTGAGATTCAAATTGCATATAAATGGAATCAGAGATAAAAATAGCTGACTACAGGATGCTGATATTGCTGCCCACAGAGCTCCAGGCAGGTACCCGAGAGACCTGGCCACAGAGGATTCACTGGCACAAGGAACAGAGCCGGTGAGCGTCACCAGGACATCCTGGAGGAAGCCAAGATGCCTCACACACACAGCTTCACACCTGCCAGCGTCTCTGTCTCCCAACACATACAGAACAAAGGACAAGATGCTAACTACCGCCCCAAACTCAGAAGTGGAACAACATGACAAGGCACTGGAACAGTGCTCAGTCTCAAACCTCGAGGCTCACGGTGAGAAGCAGTATTCAAACTACACCTAACACTTTCACAAAGAATAATTTCATTGTTTCCTTTTAGTGTATTAAGCAAATACTTTTCTCATTTCCCATGCATTTAAAGCCAATGACAAGAGATTTTAATAGTCTGATGTATTTTATTTTATGTCGTTTTGTTTGGTTGTGACAGTGTCTCAATACGTAGTTCAGACTGACCAACTCAAGTGGATTCTCCTGTCTCAGCCTCCCCAGTGCAGGAATCACTGGTGTGTGCTATCATATGGGCTTTGATGCATGCTTTAAAGAACAAAGATCAACCATCATATCTACTGTTTTTTGTTTTTGTTTTTTTGAGACAGTCTCAGGATGCAGCTCAGGCTATACTGCATGGTTTCAGTTTGAGTGGCCATTTTTACAGTCCAGCACCACTCTGCAAAGTGAGGACAGGACAGTTTGAAAGCTGCGGACCCATACCAGTTTCCTATTTCCCAGTGTGTCCATCTACAACTAAATGTTATCAACTGCCAAGACAGCTATAAACGAGAGAAGTGACGGGATGATCTGAGAGAGAGACAGGTGTCTGCTCTGAGTCCTGCACACTAGGACTCCTGTTGCAGCTGGCTTCGCTCTCAGCCAGCTTGAGAGACCTCTGTTTCCTCCTCTACTAAGCAGACAAAAGTAAAATGTCTTTTACTTTGAACTTTAAACCAAAACCAAAATATTTGAGACATGCGTGTAATTTCAAACTAATTCAACATCAACAGAAAATTACACTGCACATTCGCTTAAGCTCTGATCCCTGAATCTTAAAATCCTGAGAAACAGAGAAGATATGAAAGAGATACCTGAGCATCCTGTCCACTGCATTCCAGGAGACTAAAGATACCACCCTGCTTTTTCCTCTAGAGTTTGAGGAAACTGATCCGTGAATTACCTGGCTTGAGTTTCCTGAGCATGTTTCACGAATATCACAATCATTCACTGCTTCGCGGCACACGGTTCCCATAGGCTGAAACTAAAATGAAGAAAATCGATGCATAAAACCGCAGAAGGTACAAAAACTCTCACAGTATCATCTTTAAGAAGAAAAACAAAATGGTTTGGCTAGGAATACTTTAAACTACTTTAAAATGATAATGGTAGAAACCACAGTTATTGAACACAATGCTATTTTTAATAGCTTTAAGAGACAGTTTCTTGTGTATGGAATAGCATCTGTGGTCAGCACACACAAGCCTCACAACGTTCTACTAAAACAGCATGCTGCTTGACCATATGTCTCCATTAAGAATGATGAGTTGGTTCCAGATCTAGTAATTTTTTCTGCCAAGTAACATTCGGATTTAGGCTTTAGCCTTCTTCTTATTGGCGTTTTAATACTTTAATACATTGTTTGTTTGTTCATTTGTTTTGGCCTTATCTGCCAAGAACTGGGCTAAATCACAGAAGTTTGATTTTCTAGCAAAGCTATTTCTTCCCAAACTGGCTGCCTAATCCACATAGATTTAAATCCTAGCTATTACTCTTTTTCTAATGTTTCCCATATTTATACCTGTGTAGTCAGGAGTTGCAAGGACATATAGGACACATCATTTATAGTATTATTTATAATGGTTGCCCAGAGTCAAATACAAAGAAAGTGCAGGAAATCTATCCACAACACTAAAGACCTAGGAAAATCCAGCTGAGGGCCTGGATCCCATGGCAATAACCTGCATGAATTCAAATGAAAACTCAGAGCCCGTGACGATGACCCATGCAAGTCTGTTTCATGGATCTGTGCTGGGAAGCCCCCCGGGTCAGTGGTAGAAGCTAGAAAGCCTTTGCAGGGTGAAGGTCTGTGCCAGCATGCTGAGGGTTCTATATTGAAGCTAGGAAGTGATGCTCAAAGTAAGTACCAGGGCTCCTCCGAAAAGAACCACAGCCATCCTCAGTGGCATTGAGGTCCTGAGCTCCTCTGATGATGAGCACAGCTGAGCACTTATCAGGAAGCCAGTGTGACAAGCTTCTCCTGGAAATTAAACAGCACAGAGCCAGGAAGCAATGCTCAAAGTAAGGACCTTAGCTCCTCCAAAGTGAACTGCAACCATTCTCAGTAAAAAGGCCCTGAGCTCCTCCTCTGATGATAACAGCAGAGTTCGTATCAGGGAAGCCAGCATTGGTTCTCTTTTAGAGAACCAATGACTCTAATACTCTGGAGAACCCACAGCACTATTCTTCCTTTCCAGGTCTCTTTTTCATGCTGGCAACAGTCCTCAGGTGGGCCATCCACACTCGATACCACGCCGATTCAGTTCAAAAGCAAGTTTTAAGTTGACCACCAGTTACCAATCCACTACAGTACTCAATGGGGTTTTATTTTGTGTTTCCTTTTTTCAGTCACCTCAAATAGTTTTTGTAAGTATGCAGCTCCATAAGTCACTTTTCAGCCTCACTGGGTTAATAAGCTGCAACAGTACTCATTATGACAAAGTGGAACAGAGATGCATAAAGCTACATACACCCTTTCCGTCTTCAGCCCCTTTCCCTCTCCACAGGCGAAGGTCTTGGACTGGCTCCACGCAGCTTTCGCTGCTCACAGGACTGTGCACAGGCCCCCTTCAGCGTGAGCCCCCCACCCACCCAGGCACTGAGTTTGCAGCTGCAGCCACTGCCCACTCCAACAAAGATTTTTTTTTAAAAATTTTAGGAGGTTCAGAGTATTTACTAAGCTCTCAAAATGTACCTAGCACCACTTCAGCTACTGAAGACTCAGGAGAATGAAACACCAGGACCCTATGGCTCATGAGGAACTTGCATTTTAATGGGCATAACTGGGCCATAAAAATAACAAAATAAGCAAAATAATTTAATTTCATATGTTCTGGTTCTCTTATTTCTTGAAACAGCACAAACCACAACTTTAGAACATCTAAAGTAGAAACAGGACACAGATTTGAGATAGTTTAGATAAAGACTAAATGATTGAGAATTTCCAGGAAGCTCTGGGAAGAAACCACAGCAGTGCTGGATATAGGAGTAAATTAATCAACCAGAATCCTTGCCCTATAGAATTGTTGATGTGAGGAAGAAAATAACAGATAAGAAAGCCAGGAATGCTTTACAGCAGAGGTTCACAAATTATTGACTGAGGGCCAAATGGGCGGGCTGTCTGTGTAAGTTTTCCCGTCATGCAGCAAACGCACTTGGTTTTGTATATTCACGGCTGCTTGCAAAGGCAGGTCTCTGTGATAGGGACTTCACCAGCCACATGCCTGTTTATTATCTTGCCCTTTACAAAAAAATGTTTGCCAACCCCTGGCTCATAGATGAATTATAAATACACACAGAAAAACAAAGATACATATGGTCCATCATCTTGATCTTCAATTCTCCCTGCCCCATTCATCACCCTGCCTTAGCCCCCTACGAGGCCAGAGTGCAGAGGAAAGTGGGGTGATACAGGCTGAGGAAATGGCAAAAAGGATTTTACTGGCCTTGTAAGCTATTTTGTGGGACAGTAACTGTGCCTTTGTATTTTAGGTTTTTAATTTCCATTATTTTGTGCTTGCTCTTTGCAGTGACTGTACCATAAAGAGCTTAATTCTGTAAGTCAAGAAAAAGTAGTTATAGATGGCAGCTTTAAAGCATCAAGGATGATGATAAATGACTCAGGATTCCCTGTTTTGGCAGTTGGAAGAGCTGATAGAATAAACAGTTATTTTAGCCAAAAATGAATGTCTGTTTCACATTTGGTTGAATCTTTCCTTTTTAGAGAGTTTCAGATCGCTGCCAGTGCTTTGCTTGCCTTCCACAAGCCGCCAGAAGACAAGCTCCCTGTGAGCCAGGGTAGCGTGAAAACGGCAGAAGCTGCTGCCAGCAGACCTGGCGCGCAGTGCAGCTGCCACTTGTCCCTGACCGGCTGCGGAAGCCTCTGCAGGTGATTTCACTTCCCTCTGTCAGGGTCTCTCAGTTATATAAGCCAGGATCACAACACACATCCTGAAAGTGTGCCTATGAGCACTGTGGGAAACAGTGGTCTCAGCTGGGGGTGGTGCTCCCGCAGGGAACACTCGGCAATGGCGACATTTTTGGCTGTGAAGACCAGAAGGGTTGCATCTAATAGGAAGAACCCAGGGGTGCTGCCAAACATCCTACAATGCACATGACATTTCTTCCACAGAAATAATTATCCAGCTAAGAATGGCAATAGTGCCATGGTTGAGAAATTCAAATGTAAGATGACATAACTCAAAAGTGCACAGAATCTCAGGCACACAGAAGATAGTATGATAGTTTTTTGGTTTGTTTATCTGAAAATGTTACTTTAGTACACATTTGCAGTACACAGTGATTACACGTATCCTAGGGAGTCTGCATACGTAATAAGCATCTTCATTGTTCCTTTTGTCCCCCTGCCCCGCCTTCCGTACCCTGGCCTCCAACTCTTCTTTCCTCTCCCTATTTGCAAAAGCTCTATCCCCAATTTTTCTCTTCAATTCTTTTTAAACCCCTTTTTCCTTCCTTTCCTCCTCCTTCCCTCCATCTCTTATTCCACTTCCCATTTAGAAAAGATATCTCTACTTCCTAATATTTATCTTTTATTTTGCTGCATATTTATACTTTTGGTTTCTCATTTAGAGAAACAATGCAATATTTCAAATTGTGCATCTGATTGTATTTTATGTACTATTATGGTCTCAAGATGCATCCATTATGAGAAAATATGAAGAATCAAGATATATCATGTACAGGTATCATGTACAGGTACAAATGATGAATGCTATCTTTATGTATATCTAAAATATACCAATAAAATTAATTTTTAAAAATGCATCCATTTACCTAAAATGCCTCAACTTTATCCTTCTCTGTAACAGAAGAGTCCTCCATTGTATACAAATGCCACATTTTCTTTGTTTATCTGTAGATGGACATACAGACTATTTCCAAGATTTAGCTATTACAAATTGTGCTGCTATAAATATGGGTATGCACACATCCATTACAGTACGATGACTTTAACTCTGTTAAGAAGATACCTAGAACTTCTAGTTTTAATTTTTTGAGGAATTTTCATACTGATTTCTGCAATGACTGTACCAGTTTATATTTATACCAACTATGAAGAAATGTTCATTTTTGTCTACAACTAGGCCAACATTTGTTATTAGTTGATTTCTTTGTAACAGCCACTGTTTTGGAGTGAGATGAAAACTCAAGTGTTTTAATTTACGTTTCTCTAATGTCAGCAATGCTGAACATTTTTTAAACTCTTTATTGGCCTTTTGTATTTTTTTCATGTGAGATGTGTCTTAGTCATTATAGATGCCTGTTTCTTGACTGGCCTTTAAATTAGGAGGGGGATACTTTTTTTGAGTTCTTTATATATTCTAGGTATCAGTCCTCTGTCTGAGGAGTGGTGAGCAAAGTATTTTCCCCATTCTATGGACATGTCTTCACTCTGTTGGTGACTTCCTTTACTGTACAGAGCTTTTAAATTTGATTAAATAATATTTGTTGATGCTTAGTATTATTTACTGTGCAATCAGGGTTCAAAAACTCTTTGCCTAAATCTAGTATGCTGTATCAGTCAGTCAGTGTATACTAGAAAATGGACCTAATGCAAGATATTACATAAGAATTTATAAGACTGGCTAACAATGGCCTCCACAGTCAGGTGTGGAAGAGTGCAAAAGGGCTGTCTGCACACTGGAGACCACAGGGTCCAGCCAAAGGCCTGGAGCTCACTGTGGTGTCCCATGCAAATCTGCATCAGAAGGCTGAAGAGTCTGCGCTGGACTGTCTGCCAGCAGAGAGTGTTCAAGGTGAAGGCGAAGACTGAAGCTCCTTCCAGGAAACAGAAGGGAGCCTTCTTCCTCTCTCTTCCTTTATACCTTTCAGGTGAAGTCCACTCCAGGGTGGGTCTTCTGTCTTCAGTAAATCCCTTCAGCCACAACCAGAACTATTTGGATCCAATTTAGTTGGATGTTTCTTATTCAGTCTCACACAATCAGTTAGTTTTGAGCTGTGTCCTCAAGAGTTTTAGCTATTTTAACTTCCAGAAAATTAAATGTTCGCTTTAATATTTAGATCTTTGATCTATCTTTAGTTTAGTGCATGGGGAAAGATCTGGGTCCAGGTTCAATCTTCAACATATGGGCTACCAATTTCCCCAGCACCACTTAGGAAAAAGGCTGTCTTTCCTCCAGTGAAAGTATTTGGCTCTTTGTCAAAGACAAGATAGCTGAATATGCTGAAGTTGGATCTACAATGTCCATTCTGTTCTAGTGATCCGCAAGTCTGTTTTTATTTTTTCCAACACCATGATGTTTTCACTTTGTAGATAACTTGAAGTCTGGGACTGTGGCGCCCCCCTTCTCCTTGTTGTCCAGAATTGCTGTTGCTATTTTAGGTCTCTTCTGGTTCCAGATGAATGTTAGCATTGCTGTCTCTAGTTCTGTGAAGAATGCTATTGGTATTTTGACTGCAATTGTACTGCATTAAATCTGTGTAAAAGTTCTGGAAGTGTGGCCACTTTGACAATATTGGTTCTGCCTATCTAGAAACAAGAGATATCTTACCATTTTCTGATACCCTCTATAGTTTTGTTTTTCAGAGTATTACAGAATTCTTCGTAGAGGTCCTTTACTTCCTTGGTTAGGTTAATTCCTATTTACTTTTCCTTGATGCTATTATAAACAACACTATTTCCCTCTTGGTGAGTTTGCTGTTGCTGTACAGGAACACCATAGATTTTTGAGTGTTGACTTTATATCCTGCCACTCAACTCAATTTGATTAGTTCTAGCAGTCCTTTGTAGGTGTTTTGTGTCTCCTATGCAGACAATCACATCATTGGCAAATAATGATCATTTAACTGCTGCCGCTTTGCCATGTGGAGCTAGTTGATTATGGAATAAAATCTACAAACTGTGAGCTAAATAAATCTTACTACTCTTAACTTTAGGCATTAGGCATTTTATCTCAGCAATCAGAAAAATCACTAAAGCCTCATTTATCTATATGTCATATTCTTTTTCTATGGCTTGGGAAATCTTCTGCTATAACTTCTGTAAACAGTTTTTTTTTTTTTTAAAGTCATTGATATCTTCTGATTTTTCATCAATTCCAATTAATCATCTTAGCTTAGTCCTCTTTGTAAGACTAAGAAATTGCTGGATCCATTTTTCATTGGCCCTCGGTATTTTTAAGGTGTCTCTCCTTAGTTGACTGCCAAACACAAGCCTTGTCTTCTAAATCTGACACTCTGTCCTCACAGACAGGTTGATTCTGTTGCTCATACTTTCAATAAAAATTTAAATCTCCTGGATTTCTGTTTGGAATTTATTTTTTAATACAAAGTGGATATTGGCAAACCCTAAGAACTAATAATATATATCACCCTTAACCACAGAAACAAGATCTATAGTTACAGCACAAACTCTAAGACAAACCAGATATTGATACACATTAAATATCTGTTCAATAGAGCAATTTTACCTCCAATAACATCAGAACAGTATCCAAACCTAAGAGTGATATAGTTAACTATTTTCAGATTCTTAAGTTGATGGTTACACTAATAAGGATAAAGGTTACAGGAAGAGGAAGCGTGAAAATCATAGAATTTGAAATATTAAATAGTGGAAAATGGGAAGGAGGGCCTGAGATGTAGCTCAGAGGTACAACGCCTGCCTAGCAAAAGTGAGGTTGTGAGTTTGATACCTGGTACCAAAAAAAAAAAAAAAAAAAAAAAAAAGAATGAATGAATGAATGAAAGAAAGAGAGAGAAAGAAAACAGGAAGATGATAAAGTTAAAATGAAAGATCCTGTTAAGAAGTAGCATTAGCCAATAGCATTAGGTAACAGTAATGAGGGAAAAAAAAACCAAGGAAAAGGACAAATAATAAAAATAGAGATTAGAGGAAAAAAGAAAAAGTAGTAAGGAAACAAATTAAAACAGAGACAGCAAGAAAAGAAAAAAGAGGGAATAAAAAGAGGACCTAATTAAACAAAACAAGTAATAATAAAAAACAAGAGCTAAAAAAAAAAAGTTGATAAATCTCCAAAATCCACTCCGCAAAAATAACAATACAGTGGAAAAAACTGAGTTAAAAGGAGAGAAGGAAAAAAATTCCTATATATTTCCAAATGTTCTCCCAGAACCAACCAGCCACATTCCTCCCTGCCCCTCTGTGTAGAATGTGGTAACCCCTGTTCAAGGGGGAGATGCTAGCAGGCCAGCATCAGCACTGGGTGGCAGATGGAGACTCCAGCAGGCATGGCACTGGTCTGAGCTCAGGACAGACTCTGCAGAGTTGGGGTCACTCAGCAGAGACCCAGCGCACCTTTGAATGTTATGGTGTACAAGATGGAGACTCTGCACCCAAGGAAGGAACAGGGTGCCTGATGTGAGTGGGGGCTCTACAGCCTGGGGTACCAGACAAGAGATTCATATGGGCCTGGGGTGCTAAGTGGAGACCCAGGTTGCCCAGGACTGGAGCTGTACGTGGGTCCAGAGAAAATACAGGGCGGGCGGTGACTGCTGTTTGGAGATTCAAGAGACTGTGCAGTACAGGTGGGGACTCAGAAGGAACCAGTGTAGTGCTAGGTGCTACATGGTGATTTTGCCAGGCCTCCAACTGCTCTATAAAAATATCCACACTGGAAACACAGAGATGTTCAATCTCAGAAACAATGTAGGATGTTACACCAGGTTAAAAAAAAAGACTGAGTTCTTTGGAAAAGGTAAACCCAAAATAACTGTTAGTCTTGATGTAAAGGTTTAAATATCTGAAAACAGATGTGAAGATATAGAGCGATGCAGTCTCAATTCCATGCACAGTAAGACACGTAGCGTATTATCACAGTTACAGGATAGCTTTCACTCCCTTGACAACAAATGCAAAAGACACAACAATTTATCAAATACCTTCCTGGCTTGACAAACAAGGGTAAACTGTACACCTGAATCAAAGATCAGTACCGCTAAAATCACTGCGTATGCTGCTCCTCAGAAAGGCCAGGTAGCAAGTGGGGCCCCTGATGACCGACAAGGCCCAGGCCCAGACTCCCTGACCTACTTCATACTAGACCCTGGGCAAACCACTGCAGCTGGAAATATAATGTAACTACACCTCCTAAGATATGGCGGGAACCTTATCAGCGTCTAGCTATTCACGGTCTACCTGCCCAGGCTTAGCAGTGTCACTGCCGCATTCTCTCCATCCTGCATCACTGATCAGCTTTTATTTACCTTGCACTTTTGGCAGCAGAGCCCATCACTGCACTGGGAGTCTTGAGTCAGTGTGCATTTCTTACAACACTCCGCCCCTTCCAGGACACATTCCTAAGGGAAGTAAATGTGCACAAAACATCAGTGAGTGGTGTCATTTTCCTAAAACTCCTCAAGTGCACCAAGTTTCTAAAAAAAGTATACAGACCCACAACAGTCATTTTCATTCACAGATTCTACCAAATTTCCAAGCATAACACTGGCCCTGTACATGTAAGTGTATGGCCCTCAAAGGACCCTGAATTACCTAAAAAGTCATCTTTAGGATGACTAGAAACTCACCGCAGATGTCCCACAGTCACACTCCTCCCCAGTCTCAATGAAGCCATTGCCACACTCTGGAGGGTCCAGAAGCTATGGAATGAAAACCAGAGAGGGAACTAAAATACAAAGGACAATGGCAAAGACTATGAGAAACCTGAGTGCCACACCAACGTGTGTGCCGTACCTTCCAGTCACCCCAAGTACATTTTGCTTTATCCAAACTAAAAGGCATTTCTAGATTCTTCTAGAATCTAGAAATTCAGAAATGCCCACTTATATATCCATTTCATGTTGAATCTATGGATATAGCTTCACATATATTCACAGATGTAACAAGCACAACAAGGAAGACCAAAATAAAAAGAGCACCTAGTCACCAACTAAAACCAAGTTTAACAGATTCCTGAAATCCACTTCAGTCAAGAGCAAGGGGTTTGGAGTCAGAAGGTCCAGATTAAACTCTGGGCACAGGCCTGGGGCATGGCTCCTGGGCATAGCATGTGCTGTGCTCAATTTCCAGCACTAAAATAAAATAAAATAAAATCTTGGCACAACTATTTAGACATAATAATAGTACCAGCTATCCATTTAATTAATTAGTGTTCCAAAGTTGTTGTGTGGATCAAGTTTAACCATCTATGAAAAAGCCCTTTACTAACTATATTTTCCTCTTGAAGTTGTTTTACAGATATGAAAAGCATCACAAAAATTAATATATCCACTGATCTATTTACTATTGAAAAAAAACATGGCACCTATTAACACTGCTTCGCAGAGAATGGCAAACAATAATTTTGTGTCAGAGATTACAGCAATGTCCAAGAATACATTTTAGGTGTGTTTTACTAACTCTCCATCAATTTTATTATGTTTTGAATATAATTTGTCGTATAGAAATAGACAAAATTAGTAAATAATTGCTATTAGCTACATATATAAAGCTTGATTCAAAATTAGTTTTCAATATGATAGACTGAGGGTATATACATTCTTTTAAAAAGACATACATACACTTTCATAAGTAACTAGGGCACAAAACAAAACAAGATACAGAAAATAAAAGAACTCTACTCATCTATCTGTATTGTTACCTCAGAATACAGATATTCAATATTAAAATATCCAATATTAAAGTTGATATTGAAAGTGTAGGTATTTAGCTTATCAAGAATACATACTGAGAAGCCAAATTGAAAAGCTCTTTTTGTGTTTATAACAACTAGGAAGACTAACAATTAACAATTCTTGATCATACTTATTACCTTAGAAGGTTTGTTGAACAGGCAGGTCCCACCTCCACTATTAAGGAAGTCATGATATTCTTCAATATTACACTGGGTAAACTTTTTGGGTAGATAATAGCTGTAGGAGAGCAGAAAATCAATAATTGGGTACAATATTCATCTACTTTTTTAAATTAGTCTTAACATTGAAGATCATTAAAATCATGCATTTTACATTAAAATCAAAGAAGGAATTCCACATAGGTAGAACACTTGTACTCATGTTTAAGTACTGCATTCGATCAGTGTATTTCTAAGTTCTTCATTCAGTACTACTGGTGAATATGAATTGTTCACTATTTACACATGCATTTAAAGAAAAAACACACATACCATACTATAAATTAAATCAAGGACAGTTTGGAAAAATATTTTCAAAATGAGTCTTAAATATTAAATCTGGGCCAAAACCCAAAGAGCAGAAAATTCCTCAAAATAACTGACCTACATCTATAGGTATGTCAGGTCATAAAACTCAAAGAAAATTAAGGAATTGTTCCAGACCAAAGGAAGCTGAAGAGATGTAAAAACTAAAATGTGCCACCTCTTTCTGACCCTTGTACTATAAATGATATTCTTAAAATACAGAAGTCTTATGTGAGAGGTAAGAATTTAAGATTGTACTGGCTACACTATGGTTCTATAAGAGAGTGGTTTTGGTTTAGGAAGTGCACCTTTAGGCGTTTGAAAGGGCACAAAGTTAGCATTTTATAATTCAGAGAACAATAATTAATCTTGCAAATCTGCCTTAGGTTTGAGATTATTTAAAAAAAAATGTATACCAAAAAAGTAAAAAAAGTACAGTACAAAAAAGTCTCCTTTGAGAACAATTAAACTACATGCATTAACGATCTGCAAAATGTGCCCATTCTTCGATTCAGTATTGTACTTTTAGATTTTTTCTTAAAGAAACAATAAGCTATGGTCACAAAGACATATAGACAAAACTATTTATTTAAAAAATAGACAAAAGTAATTTATGTCAGCAAATAACATGACAATAACCCAAATGTTCTCTAGTAAGAGAACAATAAACTATGATATGTAAATAAAATAGAGTATCATGAAGCTTTTAATAGTCATAGTGCTGAAGAACAGACTCAGAAAGCACTCAATGTATAATATTAAATAGGAAATGCATAAATAATTATATATCTAGCACAGAGCAAATTTATACAACAAAAATAGAAATGAAACGAAGTTTCTGAATTAACATATACTAATATTTTACTATTAACCGTTGTTAGCACTGGGGAAAAGTAATATAAATGTTATTTTCTGTATCTTTCAAGAACTATTTTTTAAACATTTATTAAAAGAGAGGACCAAGATAATAATGACTAATTATTACAAAGCCTCTCCATCAAGTCTGTAAGGACTGTGTCCATTTATAATATTTCTGCCTAGTACAGTGGTTAATAATCAATTAATGGAATTTATAATGATTATTAACCCTAAACTCATTGTTGAAGCATTTCATGTCAAGCTATCGAGATAAAGTTGTCTTGAATAAGCTGTGCATTTTTTTCTTTATTTCTTTCACTCCCTTGTCCTAGTAGATATAAATTTTATTCTTAATTTAACAACTGTCTTCCACATTTACTTCCTTTTCTCTTCAATGACTATCCCCTCACTGATGATCTTAACATTGTCCTCCATAATGCATCATATAAAAGAGGCAATCAAAATATCCAGTGGATGTTTACATTTTTAAAAATGCATTACACACTGCCATTAGTCTTCCTCGAAATACTCCTCCTTACTTTAAGCACACTATCCCATCCTTCTTGCTGCTTTCCATCGCAGGTCTGGAAGTTTTCTCTCATTAGTGTCTTTAGGATGTGCGATCAAAAATATGTAATTACTGCTGCCAAGTGCCATTCATTGGAAGAAAGAGTTTTATAAACTTTTTTTTTTTTTTTTTGTCTTTTTCCTTTTTATCGGTACCGGGGATCGAACTCACGGCTGCCTGCTTGCAAGGCAGGCGCTTTATGCCGCTAAGCTAAAACCCCAGCCCCTAGAGTTTTATAAATATTGCAGTGTGTCCTCATCTACCCTCCCTAGATCTGGCACCATGCAACTCCTGGCTCTTCCTCGAAGTCAAAATGACCATGAAATGTGAACATTTGGAATCAATTCAAGACAGTGAGGCTTCATAACAGCACCGCTGAAGATATTCAAGAAAGAGGACTTCCAAATCACATACCTCTATATAAATGCATGTATTTGTGTGTATACATACATAAACAGATGTACACATACATATCTATCCTTTATTCTACTGATCAAAACCTGAGATGACTCCCTGTGCCAAAGTAAAAGTCACAAATGCTCCCTACAGGTCAAATTTTCCTTGCAAAGCTGCCTACAAGGGTCACAGCCCAGCGCAGCTCCTGCACATGATAGAGCAGGGAGCTCGTCCACTGTCCCTCAGGTGGGAGGGACGTGACACTGTTCCAGCTTATGCAAGCACTGTTTACACGTTAACACCCGTGTCCATGTGCAGAACTCTTACCTTAATTTCACTACATCTGACTTCCTGCAGCTTCCACATAGAGTTGTTCTTAACTGAATCAAATAAACCTCATTCCTCTACTCAGTCTAATCCTTCAAACATCCGAAGGCAAACACAGTCTTTCTCCTGCATCTGCCTTCAAAGTGCTGTTTTCCAGGAATAACATATATATATATATGTGTGTGTATCTTATATATATCTCTTATATTCAATATAAACCTTAAAATTGTAATTTTTACACCTTTAAATAAGACTAACAGTTTTCATTCTAACCATAGTTTCCAACATTTAGGAGTATAGAAGACCATCAGAAAGCAAAAATGTGAGAGAATGTATACATGAGAATACATACCATGATTAGTATGTTGGGTGGTATTTGTCACAAATTGAACTAAGAGTCATACCAGATAATGTTTCATATAGCGTTTCTCTTGCTTGCATCTTTTTTGGGGTGGGAGGTCTTTCTGAGACAGAGTTTTACTCTGAAGTTCAGGTTGGCCTTGAACTCACTCTAACCCAGGCTGGCCTCAAACTCACAGCAATCCTCCCACCTCAGCCTACTGAGTGCTAGGCTTACCGGTGTGTACCACCATGCCTGGTTCTTTTTGCATCTAGTTACTGTAAGAAGAATTTCAATGCAATGAGCTACAAATATCAGGAGACAGCCATTTGATTTTGCTCTGAAGTATGGTTAGAACTAAGCAGATTGCTCATGAAAATCTTAATAATTCACCAGAACAATCAGACATAATACAGTAATTGGCCTTTAATGGACAAGTTCTCTAGCATAAAATTTAGTAATTTTTAGAAAATTGTATCACTTCCTTTCATTATTAAAACAAAATGTCCAAAGACATTTTTAAAAATATTTCATATATGTATGTTGCCTCCATCATTTATTTTCCTTGTCAGAAACACCCTGAGAACTCAAATTCAAGTTTATGCAATAAATGTGTTGAAAATCAAGTTTATGATCTGAGATATAAAATATAGATTAATATAAACTGTAATCCCTTAAATATGTATAACTAAGTAGCAAGATGAGATAAGTACAGAATTAAATTGCTACACCGATGTTAAAAATTATAGTAAGCCTTGATATAAGCTTTATTATTATATAATGATTATAATAAATTAGAAGTGTGACTTCAGAGAGGAAAAAGGAGAAAACCATTCCACAGAAACAGAGTATTCAGGAAATCAAAAAAAGCTGAAAATTCATGTATAATTATGATAAGAGAATTTTTAAGAAGCCAAAAATCCATGGGACTATGGTTAGCAAGTCAAAAAAAATGCTTGAAACCAATGCATCATTATGGTTAGCAAACAGATCATACTCATACAGAAAATGAGATTGCAAATGGACACAAAGAAAGATTATGGATGTCTAACTACGGAGGAAGAACTCTGAAGCCTGTTCTTTCCACAAGGCAGACTCCCAGGCTTCGGGCAGGACGATGGCACTAGAGCTCAAGCCCATACAGTCCTTTCTCAGCACGGATTCATCTCATGTCTGTGGGACTACGCCTACAGTGAGATGCCTCTCATATAAAATGAAAGCACACAGTTAGGGTTTCTAATCCAATGTCCACCTGGATCTTCACTGATCACAAATGGGCATTTGTAAACTGACTAGATTAGCAGGGCCTGAGAGCTGACTTCCTGCTAGGCAGCAGGGCCTGGTCAGAAGAGACGGGTCACAAGGGTATGGCCTGGAAAGGCTCACTGGGTCTCCTCCCTGGCTTCTCCCTTCATTGCATCTCCTCTGGTTTGCCATGGTGGGATCAGCTGTCTTCCTCCATGGCCCTCTGCCACGCTGGCCTGCGTCAGAATTGATGGACAAAAACTTCTAAAATGTGAGCCAAAACAAACCTCAACTCCTTCAAGTGGTGGGTGTGAGGTACCGTACCCTAGCAAGGAGGAAAATAACCAAGATACACACACCCTCCGAACGGCAGTATAAACTGGAGTCCAGCTGATGGTCCCCTTGGCTGGGGCCGAGGGACGCTAACTGACACAAGGGAGAACAAGACACAAGGTGCAATCAACCAGGAAGGCAGTGTTTTACTTTTAAAACTGAGTGAAACAGGTGTTCACTGTTTTATTCTCTTTACTTTTTATTGATGGAAATGGGGCTCAATAAAAAGAGGAGAGAGAGCGAGCCTAGAAGCTGAGTGTTTTGAGTGAAATAAAAATAGCACAGGATGATCAGAGTTGAAAGTCAGGTAATAGAAATAATCCTGGGGGGAAAAATCCATTTAGGAAGAACAGAAGCCCAGAGCTGATGGCGGCCGGTGGGTGAAGGTGGCCAGTGTGATGAGGACAGCCTGCACCACACCACGAAGCCCCTGCCACAGGCTGAGCTCGGCCTCTGTGGGTCGCAGGTGTACGAACTCAGAGGAAGCTGCAGGTCCATGCTGTCTTCCTCAGTTTCCCAGCACAACACTATCTGTTACCTATTCAACTAGAGCTGAAGCAGAAAAAAAGAAATGAAATGAGGAGGTAAGCTGAAGGCCAGCAGTGGTGAACCTATGGCATATATGTTGTTTTTCCTAAACTAGACCCCACTATTCAGGCTGAACTGCTGTGTTGGCACTGGAAGATAAACAGGTGGGTTTAGGATAGCCGTATGGGTGCTCATCTCTGAAAGGTTCGCATCAGGGTGCAAGCCATCAAAAACAAACTTATTTCTCATTTCTTAAATCTCTAGCCTAGACTCAACGCTTTAAAAATCACTGAGATCTATTAAATTGACACTGATTCCTTTTTTCTTAAATAAGAGATTATTTTAATCCAGATGTGGTACAGCATACCTGTAATTAAAGCACATGGGAAGGTGAGACAGGAGACTCAAGACTTAGAGTCTAGGCAGAGCTACATAGTGAGTTAAAGGCCAGCTTGGAGCACACGTAAGGACTATGCCTCAAAAAAAGAAAAAAAAAAGAGGCTATCTTTGAAAATATTTTATACACAGGATCATTAAAAATATTGACTTCTGATTTTCTCCTAAATGCTGTGGGAAGAGTTCATGCAGTGTTATTAAGTATCATATGTCTAAAAAGGCAACAGCACAGCAGATAAATGTAAGTTATTTTCAACTAAAACGGCTCACCCAGTGTCTCCCATTATGCATCCCGACCATGTGTCGTCACATTTACACTCACCTAAGAGAAAATGAATATGCAAACCTTTTCATAAAGTGAACACAGTTGTACTGGTTTCTAGGTTTAAAAAAATCACCTACCCTTTATCTTAAAATACTCATTAGAAAAGTAACACTTGCTTTCTAATTCTGCCTACACTTTTAAGTTTTTATGCAATTGTAACAACAAAAAGATACTCTGACCCTATCAAGTTTACATAATTTTCAATTTTAAAAAAACTGTCTTTGGCATTTTAACAAATGACAAAAATAATGAACTATTCACTTAACATGAACTAAAGAAAACCAAGTACCAATGAAGGAGGGAAGAAGATCTCGGTTTTGCAGGCCTCCCAGGGTGTTATTACAATGTTTTGCCCACTTTTCAAACCCTCTGCATCAAGACAGCAAGGAGTGGACTACACAGATTGAGCAGAAGGACCTCAGAATCAGGAATGCCTGCATACAAACCTTAGTTGGACACTTAACATTTATGTGATCTTGGAGACATTTTATTTCAGATCTAGTCAATGAATATATAAAATAGGTCTAAAAATGGTGTGATTAGCTTTAGGGTTAGAGAATCCCAATGTAGGCAATATACCATGCATTCATCTGTCAAATAAGAGTGTTCTAGAATTGCTAAGTTATTATATACAACTATGCTTATAAATTTACTAAAATAATAAAATGCTACAATCAAATTGTTTCTCTAAATGTCTATAATGTGACCATTCACAGAGAAGCAAATTTGCACACTTGGGAAATGATATTCTTCACAAATGAGAAACCTAGCACATTTTATTAGATCCTTATATTACAAAGCCCATCATGAGGTTTGATCCCGATGAGGGATTTCTACCTCTGTGGCCATATGTTTTTAAAAAACCTAATAAAATACTATACCTGAAATAAATGCCTAGAATTCTCTAGTAGGTCATTTCAGATTACCAAAATAAACTCCAGTTTTGCCCTTTCTTAGGTTAAATTCAACTATGAATTTACTATTACATGGCTTTAAATGTTTATTATGCAGGCAGAAAATTTCATCTATAATATAAATATTATATTTGAAAACAACATTTTGTACCCTGGCTTATTTATTTTTTATCATCACCTATACTCTTTTGATTAAGTAACTGAATCAAAGAATCTCATCTACAAAACACTTAACAGAGAGTCTATTTTAAATGCAGTTAAACCACACCTGTACTATAACTTACCGCTTGCTAACTTTCTTTTGTCTGAGATAATACCAATATTATGGGCTAATGATTGAGCAAGTGTAACAGCCATTAAATCAGTTTTCCCAAACTGAAAAAGAAAAATAAAATACATATAAATGCAACTGTCATTTAAGAATAGCTAGAGAAAGATATAACAATATATTTGAAAATAAGTGATTTCTAAATATTTTCTTTAGCAGAGGCTAAACACATTACAAGCTAGTGCCAAATGTACATTTCGGAAGTAGTAACAAGAAATAAATTCATGTTTGATTACATCTTCTACAATTAACCAAAAAGTGATAATAATCTATTCTGGGGTTTAAAAACTAAAATATAATTCTCTCCAAAATTTCCCCAGGAACATTACTAAAAAACTTAGTAGTTGTGTGTGATTAAGGTAGTCTTTGGAATCACATAAAATAAAAATAAATGTGAAAAACTTATTTGCAACTTGTTCACCCTTATGTGTCCATCTGTACTCCTAAAACTGCCTCCAAATGCAACAGAAGGCAGTTCCACAAAACAGGTACACGATCAGCAGGAAGCAGTGAGGCCTGTGGCTGACAGTCAATGAAGAACTAAGGATATTTATTCTCACTACAGAGCCTCCCTGGCATTTTTCTTTTAGATCATTTCCAGCAAACTTAGAGTTTCAAAGTAAAAAGAGCCCCTTTGGAAAACCTCCTGTATCTTTTTGTCTTCAAAATTTGTCAAATGCAGAAGAAAAAAGAAACTATCTCCTTGGGTTTTTAGGTGGCAACCAAGTGCTCCCTTCTCATTCTCTGGAAAATCATTCAAAGTGACAAATAGGGCATTCTTTTTAAGAAAGGTTAAGGTACAGATTCTCTGTATAATATGTAAATTACTTTATCTGGAAATTATTCAAACTAGAACATGAGCAGAATTATCAGGTGTTAGTTTTCACTATTCTGTTTTCTGGACATGTATAGTAAACATATTGGTAGCTATTAAACATTCTAACATCTGGTGTAATGGGATGTTGAGAAATTATCTTAAGTATTAGGAAAGCATCTTCATCCATCAGAGCACTTTGCACTGCACAGATGTTCACACCTACTTCATTCACGCCTCCTCCTTTCAGCAGCGAGCAAATCCCACCAATATAAGCTGCCCCGCTCCGGCTACTCTCAAATTGACTCCCCCTTTTAGAAAAACAAATGAAAAATACTTACTGATCACAGTTCAAACATAACAGCACCTCTTATTATTAATCTCAAATTTAGGTATACGTATTTTTAATTGCCAATATTAATTTGCACTGATAATTGGCACTATGAGAAGTAAACAAAATCACTTCTGTAGAATGCACCAAAAATACCTAACTTGAATCTGATAGTGAGAAAAGACTACACATTCCCACAGTGACCAGGGGTCTATAAAATCATCTGCCTATACTCTCCAGAAGAGTTATGCTCAAAATGAAAAAAGGTTGAGAAAGTCTTTCGGATTAGAGAAGACTAAAGAGACATTAATCAAAATGTGTGATACTGGATTGGTTGTTGGTTGGGAAAATATTAGTAAAAAAGGGAAGATTAAGACAACTGGTAAAATGTGAACATCGAGTATAGATTACAGAAGAGTTGTGTGTCAACATTACATTTTAGGGCTTTAATAATGGACTGTGACTGTCTAAGAGAGTATCTTTATTCTTAGAGAATACACATTCAAAGATTCAGTAAGTAAGCATCCAATAGATGGACAGAAAGATAGAAGGGAGAAAAAAAGGAAATAACAAAACAAAGAAGGAAAAATGTAAATAATTAATGTGTCATGGTGAAGGGAGTATGCAATTTTCCTGTAATATTACTTACAGCTTTTCTTTAAAGCTGTTATAAAAGTTAAAATTTTTTCTTTTACCTCCAATTATAACTATCTTCAACTGCTGACTTTAGATGACAGATTTTTAAAATCGCTGTGATATATATTTTATATATAAATTACCAAAATGAACATGAGAAAAAAAGATAAGCTCCAGAAATGTAGCTCTTAACTTAGAACCAAAACCAGAAAGAACAATAACATTTCAAAGATAACAACTTTAAAGAGTATTTATCTATGTTAAGAATACCCCATGAGTATAAGAAGTATTTTTATTTATCCAGTAAATGTACCAATTACATTTCTTAAAAATTAAATGATGAAATAATTTGAAATCAAATTACTGAAATTTTCATGACAATTTCAAGCAATCAGCTCTCTCAAATATCCTGCAATGTCAAAGCATAATAGTATTATATACTAGAAAGAATGCAACTTGGTCAAAAGTAATTGAGATTCAACATGGAACCAAAAAAGTAATAAATCATTATGCAATTTACGTACGAAAAAAGATGAACTGCATCGCTTTTCTCTTTGATAAAATCCCTCCTGTACTTCATAAACTCACGTAGGGTGATCAATGGATTTTCAGATATGGCAAACTTGTTGTCAGCCGCCCAGGTTTCCATGGCAACCAATACTATTCTTGTCTTAAGCTGATCTTTATATATCTAGTATATTAACAGAATGAACACAACAACTGTACATGTAGTAAAATCAGTTAGTTTATGAACAGGACTACAAAGCACCTTAGGGAAACTCCTCCAGTTACTGTTCTTAAAAAGGATAATTATTCTAATTTATATACATTTCCTTTAAATAACAGAGAATCATACTGTTTACTGAGTAATACCCAAAAACTGAAACGTCTTTTAGAAACAAATGATCTGATTTTAACAAATATTTATAGCCAACTCCACTTTTTGGCAGCCTGAACAAAAGAAATATGCATTTTTCAGAAACCTGGCCAAAAAAAAAAAATATGGATCAATAAAGACTCTTCAGGGCCAGGGATTTAGCTCAGTGGCCTAAGTGTCTGCCTGGCAAGCATGAGGTTGAGTTTGATCCCCGGTACCAAAAAAAAAAAAAAAAGACTTCAGGGAAATACACAGTTTCTATACAACCTGACTGCCACTGATTTAACCTCCTGGGGTGGGTACTGGTGCTGCCCTGTCCAGGGAAGCTATGAAAGGAGGTACAGTGTGTTTATGTAATAGCGTCACTGCCACAGTACCAGGCACTCTTTGAAAAAGGACAAGTGTTGCAGGATGCCGCTCTCACTAGAAGGACACTGTGAGTATTTGTTAGGGGCTACAACTCAACCTTTATTGTCTGCAGTTTGATAAAACACAGGGAGGAATTCGTGCAAATCTGTGGGTAACTTTCTCTCCCAGAGAGAGATCAAGGTCACAAAGTCCACTGTCAAGTCACCAGGACACCTTGGCTGAAGGGCAACTAAGAGCCATAAAGTATAAGAACTGAATATTTTGTACAAACCAAGTTTGCAGTCTCACAAAGTCAAAGAACGGAATCACAGACCATAAGGAGAAGTGAGGAAAGTATTCACTGGAAATCAGAAGAAGAACAACAACAGTTCCTGGTCTTATGTGGGGCGGGGGTCTGAACAGGAATCAAACTGTATTCTTTGTCCTGCTCTTACATGAATAAGCAGAACTCATTTTAAAGAAAATGAGTTCAGGGGCTGGGGGTTTAGCTCAGCGGCATAAGTGCCTGCCTTGCAAGTGTGTGGTCATAAGTTCGATCCCTGGTACCCATAAAAAGGAAAAAGACCAAAAAAAAAAAAAAGAAAAGAAAAAGAAAATGAGTTCAAAAGAAACTGATTGTTTTGCATTCTTACATCCCCCCAGGTCTCAGAGGTAGGAAGGTATTGTCAACTAACCGAGCACACTCAGGAGAACCTCTCCTCCTGGAAGGAAGGTGTTTATGTATCTAATTTAGCCTAACCTTTTACCTTTATTCTTGAGTTTCATTTGGTTTTGTTTTTATATTTCTAAGTTTAACTAGCTGTTTGAATTAGCTCTTACCTGGGAAGGATTATTTTCTTTTATCTGACTCTATCCGATCCTGATTTCCATTTTTGGTGCTTGTTTTTGTTTGGGGTACTGGGGAGCAAACTCATGACCTCACACTTACCAGGCAAGTGCTTGAGCCACTGAGCTAGATCCTTGACTTCCTACTCAGAGATTTAGTAACTAGCCAGGCCTAGTGGCACACTCCTGTAATCTCAGCACTCAGGAGGCCGAGGTAGGAGGAGTTGCAAGTTCGAGACCAACCTGGGCTACAAAGTGAGCGCAAGGCCCAATTTGAACTGCAGAGAGAGACCCTGTCTCAAAGAGACCAAAAAAAAAGTTTAGTAACTAAACACTACAGTATTAATACTTCTGCTAGCAACTTGGAGATAATATTTTTCTAGAACAATACCGAATCAGGTCAATACTTACTAAATCTGCCATGTTCACCACAGATTTCGCATAGGTATTGGTATGGACAACAGAAAGTCGATGTTTTTTAAACTGAAAGCAAAAGAAAATAAGTAAAAGGTTTTCTGAGTTACCAGGAGCTCATCAGCTCAGCAGAGAAAGCATACTGCTGCAGAAGGCTTCCGTGTCCCAAAGGCTTTCCATAAAAGACATCTGAAGTTGAGATCTAGTTTTTTATTCACCCTGTAGCCTGAAGCAAGGCTCTTAAAAGCTTGAGGCCTCAAGAGAAAGTAAAAATTATTCACTCCTTCCATTTCACAGGTTTATTTTGTTCAGAATTGTCATTCAAAACAATAAACAGATGAGAACAGTCTATCAATTGCAAGCCGCACAAATCTAAGCAGGGAAAGACCAGAAATAGTGGATGTGAACCCTGCTAAAAGGATATTAAAGTTAAGGTTCTGAGAGACTTAGTAAGAGTAAAACCCTGAGACAAAGGTTACAAGAGGTGGCTTCCCCTTCAGCGTGGATCAGGTACATCTTTTGTTTAGCTGCAGTAGTGTTTTAAAAACCAGAGAGGATCACGTTTCTGGCTACCTGTAAAGGAGCAGACCCACCTGGAAATAACTGGCAAGTGCTGCGAGGCAGCCGCTCTCCTGAAAACCCACATGCTTTCCTCTTGCGCAGGCCTCACCCCAGTTGAATTACACCTGGCTCACTTTTCACAAGTCATTCGCCCTTATATGTCTATAAACATCTGAATTTATAACTAACATGCTCAAAATACATGTGCTTGCAGCTTAGCCTTGTTCATAAAATCCCAAGGAACAGTAACATTCACTGCATTCAAATAGGTCGGAAGAAAACAGACCTAGCAGGGACAAGGATGCACCAATCGATCCTGTAAGCAACAGTCATAGAGAAGCCTGACCTCATTTATTTAATCATATATAAGTGACACATTTTCCCTCAAGCACATCACACTGTATAAATTAAAATGCATCTGAAATAAAGTAAAATTCAGTGATACGCGTCACTGGACACTTTAATTTAAAATTATGCTTTTATGGAACCACTGACATCACAACTCAGGAGTCTGCTAGGAATGTAACCATACTGATTGCAACACACCCACTAGTTAAATGTGCACGCTATGAGTCCAAATAGCTAATTCAATGAGAAAGTTTTGCCAAATTCTTGTTCTTGGACTTCATTAATTGGCAGGTAAGCATTTCCACATGATTTTCAGCATGGCAAGACAGAAATAGAAAAATTGCTTTTCTTTCATTAGGATAAAGTTGTGCACTGACAACTAAAATTTCACTAAATTGATGTTTCACTTACTTTTTCAAATAGGAAACAGAAATTATTTCAACTTTTCCAAACATTGTTATTTTAATATGAGGAAATTCAAATATTAATAACTTAATTAATCAAGGAAATTCAAAGAGTTTACATCGATCTAACAAATATTTTTGTAATATCGTAAATTCCTGCTAGTTAATTCCACCCCAGAGTGCTTCCCACTAGTTCGCTGGTTAACGAAAATACCTGACTATGGAAACACTTTTCCCCGGATTACAACTTGGGGAGCTTTCTATCTCTTCTAGATATATTATACCCACCAGTTTTAGTAGATGCACACACAAGTTAAAAATAAAAGTAAATCCTACCATGAGATGATCATTCACAATCATTAGTTCAATATATTTGGTTTCTTCTTCCACATTACGAGGATATCGAAGAAGCTACAAGGTGATAAAAGACAAAAATAACACCTAAATGAGTCCTAACACCTAAACTGGACTATGTAAAACAAAACAAAAAAAAGGAGCAAGGAATCAGCAAAACAAAAATTTCCTTTGTTCCTTTACCAATTTTTAACTTTCATCAATTTACTTAGTTTCGCATAGTAATAATAAATTTACATGGGTTAAAAAGCCAACAAAGTATAAAAAAGCCTACCCTTAGAGTTTTCCTTACATACCCAATTTCTACTTCTTCCACAGTGGGTACAGAGAAGTTTCTTTCAGAAATATTTATGCCAATAAAATTCAATATGAATATAGTTTATTTTATACTTCCATTCATTTTACTCTTCTATACCAAGTATTTTCATGTAGCAGAATACACATGAAGATCATTCTTCCTGGTTTAAGTTAATTTCAGCATTGTTTCCAGGAGAGGAGTGACTATATCATTATGTTATAGTTTCCAAATCTGGGACCAAGACAAACCCCTTGCTCTTTGTTTATCTGGTACAGTGAAATCTCTCTACTCATCAATACATTTTATCTACTTTCAAAATCACGATCAATGATGTTACAGACAAGAGCTATCAGGGCAGTCCTTCTCTCTGTTCTCTGTAGTTGTTAGACCATAACACAATGCTCAACAAGATTGATAATATTAACCTCCTTTGATGGCATGGTCCAGTAGACATTTTTCACTTTTTGGTCACTTGCCCATGGGCCATTTCTGTGATCAGAGTGTACAACCCAACCTGAATAAATACATGTGCACTTGTTTTAAGGGCTACATTTAAAGCAAACTAAAAATATGCTGCCAGATGCTTGTTAAATATACTCTTAAACTTTAAAACTTCTTAAAAGCTCTTATAAAATCAAGTTGATAGAGAATGATACACTGTATTTCTAAGGATGAAAACCAAAGATAACACCAAATTATTTCTAATGGATGTTGTTAGGATCAAAGGATCTGCTTTGCCAATTGTGGGACTTAAATATCATTGACTTCCCAAGTCCCAACATGGTCTTCACGTCCCAGAGTCGCCATGGCAGCCACACAGTTTTAAAACATTTCAATTTTAGGGGCTGGGGATTTAGCTCAGCGGCATAAGCGCCTGCCTTGCAGGCAGGCAGTCGTGAGTTCGATCCCTGGTACCGATAAAAAGGAAAAAGACCAAAAAAAAAAAAAAAAAAAAATTATAAAACATTTCAATTTTAATGGTCCACCAGAGGAACCAAGGATTTATCCACTTGGCAAGCGTTATATGGTAAGGAGCTTAAGAAGCACTTGAGGGCATATGCCAAAAGAATACTCCCCTATTCTTTCAATTCAGGAGTCATCTGTTTTAAATTGACTCTAGACAGTAATTACTTTTACCTACTTAACTGGGCTTCAACATGTATATATGGTACATGTTCCTGTATCTCCACAACATACAGGAAACTCATAAAGGAATTCAAGGACACACAGGCTTCTGAGAGGCAGTTCAGACCATACACATAATTGTAAACATGTCTCTGAGCTCAGAAGGCCAGAGGCATGTTTCTTAAGCCTCTCATGCTATGCTGTCTTTATCAGTAAAATAAGGATAGGAAAAATACTTTCCTCATAAGGTAGTGAAGATTAAATGTGTTAATGCAGTTTAAAATTCTTATGACAGAGCAAGGTACCTGTTAAGTGTTATCACCACTATCTTGAATTCATTTTGAGTCCATGAAATAAGGCCCATTTTTATTCTCCTACACATCTGGCATCTGTACCACTTACCTCACCACAACAAATGCCTAAACTAGCATTTACCCTCTCAAAGAGACCCAACATAGATTTAAATGATCAGCAGCTGCCAAGTATTTTAAAGTATCATAATATACAGAATGCGATAAAAAATATGATATATACGTCAATAAATCATTATAACAGAAACAGGTACACTAACACTAATCCCCCTCAAACAACCCACTGTACCCACTTCAAACACATTATGGCATTGTTCTTGGCACTTTCTGAAGCAGTTTTGGAAGTCCTTTTTCACGAGTGTCTGTCTTCAGTTGCACTGCGAGGCTGCCTTGAAGTCCTGTGTTGATTTAAAACATTTACTTTCATGGTCCTTCAACTTCAGCAAAGAGCCAGCAGCTGCACAGCAAGCAGAGTGGACAGGGATGCTGCAATGTTTTATCTGCCCACCTCTCCACAGCGTGGTCCTTTGGGGAAGCGTTCACTTATTATTTTTTTATTACACTTTGTGAAAAGGACTTCCAGAACCACTTCAGAAAGTGGCGAGGATAATGCAGTATGTTAGAAATGAGAACAGTATATAACAGGTAGTAATGGCGATGAGTCTTTTACTGTAATAAATGTTTTAAAATTTAAATATTCATCACATTTTTCAATGACCCCTTATATACCTGTGAATACATACCTGCCGTTTGCTCCTTCTTAGTCTTGGCTTTGGAATAAACTTTGGTAGAGTGATGTTTACTTGTTGAAATTCTAAAAGAAAAAAATTAGACAGTACATTTGTGAGATTTCTTTATAAATCTTTTCTCTTATGAATTTTATAACCTATAATGTTGCGTTTAATTATTACATAGGACATTAATCAGGTAGGTGTTATAAATATATAATCAGTGGGTAAAATTTACAAAAATCTCAAACATTATTCCTTTTCTAATTTTTATCTATTTTTTCATATTTACTCTATAAATACCATCTCATTCTCTAGCAGGAATCTTCTAAATATCAGACTTGACCTTTACCTTCATTATCAACCTTCTAGAGGCAGCAAAATAAAAACAGTACTAAGAATTAAGTAGAAAACAATCACATTCATAAATTCACGATGTATTAAGAAATTATTTTAAGGCACTCAGGTTTTTACTTGTTTCCAACTCACTGGCAGTCTTCTTGACTCACAATGAAATTTATCTCAGGCTTTGCTTGCTCTTAGGAATTGACGAGAACACCTGAAACCCTCTTAACTTGTAGGTCAGAATTATATTATATAAGACTAAGTTGTTTGTAAGGGATGATGTTCTACAAAATAAAAGAAAAAGTGCAATCATTCCGTGGGGATAGCGATTTCCTGAAACACTGACAGCTGAACAACACGAAGCAGTCAGATTTGGAACTTCTCAGGGGAGTATGCTATATATATATGACAGTGAAGGTGAGTCATTATGGTTCTTGGATACTCTTTATAAAATTGAAAAGTTGTTTAAAATCACAACACTGTACTGCAATGTGGTAAAATTTGTTTTTTATCCTATGTGCAACTTATCATATTCATAGGGAAAAATCACTGTTATAATCAAGTATATAATAATATCAAAGGAACTGTGAAAGATCTTTTAATCTAAAGATATGGCCAAGACTCATTTAAATTTGTTTACCTCGGTTTCTTTTTCATTACCTTAACTGTTTTGTTAGACAATAATTATTTTAAGCTAATTTCCAATTTTTTCTTTAATATTGGAGAGAGCACAGCAATTGTATTACTGTCAGAGGGGAAAGGTAACTATGGTTGGTAAACACTGTGACAGAGAAGTGGACAATAGTATCAGGAGTATAAGGAGATTAATGTGAAAGCTACTTCTTTCATTTTCAGGCATGTTCCTCCCATTATTTTACTTAAGATGGTGATCACTTGGCCCTATAAGGAATTTGCTGAATAAAGGAGTAAGTTTTCTCTTGCAATTAACTGATGAAACATAGAAAAACAAGGTGACAGAATTAGACCAAATCATGTCAATAATTATACTAAACGTTAACAAACAGTATTTAAATAACTGAACATCCATCCAAAAACTAAAAGTGCAACCCCTGCCTTTCACCATGCATAAAAAATAATCTGGCAGGATAATAGATTTTAAAATATTTTTATTTTTTCAATTTTTAAATAATAAAAAGTGTTTAGAATAGAGAATATCTGTTGTAAAAGTACTAGGCCAGGAATTCAGAGTAGCAAATATGTTGTAAAAAAAGCAATGATCATAAAATTTTATGAAAGTCTACAAATGGATGTTAAAATTAAAACTCCTGCTTATGACAAAACACCATTAGGAAGATGAACGGTCAAGCAAAAGCATGGGGAAATCTTCTGAGGAAAGGCCTTGGATCTAAAATATGTTAATCACTGAACCACACACCAGATGTTGGTCAAGAGGTGAAACAATCAGACCTCTCATGTAATACCGTATGAGGTAAAGATAGCGTAACCACTCTGGAAAGGGTCAGCAAGTTCTCATGAAACAATGGGAATCAAACAAAACTGGAGACATCCAAGGACTTGCTGGAAATGCAAATTCTCAAACTGTAATAACCAAGATCTACTAAACTGAAAACTCTTGAGAGAGGACCAGCACGCTGCAGCTACCACCTTACCAGGTGACTCAGATTGCACAAAAATTTGAGAATATTGTTATAGAGTTAAATAGCCACTCAGTGGCCCAGAAACACCATTCTGAGATGTTTAACAGGAGAAATAAAAACACATCTTTACAAAAAAGGCTGGTACAAGAACATTCACAGTTGCTTATTTGTAAGAGCTCCAAACTGGAAATAAGCCAAACATCCCTCAACATAGTGAGTAAAAAATTATAGTGCATCCATATAATAGAATACACTCAATAATTAAAAAGAACGAACTGTTGCTATTCCTGACAACATAAAACTCACAGGCATACACTGAGCAAAAAATGCTAGATAAAAAGTAAGATTCCATTTGTCTGAAGTCCTACAATAGGCAAGACTATTCTAGGCCAAAAGTAATCAGCAAAGTGATTGTGGATGTGGGAGACACTGCCTGAAAAGGCAAGGAAAAAGTTTCTGGGGTAACAGAAACATTCTGCATCTCAGCAGGGCATGGTCACAGCTCACTGAGTATACACGCATTGAACACATTCACTGCATCATTCTGTAAAGACTTATGGTAGGGCTCCATAAGAAATATAACAAGGTTCCTCCCCCCTCAAAATGTGTTCTTAGCAACACTAGTCCTGAGAAATGTACCATGTAAAATAAGAGATCCTATAGTCAAAGAAGATTGGAGAAGGCTAAATTATATTTCTATCTGTAGGCAATACATAACACGTAGCAATATAAAAGTACTGCTAATTCATAATACATTTAAAATGCATTCAACCTAAAACAAACAGTCTTATTCTTGAGCTTATTCATCTCACACACATACATACACACACACAAAAAAAAAACCCTACACTTTTGAGGTCACAGTTCTTAACCATGGCATGGTGCAAAGGATGAGTGATTACTTAAGAGTTGATAAACTCCAAGAAGACCCAGAGGGACTGCCCATAACCAAGACCCCTCAGCATGGAGTCTCAGAGCTGAAGCTTCTGTAGCTTTTTTCTAATAGAACCAAAAAGCAAGGATAAGGGACAAAAGCAGGGCGTCTGTGCAGGCACTCATGTAGGGGCAGGGAAAGTTAGGGCAATCTAAGTGACAGATCGGGCAGGGGAGGAGAAGGCCAGAGCGTGCATTCCTTAAGGCAGTACATGTGCTCCCACTGGGGGCTGTCTTTTAATCCCTACCCATGCATTCCGGGAGGTACTGGGCATGTGATGCCAAATGTCCCTTATCTCTGGCATAGCCATCTCACATACCACTGGCCAGCATCCCCACATTTTAACACTTATTTGCCTCTTGCTTTATTCCAACTTTTTATAGAAAATCATAATGTTTAGAAACAAATAGTGCTAATTCCTAGAGGAAGCTAGAAACTCAGTGAGACAGGCATTAAGTTTGCAAATAATAAATTTAAAAATGAATGTAATAATAGCAAAACTGTCACATCACTTCCAAATTTTCTTCTGAAAAGACTCCTGAGCAAAATTTTAAAAAGCAATTATAAGAAGCCAGGCATGGTACTACATGGCTATGATCCTAGGAGGCTGAGGCAGGAGGATAACAGTTCAAGCTGGCTAGGTTAGTAATTTAGTCAAACAAACAAACAAAAAAACCACAAAAGTGGCTGGGGATGTAACTCAGTATTAAGGCCCCAATTCAGTCTCTAATACCATGAGAGACAGATAGACAGACAGACAGACAGACAGAGATTACAGTAGAGATTTAGATAGATACAAGGTTATACTGTGAGAAGCCTATAACCATATCTTTAGGGTGAACTTTTACATATTACTTTAAATATTAACGCTGATTGCTCCCAGTAATACCTATTATTTATAGCTTTATCCTCATGCAAATAGTCATGATTTATTTTCTTCCCATAATAGGATTTATAAAAAAGTTTCATAAGTTTACTGAAGAGAAGTCTAAAGAGTCATCTCTGTGTTTGTGTATTTTTCTACGACATAGGACCTTCTATCCCCACTTTGGCAAAACTCTGCCCACTTGCAGTAAGAGAGAAAGGAAGGGAGTACTACTTTCTTCTCAGGGCAACTGCAGGAGGCTAAGGAGTTAGTACTTATTTCAGTGGAGAGACAATGGAAAACACCCAGCCATTTTCTTGTGAAGGCAAAAGGTAAACTTCTTTGTGCTTTTCTAAGCAGTAATTCAGGATCTGCTCTCAGGCTGGCAAATTTCCCATCTCCTCTTGGGCCCATCTTCCCTCGGATAATTTCATGGTGTCATAAGCCAGCATCTCACTTTGTAACTCACCAGCTGTGGAACCATGAAAAAAGACAAACTAGCTGAGCCTCTGTTCCTTCATCTACAGAATGGGAATAATATTGATCTTACAGAGCTGTTGCAAAGATTGAATTAAGATTAAAATCAGAATGGCCAGGATTCACTTTTTAGGGGAGGAAGCAACTCTGTACCAGATATTCAGAGTGTACCCCCTCTTTAGAGGAAGGAAACAAAGGAGACCCAGGTAGCTGGAGCAAAGTCGCCCTGTACAATCATCACCCTGCTAATGAGGCCCAGGTACAAGTGGGCTGTTCTTGCATGGGAAGACCTGGATGCAACTCTCAACTCAGTATCTACAACACAATATCTCAACTCAATATCTCAACACAAAAATCTATCTATAAATACATGTGAGAACAAAACACTAATCTCACAAATGGCACACATGTAAAAGCTTAATCTAGATTCGATTTTTTCCTAAAATCACTGAAGCAAAAAAGAGATGAGAAAAATAAGTGGCAAAATGAGTTAAAGAGTCCATTCTTATGTTTATAAAACCATTATTCACTAAGAGTGATTTTTTTACATATTACCTACACAAAAAAATTCTTGCAGTAACATTATTTCTCCGCTAATTCCATACTTTTTAAGTTTTAGATTTTTTAAAGATCTCTTTCAGTGTGCTCAAGCTATATCTTTCCAAACTCTTTATTATATGAGGCTAGTTTGCATATTATTTCTCTTCTTGATGCCAACTGACTTTCCCGCTAAAAACCGTCAAAACATAGGATAATGGTATTTTGGGGGGTTAATGATATTTTGCATATAGATTAGTTTCAAAGCATTAAATGAATTCTTAAAGTTGTCCTTTAAAAAAAAAAAAACCCTCTACATGTGCACCGTACCAGATGGAAGATCATCCAAGGGAAATTCAAATACTCTGGATTTGTAAACTAAATGGGAACGGAAATCCTCCTGAAATGACAGAAGCAACAGAGATTAAGCAAGGATAGCTGGGTATCTCAAGACCCCTAGAACAGCCAGTACTTCATTATACATCCTCTTGGGTTTAGGGGTCTCCCTCCCACAGGTCTGCTTTCTCCCAGCACCAGAGCAACACCCAATTAGAAGCAAAAGGCATCCCGGAAAAGCCAAAGCCTACAGTAACAGGAAGTAAATAAATGGGCCTATTCCCCCCAAGAAAAGTAAGACATCTGGCAAAATGGGTTAATGTTTTTTATTACTGGCTCCTTTCACAGATCCCTGCTCCCTTTGAAAAGCCAGATAAGTTTAGTAGGCAGAGGCTGCAGAGGTACCAAACATCCAGGGAACGGGAACAGGGGGAGCAGGACATGCAGATGCCCAGATTCAAGTCACACAAAATTCCATTAGAAGGGAAGAAATCAAAGTCACCTTGTTCTTCTAGGAAAAATTAATGGGCATCCCAATAATTTCATCTGGCTTCATTTAATTACTAAAATAATAGTATGTCATAGTCAAGTTTCAAGACAGTACTGTTAAACAATCATACCGTTAAGCAAAGTGACAGGATAATAGGTACTCAGAAAATAACACGTAATTCAGATAGCTTCCTAAACATGACTATTTTATGTCACTCATAAAATTGTTTTCCTCTCCAAATGTTTGACCAATGTTGCATGAATAAAGAGGAGCATTTTGTATCCACAGCTAGCAAGGAAGTGTACTATATTCTCTATAGTTTACAACAGTAATTCAATCTTTTTCTGATTTGTAGCAAATAAATATTTTGACTAGAGTTAGGCAGAGAATTAAGAAATCCTAGGCTTCTCTGAACTATATTAGCACAGAGCCTTAAAGGCAACAGGCAACGGAGAAAATCTAGAATCTAGAAAAGAGAAGAGGAATGAACAATTACATTGGCTGTGGGTTTTATCTATTATGGACTGAATGTTTTGTGTGGCAGCCAAAATTCCTACGCTGGAGTCTTAACTGCATGTCACAGTAGCTGGAGACAGGGCCTGTATGAGACGGAAAAGGTTACATGAGGTTACAAGGGTGGGGCCAACCCAATCTAAGAGGGGGAGCCTTGGACAGGAGTAGACAAGCAGGGGTGCCTCTCTGTGCTGTGTAAGGACACAATGCAAAGGCGGTAGCCCTCTGCCACCCTAGGAGACAGCCCTCGCCAGATGCCAGTCCTACTGGTCTCATCATCATAGACTTCATAGCCTCTAAAACTAACAAAAAAAATCTTTTGTTGTTTAAGTGGTATTTGGTCATCGTAACCCACACTGACTAAGATCAGAGCATATTATGTTAAAGACAGAAATAAATGAACACCTCAAAGGGAAAACATTCCCTATAAAAAAAGAGGAAGAGATGAAAGAGAAGCTTGTTGTTGTGACTTATTCAATATACTACCCTATCCCTAAAAAATGCAAAAACGGGCTGGGGATTTAGCTCAGCGGCATAAGCGCCTGCCTTGCAAGCAGGCAGTCGTGAGTTCAATCTCTGGTACCGATAAAAAGGAAAAGGACAAAAAAATAAAAAAATTTAAAAAATGCAAAAACAGAGCTGACTGGGGAGGGAAGAAGACAAAATACTGACATTTCCATTGCAAGCAAGCACTTACCGGGGAGGTCTCATTTTCTTCGGGCTCAATGAGATACGTATGGTTCCCATCATAGAACATCCCGCTGCCAAGAACAGGAAAACAGGCACAGCCATCAGCTCTGATTACAGAACAAGATCATTCTATCATAGAAGCAGCCATAACACCAGTCTCACCCATCACCACACACAGCACCCACACACACACACACACACACACACACTGCTGACAGGGAAAGGGAACGGCCTCTCTCTCATCCCGAATGTCCCCCCTCAGGTCCTCTTAAGTTGACCACTTTCCCCACTGCTGTCATTGCTTCTCCCCCACCAGGTAACTCTAAGCCTGGAATATGCAGAAGGACACCTGCAGCTTCAGGCCCTTCCTTGTACTTTAAACACTGTAAACAAAACATGGGTGCTTTCTGCTACAGGAATTGTCAGGAATTATCCTAAGAATGACCTCCCCACATAAGACTTTCATAATAAAAGCAAACAAATGTCAATAATATGCCATAAGCAGAGAATTTTGCACTCAGTTATTCTTTTGCATATGTATGAGGGAAGTATGATAAATCTTCATTTTCCAGATGGGGAAACTGAAGTCCAGAAACATTGAGTAACTGGGCCAGATTACATCACCAGTCAGAGCAGAGGCATGAATGTAGCTCTAGGATGGATCCGTGATCTGCTGCTGTGCAATCAGCTATCTACCTTCATTCACTCATTCATTCATTCAGCATGTACTGACAACTCTACAATGCTCTAGGTGCTGGGGATACAATAGTGAACAAGACAGACCAATTCTGTCCTTGTGCTGTTGATGTGCATTCTACAGAGAAGAGAAAATAAATCCGCAATAAGGAAATATGTATTAGATGATGACAAATTTCAGAGAAAAAAAATAAAGCAGGTAAAGGACCAAAAGATTCAACGTGCAGGGCTAGAGAGAGGACCCCTGATCCAAAGAGGGGCTCAGAGTAAGGCAGAGAAGGTAACAGTGAAGCAACCACCTGAAAGCAGCAAAGGGACAAGTCACAAGCACACAAAGCGTATAAAGACCACTGCAGACAGAAATCCAAGGGAAGGGAATCTTGAATTGTCCAGGAACAGCAAGAAGGTTGTGAGGCTAGAGTCGACTGGACAAGGGAGAATGTGCTGGAAACTGAGATCGGGGTCAGCGGGGCCATATGAGCAAGCCCTCCAGGACGGAGGAGGAGAGGCCTCTGTAGACTTCAAGTCAGAGAAAGAGTTCTGTTTTGAAATGATAATCCCAGCTGCTGGCTGCAACAGACTGAGGATGGCAGGGACACAAGCAGAGACTGCTGCAGCAACCGGGGGAAAGCGGTAGCTTAAAAAACAGAAGAGGTAATGGTGGCTTAGATCAGGGTAGTAATGGAAGAACATGTGAGAGGGGGCCAAATTCTGGACACTCATTTATTTATTTTCATTGTTGGTGTGTTGCAGCTTGTGTCTAAATGTCCCAACGCCTCATGCAGTCATGGGTGGGGCTTCTCAGAGGTGGCTGGATCTAGGCTGTGAGATGCTGGGATTAAGGGTGCCCACTCTGGGAATGGGAGGCACTAATCCATATGCTTGCAGCCTGGACAGAATACAAAGGCTTCTTCTGCTGCTCTGCTGCTGCCACACTTGCTTGCCGCTTCTTGCCCTCTGTCTGCCCTGCTTTGCCATGGACTATTCCTCCTCTGCGATGCCCCTTCTGTCATGCCACCCTACCTCAGAGCCAGCGGATTATAGACTGAAACCTCTACAAACTGTGGGCTAAATAAACCTTCCCTCCTTTAACTTTAGGTGTATTCTGTCTTGGCAACGAGGAAAAAAAACTATGACATGGTGCTAGGGATTGAGCCTAAGACCTGGCACATCCTGAGCCCATGCCTCCTACTGTCCCCAGGCTGACTTGATTTTCCCCAGGAAAATTTGAAAGTAAAACCAAACAGGATTTATAGACTGACTTGATAAGGCACGTGTTGACAAAAACTCGAAGGCTTTGACCTGAACAACTAGAAAGCTGGAGTTACATCGGACAAGGTAAGCCAGGCATGGTGGCACACACGTGTGATCTCAAGCACTCAGGAAACTGAGGCATACTGAGATCAAGACCAGTCTGAATCACACAGTGAAAAAGGCTATAGGCAAAGCACAATAGGACAAACCCAAGAAACAGCATGGATCAGGAGACTGGTTTGGGATCTCTTAGGCTAGAGATAGCTCTCTGCTATCTGAGAAATCCTCCAGAGAGCATTTAAGCTACACCTGGTCTTGACTCATAAGCAATAGCTCCAGATAGCCGCTCTTTACAGAAGAACAGTACAATCCTTCTTCTGAGATGGGGCCATTAGGGGTGAGGAAACTTGTTTTATCATCCAGGCATCTAAGTGGAGGAGCTGTGTGGATCTGCAGGAAGCAGTGTGGTGTCAGAAGGGCTGCATGACAATCAAACTGTTGGATACAGAACAGTATTTATCTTTCACTGATCAGTTTTCTTACTAACCCAACAGGCTTCAGCTCTGCCTCTATCCAAATTACTTCATTACTGCTTTAACATCTTCCACATGTCCTAAAACATTATATACCCTCAAAATTGCTATTCTTACATCTGCAGATTTTTCAACTACGAGGATGAATTTGAATGATGTTATGTTTGGAATTTAAAGATAAACAGATGTATTTAATAGGATATTACTCATGAAATAGGCCCCCATCAGTGGGGAAATCCTTTTCAGAACAGTAGGCCAAATATGGAGTGAACATTTTCTCTATCCCTGCTGAGATCTGGCCACACCTATCCAGAAAATCATATAAAACAATCACCCACTGCCAGAATTCATTTGGCAACACTGGTTAAGTAGCAAGGAAGTTATTATGTTTAAATACCACAGGGTGCTATTTATCTTTGTATTAGGTTAATACCCAGTGGGACGATCACTTATTGGATTTAAACATTATGTACACAGTACAAAGAAAGTAGATTCGGACACTGTTTAAACCCAGAAGATATGGGTTCCCTCTGACAATATGACATTACTGATTCCTTAATAATCAAATCATACATGTATCTTATTCAATGCTACCTTTTTGTTTTAATAATATAAAGTCTGGTAAGTATATTGAAACCTTGACCCTATATACATACTTGGTTCAAAAAAAAAAAAAAACCTGTAACTAGGATCAAGTCATTAAAGAACAACTGATCTAACTAACATTTTATGAAACTGAATCAAAACATTTTGAACAGCAACCCTTCTGATAAATTTCCACAAGGGGGCAATACACTTACATTTTATTCCAGTTTTGAGGTTTCCATAGTTAAAAGACTGCCACACACCAAACACACAGGGTCAAAAATTTACCTATTTAATCCTTGAATTTTAAGAAATGAACTTTACAAGTTCTTTATGGAAAAGACATTGTCAGTCTGACTTTTACTTTTATGATCTTCAACTAAATTTACTAAGTCAGAAAAAAATGAATAAACCTCAAATTTTGTACAAAATATGAGCCATGTGTGAAATAATGTATCTCATGTCTAAAATACCACAAATGAGACAACCTAACTGTAACCCTATTATCTAGTATTCAGTAATATCCATCAAAAAGTATTTCTTTTTTAAATTTTTATTTATTTATTTATTTATTTGTCTTTTTGAGACGGGGTCTCACTATACAGTTCAGGCTGACCTTGAGCACTCTCTGTAGCCCAGGCTGGTCTTGAACTCGCAATGATCCCCCTGCCTCAGCCTGTGGAGTGCTGGGATTACAGGCGTGAGCCACCATGCCCAGTTCAAAAAATATTCCTGAGAGCAATTTTTATTCAGAAGGTAAAATCAAGATGAGATAAAACAACAAAAACCACATTAGTATATTCATCTAGCCTGCTCACCATAATTTAAGAACACTCAAACATGTTTGCACACAATTCTGGCCATATTCTGTTTATTTTTGTTTAGTTCTAAATTAAAATATTTCTACAGGCAGAAGTCAAATGTACCTAGTTAAAACAATGGAGGGAGGATTTAGCGTTCTACTCCTGATCCATCGTGATAAAATGTCTTGAAAGTTTCTGTCCTTCTTTAAATGACTATGGTAAGGTTAAGAGCAAGCTCTCAGTTTTAGATTCTGTGTCTAATAGAGCCTGTAAAAGGCACTAAAACCTTCTCTCGGATTCTCATAATTTTGTGTCTATTTGGAAAACTGGGAAGCAAACTGGAACAGTAACTGAGCACGATGTTGTATCAAGAGATGGCCATTTTAAGAAGAAAAATGAGGGGAAAGTCTTTTTTTAGTATCTCTCTTTCCTCTAGTATACATTTGCTGTCATAAATATTGACAAGCTCAACTATTCTACTCCTCATGACAGCTTTGCTCTTGTTGAAATCAGATCTAACAATTTTACTGTTGAGAGGGAGGATTTCAGCATTTCTTTTATGGAATAAGAAAACCAAGGCCCTCAGAGATTAAGTATGGATTGCAAGTTTATACAAATTTCTCTTTATTCCAAAAATGCACCTACAAATTTATTTCCAATAAGCAACAAAAAGTGGAGGTTTTTCTATGCCCCCAGGCTCCCTTCGCTGGCTCCTTAACCTCATACTATGCTTTGTGCCTAACACACCTACTGTCAAAGCCTGACAGCAGCTTCCTGCAGGCAGACAAGCTAGCTTCTGCAGTCTTTTTCTCTTTCTTTTTTCCCATCTATGTGTGACACTGAGAATTAAACACAGTAGAGAAACTCTCTACCACCAATCTACATCCCCAGTCCTTTCATTTTATTTTGGGACAAGGTCTGGCTAAGTTGCCCAGCTGGCCTCAAACTTGCAATGGTCTTCCCTCACCCTCCACAGTAACTGGGATTGCCAGCATGTGCCACCACCCCAGATCTCCAGCCTTTCTCAGTAGATCTCTTTTCTAGGTTAAAGATCTGCCAATCTAACACTCCTCCTCGGATGATTCCATCAAAGCCTGCTGTGAGCTCCACTTCCATTTCTACTTCTTCAAGACTAACTCTCAGCTTGCATTTTTCTCAGATTTTTTTCTCCTCATGAGGAACCAAATATACCTATCACATTCTACTACAGGCAGCTGGGCTGGATTTGCCCTCCCAGGAGAATGTGAGCCCTCAGGGCTCCGGTCTTGACTTCCTTAGTAACTGTTACAGGCAAAGGTGGGAACTACTGGTGGAAGAAAAACCCACACCTCTAACTTGATAACAGAAAGGAAGTATTTTGAAGTTTTCCAACCAAAACTTAAGGGCTAGCTTGTTCTGTACCAAAAAAAAAAGAATAAACAAGAAGGAAACGAATTGACTTAGTCCAAACACAACGCTGAGAAATGGTGCGGTAGTGTAAAGAGGTTATAAGACAAGTCAGAAGCAGCCTTCTGGGTCGCCCTCATGTTTAGGATGCAGGAAGGGAAGCAGCTCGTGTCCATCTCCAGCTAACACTGCTGACGGTGAAGGCCATGAGAAAAGCAGCGAGGAAGGACGAACTCACTCTCCCGAGATCTCTGAGAACATACGGATCCTTGCACAAACTGCTGAGAGCTAGGTGGGATTCCAGCGGAAGAGGACTAGAACACAGCAGCTCCTCACATCACCTGCATCCTTTTGCCAAACTTCCATTTACTGAGATTTCTCTTCTGTAAAAATCTAAAAACCACCACTGAGCAGGAATAGAGAAATGAAGAAGTTTCCCAACCCATTCCTATCTAATTTGGAAGAAACAAGAAACATGCTTCAAGTATCCCCTACAGGGCATCATATTATAATTACAACAGCTCAAATTTTAAAATCTCTGTTGTTTCAAAAACACAAAAAAGAAAAAATCTGAACCACTGATGATATAATAGTATTACTTGACACAAAACATAAACTTCTATTACGGTGTACTACAAAACAAAGAAAGTACGTTACTAAAAGAAGGAGTAGTACAAGGAACTTTTTGAACACTTACTGAAGTCCATGGCACGTTGACAGTGCAACAAAGGAGGCCGGGTTTCCTCGGATGTGGCCCTGGTAGTAACAGTGCTCGCCTCCCTGCAGACAGAAACAGCACAGAAGCCTTCAGCACCCCAAGGAGCACTGGCCCCAGCCTCTCGTGCTCACCCTGCTCCCCCACACGCCAGCCTCTGCCAGATGGCACGCTCCAGCCATTTCTAACAGAATTATTCATAAACAGTCCCAGGCAGCAGACTCCTAATCAAAAGACAGGGAAATAGAAGTTGACTTCATTGTCTTTGTATGTAAGAGCTACCGAAGGAACAAATCATCAGACACTGAAAACACATCTGGCCCTCATAGCCAGGATAAGTTTAGATACCTATTTGGCTAAACATCGATTTGTGGGGCATCCAAGCTTGTGTGGTGGCAGAGCAATGCTTTCTGTGGAGTTCAGGAAAAAGGAATACGAATCATTTAAAAATCACTAAATTACACTAATGGAGGAAAATACTGTTTTTATTTTATTTCTATCAAAACTTGACTAGAAGACACTTACTTTTCTTTTCCCAAAGCAGCTCAAAATGGCTTCACTAGTATGTTGTTGAGGCATAGAGTTGAAATGGTGAAGTTCTCCCAGCAACTAGTTCCATGAACTAAATTCTACTAATAGATTGTCTTTAGAATAGTTCTTTTCTTTAGAGTGAGTATGTCTGGAAAAGGAACCCGAATACATGATCTGCCATCTCATAGTGCTGACTTTCCCTGCACCAGCATTACCAGTGTCATCGGAAGCTTGTTAGAAATGTAGACTCTTCGGCCTCAGACCTGCTGCGGCAACATCTTTATTTCAAAACTCCTACAAGAGTCATATATACATTAAAGTTTGAGAAGCTCTGCTCTAAATGACCTTCTCCCATGGATCTATTTCTTCAGTAGCTGAAGGTTTCTAATTAAATTAACCCACTAAGATATGAAAGAATGGAACAAGAAGGACAGGAGAGTTTAAGGAGGCAAATGTTTCTTTAGTCTGGCTTAAGGAGCAATCCTAATGAAAATATTCAGTTCTTGACAAGCGGACAGAACAGCAAGTTAGGAAAATGACATGAAGATGTGGCAGGAGTAAAGAGATTTTTTACACCAAAATTCAAAGAATTATCCAGAGATAATTCTTGCAGGAGTTGGTGAATCTCAGCTTTGAGGAGGGAATGGACCAGCAGGTGAAATGGTACACAACTCCAGCCCTGCAGATGTCTAAAGGGGTCACTGGGATTCATGAACTGAGGTCTATGGATGGATCCCACAGAGAAGACAGAATGCTACTCACATCTGACAGAGCAAAGGATGGAATCTAGAAGGTACTGCAGGGGCAGACACAAGTCTTGGATACAAAAACAAAGCCACTGACTAACTTCCTGAGGAGAACTGGTGTTAACATGAGCTACTGGTTCCTTCATCTATAATCCTTTTTTTTTTTTTTTTTTTTTGGTACCAGGAATCAAACTCAGGACCTTGTGCTTGCCTTCATCTATAATCTTAAGCAAGCTACAGAAACTACCTGTGTCTCAGTTTCTTCATATGTCAAATGGTGATTACTATCTCAGAAGATTGTTAATAAGAATTAAATGAGCTAATAGACATAAATTGTTTAGAAAAATCTAGCTCTTAATAAACACTTAATAAATGTCCCCTGCTACTATATTTACTGTGGGTCAACTATTGTTCTACTCAACTTACACAACACAATCGAGATCTTCTAATCAACCCTACAGTGAATACTGTTGTCCTTACTCTACACGGAAAGCTACAGTCTCTGAGAACCACTCGTGTGCACCTGGGAAGATGCCAAGCAGAGAGGTGAATTTTGGATGGGCCTAACGCCTGTGTACTTTCTCTGCTTATAAATAAGACCCAGAATCTATGGGTCTATACCCAGATTTCGTAAATCTAAGAAGCCTTTCCCTAAACTGATTTATTTTACTTTTTTACTCCTTTATTTTTTTCTAGGGCTAAGGATAAATTTATAAAGATACAGATATCCTCTGTTGTACTATTAGGTTGGTTAACTAACCATAAGATTAGATTTTAAGTACATAGGAAGAAATCATAACTTATATGACCTGAATTCCTGAACAGATCTAACTGAATTGGAATTCTACCCTCTATCTCTGTATGGGTCAGAGAAGAAAGGTCCATGGTGGTTGGACTGTTTGAAAAACGTTTCCTAGTCAATGATGCTTTCTAGATTTTCATTTTTCCCATTTATTATGTCTCTTTCTAGTGGTTACATTATTTTAAATTGTTTGGATAATTATCTTTTTGTGATATCTGTTAGTATACATCTTCCTTTTCATTTTCTTCTGACACATTAAACATGTTTATCTTATTACTGAGCCATACTTGAGTTTTGAATCTAAATGAATTCAGCTTCTCCATACAACCAGAAAAACCTTTTAAATTTTCAGTTAGATATTTTTAAAGATGATCATAGATGTTCGACTCTACAGTTTTGTAATTTATTGCACTGGCAATCAGAGAAGTAGAGTCAAGTTCCTTCTTTCCCATGGTAATATAAAAGTATTTTAATTTTTTTTAAAAAAGTATTCCCCAGACCACACTTTCTAAGAGGTTTAAGACTTGAATAGTAATATATAAATACAAGAAAATAAAGAGATGCAGAAACAAAGAAGAAACTGAAAAACATGGTATCAAATTTTAAAAATAATGGTATCAGATTAAAAAAACATGGTCCTGGAGATTTAGCTTAGTGGCATAAGTGCCTGCCTTGCAAGCACACAGTTGTGAGTTCAATCCCTGGTACCAAAAAAAAAATAATCTATTCTAATTTTTTGTAGAGTTTGCCAGGGATTTAGCTCAGCGGCATAAGTGCATGCCTGGCAAACATGTGGTTGTGAGTTCAATCTCTGATATCACAAAAAAAGGAAAAACAAAAAACATGGTATCAGATTAAAAAAATAATGCAAATAAGCAGTTATTGTTCTGGGGCAGATATGTTGGTGGCAAAGCCTACAGGAAATGTTTTATTTAATTACTATAATTTCTTACAAGTTCCAACTCTGGGAACATGTCACAGTACATCATAAAACGGACAAAGAATTCATTGGATTAGATAACATAAAATAATCTCATTGCTTTTTTAATGCAGAAAAACAGAAGTGAATCCAAAAACAGCAGATGATTAGGACCTATGCACAGAAGCATAGCACAGCAAATGCAGAGGTGAGCTCAGTATGGTTGAATCATTATTGAATGCTTCCATGACACTCTAGGAAGAGCATAAACACTGGAGAATATTTCCTCCATTGGGCCACTGTAATTCAAAATTTGAAGCTCTCTACTAGTGGTTATGTAGTTCTTCTAAGTAATAGTAAAAATCTATTTTGTGGTATATTTTCAGACCTTATTCACCATAAACCAATAGCTAAAATTAAGAAGTAATGAAGGTTTGCTTTTAGTATGTCTGGAAAAATTTTTTAGTTAAGGATAGAGGATATTAAGGATATTAATGGGCTCCTTACTTTATATAACTGTTATTAAATTATTAAATTAATAATTCTTTAAACACTTACTTTTTTTTAAACTTTTTATCAGTACCAGGGATCGAACTCACGACTGCCTGCTTGCAAGGCAGGTGCTTATGCCACTGAGCTAAATCCCCAGCCCCAACACTTACTTTTTGTAAAACAAAAGATTGAAACCAAGGCTTCATGTATGCTAGGCAAGTACTCTTATCATTGAGGCCCTATTAATTTAAATGATACACACTTTTGGCAAAAATTTTAAGAATTTATAATGTACATGTACAGTTAAAGCATTCCTCTAGTACATACTGTTCCCAGTGCAGTTACCTTCTAAAAGGTAGGCATTCTGTCAGATTGTATGTATCATTATCAGGAATAGATTATGCGTATACATGATATATATGGAGATGGAGATATACATAAATTCACAAATATCCTCTGCATATTTCAGTAAAACCTATTGATATAAGCCAACTTCCTCAAATACTATCAATTAGGAAGTTTTTCCATATCTACCTACAAGTGTTGAGAAATCAGATGCCTTATGGTAGTAGGTATTATACATAGCAACCTAAAACAGATGCTGTAGAAAAAGAATAGGCAGCGTATTCTAACAGAGTTGGGTTCTCTATCTGACTGCCAGTCAGAGCTTTATTCCTTATTGTCTCTTTTGTTTCCGAAATAAATCCATTGTCCTTGAAATTTTCTCTACATGTCTTGATATTCTAACACAGTCATAACAGTACAGATGTTTATTTTTAGCTAAATACATAGTTTTAGTTCAAAGAAGATCCACTTCAATAAAATACTATACAAAAGCTCGAGTGACTACTAGTTTATCCTCCCAGTGTGCACGTGGGGGAGCTTACTGCAATTTTCATTTTAGGCAAGTCAAATTCATTACTTCCTTATAATATTCAAGGACGGACCATACTTTCATTAGACAGCCAGCAAGATCTCCAAAGGGGGAGAAAAAGAATTTATTACAAACAAAATGAAGTAATAGCCAAAAGGAAGTTACAAAGTCTGGGTTACGAAACTATAAAAACCCAATAAAGAGGACCAACTGGAAAGCAGTATATGAAAATCATCTGCCCTCCTTTCAAGTCCTCCATGGAAACCTGGTAACTTTTTCAGCTCCAAGACAGGCCAGCACACCTCTTCCCAAAAGCCTTCTCAGAGTCCCTCCTGCTCACAGGTTATTTTACTTCCCTTCTTCTCTGGATTTCCACTCTATAAAATCTGTACTTCATCTTCCACTTCCATTCAAATGACTTTGTCTCCCTTGAGAGAAGTACATATGCCCGATCTATTCCCATCCCCAGCTGCAGCTGCCCAGGGAGACACCTGAATCTTAGGTTCCTCGTCAATAAAACAGGCATAGTATCTGCTTATCCTGTGATGCCAGCAAATGCAGGGGAACTTATGGGACAACAATATTCAACACAATGTACACTGCCATTAAACAGATATTGGGCACAATTGGGCAGTATTTCCTGCATAAGAGATTAGCATCCCTTGGGTCTAATTAGTTTCTGTGAGATATGATTTTCATGT